ACTAGAATGAAGTTTTCAAAGAAACAATACAATTGAAGGACAATGTTGAAAATCGTTGATTGTTTGTCTTGTTTGGTCATGGTTCAACTTTCGGCAATCGCCGGCCATGTGTTGAACTTCGACGTTATCTGTTATCAATCAGTTCATCAGTTCATCAGCTCATCAGATATCATGAGCTCTCAACCTGGGGTCAGATTTCATGACCTCCGGTCACTGAATCCACCTCAATGGATGTGGATGAGACCTCCCAGTCCCGGATGTCCCTTGGTATGTTTTGTTTCTGCTGATTTCAGTGAATTGATCTTACATGGTTTAGATCCATTAGATGATATATACCTTGGGCCGGATGATGAGTTAGACTCTGATTCTGGGTCATCCGGTGGTTTGGATTCATTAAATGCGATTCCCGGTATGTTTCTCAATTCAAATGTACATATTCTACATGTGCAAATCCATCACATATTTCCAGATCCATCATATCCGGCCCTGGCAGATGGACTGGCCCTGTACGATGACCCGGACTTGTATCTTGGTCCGGAGGATACCTTTATTTCATCTGATGATGCTCCGGCTGTACCCGATTTTCCTATGGCTGGTGAGGTTATTCTTTTCATCTCATGTTCATTTTTCATGGCATTTCCCCAGTGAATGAATCGACTCCCGAACCTCATCCGGCCACTCCGGCTGTACCAGAGGCACCCATACCTTGTACGTGTATTCATATCATGTCATGTGTTCTATTCATGTTATCTCCCAAGCGAATTCAGAAACTCCCGAATGTCAATCGCCCGAGCCGGAACTCAACAATGAAGAACTGCGTGCCATGGTTCAGGAGTTCATGCCAATCGGATCTTATGATGAAGCTGAAAGTATGTATACAACAGTTGATTATTTATCTCTGCTAATGTTCTGCAAGTTCAAACAATTGTAGATCGCCTGGGTGATTACGAACAGAGTCATGGAAATCTTCCTGCCCCTACAGTAGCACAACTTCTTGAGGCTGACAGACCATTCAGGATGGCATGGGCTGAAACATGCGACAAACTGCGGAAAGCAGATGCGGACCTCCGGAGGATGCAACGGGTAAGGGAGTCACCTCCGAAATGCTGAAGGTATTAGATACCCTCATTGAGTTCTTTGAGGACTCAAGTAACATGTAGATATCGATCAATGTCTGATAGTAGACATATTGCAGTATACTTTACCTACTCAGTACTTAGTCCTTCCTCGCTGCCCGGTGTTCTGTGCTCGGTACTCGGTACTCGGTACTCGGTGCTCGGTGCCCGGTGATCGGGGTTCGGGGTTCGGTACTCGGGGTTCAGTGCAGTATACTTTGCCTGCTCAGTACTTAGTACTTGGTACTTGGATACTTTACCTACTCAGTACTTAGTCCTTGGTACTTGTATACTCCACCTACTCAGTCCTCGCTGCCCGGTGTTCTGTGCTCGGTACTCGGTACTCGGTACTCGGTGATCGGGGTTGGGGGTTCGGAACTTGGGGTTCGGTACTCGGGCCTTGGTACTGGAGATTTGGGATTTAAGATTAGGTCGTTAGTACTTTGACATATACACAATAGCACATATGACATTACACATGACGGCAGGAAGATATATCTACATTAAGTGCGTCCCCGTGGTCTGGTTACTCTAGGTGTACTGTCTACTGGCATTTGCAACTTACTCCGGGTCGTCCTCGTGGATGGTTCAACTGTGACTTTCTTGCCCCGCCCCCTTTTCTGTGCCGGCGGCGTGATACTCTCTTCCATTTCAACATCCTCTCTAACTTCTCTGGTCGCGTCTTCAGTTAACCCAGCAAGGAGGTCGCCCATTCTTGATGTCAGTAATGCACCTTTTTTGGCCGGCTTGGCCGGCGAGGCTTTGGAATTGCATGTGGGACTGCCATCCCTTTTGGTGTAGGACCTCCCATCCTGGGTTTCTTCAGCGGATGTCTCCCGTCAGCCAGGTCATCATCCACATCATCCTCCGTATGATTAGTGGCACTCTCCTTATCACTCTCGGCTTCTGTCGACGAATCCCGAGGCCCTCGGATGGTAACCCTCTGCTGCTTTCTCACTATACTAGTCTGAGGAGAGGGCGACTTGCCAGATATGACAGATGGTACCATGTCCCCATCTTTGTTCTTCCATGCTTTGAACAGAAATGTGGGACCTTCTCCTGTTTCCTGCCAAGCATGCCAGAAATGGAGCAAGGCAGTCGTGTCCCAATTTTGCAGCTTTGAAGGCTCCTTCAAGTCAAACATCTGCCAGAAGATACGTCCGGGCCACGAAGTCATCCTGACTTTGTACAATGGCACTCCATGGTACAACCACCTTGTCCTTTCCCGGAACATATCCCTGTGTCCATGCATTGAACAATTTGTCAGATGATGCAACGAGAAACTCACGATAGTGCGATGTAAGAAAGGCCCTCACTATGGCCTTCTTCTCCTCAAGTTTCGTGTCGGTGATGTCGGGAAGGAGTGGCATACCCTCCCTGTCCATTTCGAGTTTGAAAGCTGGTTTTCGAATTCTTTTTCGACCTCCCTTGACCTGAAGTCCTCCATCCCGTGCCCCGGCACCTATCATTGTGATGCTCACATGTTCAATCTGGTATACATGGTTCAAACACTCACCGAACTGTTCCTGCGCGTACTCCTGCCACACTGGCTCAATGTCCTCCCAGTCCTTCGTCTTCATGAAGCTGTCCCCATCTCCTAAGGCCTCGTTATCATCATGCCTGCATGGATATTTTGAGATGAAAGATCCGTGTCAATGGGTAAATGTACTCACATCCCGAACAGCACCTCTCCCTTTTCATTCTTCCAAGCCGACATCACAAAAACTCTCATCCCACATTGCCTCCACATCTCGTTCGAAAAGTGCTCCATATATGCCGGACCCTTCTTACGGGCGACTTGTGCTTGTATCTCCGGAGGCGGACAGTTGTTGGACCACTCTTCCGCTGTTTCTTTCGCCTTCTCCAACTTGTCGTCGTCCATTCAGCCATGACTCTCTTCACCGCCGCCTGATAATGTTTGAACATACCAGGATCTCCGGGCTTTACCCCCTGACTCGTCCTCAATCCTCTTCAGCACCTCTTCGCGTTTCTGCTGGTAGACCACCATCCTGGGCGTTGTAGAAACAACAATACTGAGAGGAACAAATGATGCTCCAAACTGTATCTGTAAATGTTGTGAGGTCGCGCATTGCCTAGTCTGCTATACCTGAGACGACAAGTGCGTTCGACCCTAAAGGGGAAGCGAGTGCAGCAAGGATCTGGAAGTAGGCGCTGAAGGCGCTACTGGTCGGCCAATGCGAAGTGCGAGAAAGCGCGCAGGTACGCGCGAGGCGCGGGAAAGCGAAGGTACGCGCGAGGCGCGGGAAGCGCGCGCGCGCGTGAGCGGAAACAAGTGAGAGTAAGTGTGAGTTTGCTTAAGTGATGATAGATGAATAACAAGAGATGTGAGCGCGAGGTGTCAAAGAATAGATTGCAACTATATTCTCTAGGTGGTAAGTGGGTAAGTGGGAGGTCCAGTCCAAAGTTCGAAAGTTCCTAATAGTATGTAATGCTGGCGCTTATATACGGCGCCTAAGCGCTGTCACGCGGAGCCGAAGCGTTACCGAGTAAGGTATGTAAAGCTATATGTAAGTAAGGGTCCATGATATAAATAAAGGTGGAATGATATGTAAATAAGGGAAATGAAAATACACGCACTAGAGAGCTTGGTGGACAGTGGATGGATGCTTCCGGAAGGCTTGCGCTATAGGGCGATCAAGCGCGGGAAAGCGTGCGCGCGTATACATCATAAAGCGCGGGAAAGGTGCGCGCATGGCGCGCGTTGCGCGGGAAAGCTGCGCCTCATATAGGGATAGCTGCAGATAGCACACAGAGTGATGCTGCAAGTTCGTGCTGTGTACTCCCTAGTGAATACTGCCATATCACACCATGAGAGGCATGAGTCTCTACAGCGTCCATTTCCTCCCATACTTGATGGTGTCCTTCCTTTCCTTCTTTTTCTTGTTGTTGAACAACCAAGTCTTGTACACCTAAGATTTGATGAAAAAATGTGATGTTGAAAATTTAGTTTTTCAACGCAACAAAGGAGCATCACCTGCTTCCTCTTTTTCCATTGTTTTTGGTCCACCTTAGGAGCAAACAACCTGGCCACCCTTGCTATGGCAGTGAAAATCCCCCTCTTCTCACTCCTTTTGGCGGCAGTCCACTCAGGAAGGTAGTTCTTCAACTCCAAAATCTCCTTGTCTGTGAGCTTCTGAGACTGTGGTTGACGCGCCCTGTGTCTTCCGGAAGTCATGTTGGTGGAATGACCTGTTCTTGCCATAGTGAATCAGAATGCAGAACGGGCTGAGGATTTGCAAGGTAGAAGTATTAATGAATTGTGCGAAGTTGAACTTAGAGCAAAGCCTAATAATCTGTTAATCGGCCCATATTTGAAAAGAATCCATTAATGGAAATGAATTTGTAATGAGCCAACAGGACTGCACAGCATCATATTGCAATAACAATTCATTACACCTGAGCTGATGCCTTGCTTGCAACATTAGTAAACAAGATGAAGATAGGTAGATGCACCCCAGTGCAAAAATCTCACAGGGTGGAAGCAAGGGGCAGCAAAGGTAGGAAGACTTGGGTCAAGGTCCCACTTGCAAGCACGAGGCGACATGCCTACAGGTCCATGCCTAACTCTCCCCCAGAATCACCAACAATTCAGCCTGTTGAGGCACCACCTCCTTGGGAAGACTTTCCTGACAATACTTATGAGCAGGACCAAGGCTCCTTTGAGCCTTTGCAACTCCCAAAAACCATGGCAAGTTCATGTACAATGTTGGAGTGTCATTTAAACTATGGCTAAGCATTCAAAAATACAGAGTCAAAATGACTACCTCAGGCAATGGCTGCCAAGGCAGGAATCATATCTACATCACCTCCTTGATCGAGAAGCTCCACCAGAAGACAGGAGATGCATCATCTGCGAACAGGATGGGGTGTACAAATGTCAAGATTGTCTTGGCGAGCCACTCTATTGCACGGGCTGTTGCAGGAGTCAACATTGTAGCAATCCTTTCCACTGGATCAGTCAATGGAATGGGCGATTCTTTGAGCGGAGTTGTCTCGCTCATGTGGGACTCATTATACACCTTGGCCATGATGGCAAACAATGTCCGGAGGTCACCTGATTGGTGGAATTTGTTTGAAGAAGATGAACCTGAAGACCTGCTCGAGCCTGAAGATCTGCCATTTGTGTCCGGACCCGAGTTCCAGCCAAAGGAAAACACCATGGTCATTGTAGACAAGTCCGGAGTTCATCGCCTGGAGATTCGATGTTGTGAATGTCCGAATGCCATGAGTCCGGACATTCAAATGTTTCGACACGGATTTTTCCCTGCATCTTTCAACAGGCCAAAGACTGTGTTCACCTTCAGAGTGCTCAATGATTTTCTACTGGACAGCCTTGAATGCGGCACCTCGGCGATGAACTATTACAGCAAGCTCCGGCGAATGACCTCCAGCATGTTTCCACACCTTGTTCCGGTAATGCCTTACCCTCTTCATCTACTGGACATCATATTGACAAAGCACATTGCAAGGACCGATACAGAGAGCTCATGAGGGTCGCTCGACAGTGGAGGCAGTTGAAGACAATGAAATGGCATGGCTTTGGCCATCGTTCTGATAACCCGAGCACAGGAGAACTCGCATTATTTTGCCCGGCGTGTCCTCAGCCAGGGATTAATGTGCTGTTGTCAGAGGATGAATCGCTTGATGAGTGAGTCCTATTCTCAACCAATGTGGCCTCCATAATAATACTAGCGATCCAAGCTGGAAATACACCTGGTCATTTGTGATGGACGGAAATTTCAAAGCCGAACATCTGCATCCCATTAAGCCATTCGATGAAGTTTGGCTATCCGATGGGCTTGGATTCATGGTAGGAAAGGACCGGTATAAAATGCATCTGGCAGAGGCTGCTGACACGGTGGAAAAATCAAGCTGCAACAACCACCGGGCAGTAAATCAAGCTAATGCTGCTCGGCACAAGCTGGAGTCCACCGGTATCGGGGGAGTTGCCTGTGCCAGACACGGTTGCTTTGTCCCTCACTCCATGGTGGATTTTCAGAAAGGCGAAAGGCAAGCCACATCCACCATTCCTCATTCACGAGTTAACCATGGGTCACTTGCAGACAAATGAACATGGACTACGCCCTTTGCGAGGCTTCCCGGCACAACATGGAAGGCATCACCAGGGCTGTCACCTTCTATGATATTAATTGTCAATACAACAAACACTTTCGGGTTCGGGTGGATCGAAGTCGATTTCTAGACATGGCACCACAACTAACCATCATTCCCGGAATTGGGTTGTGGCACATTCATGGCCATCAGGACAGCTGCTATGTCCGATATGCTTCTAACTTTATTGAAGGCATTGGTCGGATCGATGGAGAGATCATGGAGACGCTATGGGCACGGCTCAATCTGATTTCCCCTGCTGCTCGGGGAATGTCATCTCCCCACCGAAAGGAATGCCTTGATTATCAGATGAATGACTCCAATTTCTGCAAGATGATTCGCATGAAAAGGACTCTATGCCGGAAATACAAGCTGGCGAGGAATGGCATCTCGGAAAGTGGAAAGGCATTCGACAGACTCGATGAAGCAGCACCCTCACATTTGAAGACAGAATGGTTAGCCAGGGAGAGGATAGCTCAGTCAAGCAGATTGAATGATCCTGCGGCGATGGATGAATATGAGATCAATATAAAAAAGGGTACGTTGAGTTCCATTGTCTCCATTGAGGTCAGAATTAATATTGCACTCAGCACCAAGCAAAAAGGAGATCGAGCTTAGATTATTAGAGGAGGGTAACGCCCGCAATGCAGCACCCTCTCGCAGATCTGTGGCGACGTGGATATCAACAGGGTTAGCAATTGAAGAGGCTCAGATTGCATTGCTCATCGAGGTCCGAAGGATCGGAAGAAGATCCACTGAGACACAGAGATTAGACATTGCCCGTCAACGCGATCGGCTCCGAGGCCAGATAGATGGATTTGCTCGGTCTGCTCTAACACATCTCGGGGAGGGATTTGATGCAGATGATGAACCTGAGGACTTGAACGTAGACATTCTAGATGATCTCGATGATGACCCGGCGGATTTCACAGAGACATCTCATACATGGACAAACTCTCCCGAGCTCACTGTAATCCCGTTGCCATCAAACCTGGGTGTTGATAGATGCAGACGATGCATGGCAGAGGATCTGATTCCCCTGGAGATGTCTCTTCGTGAAGGGCAGGCCAATGATGCCCTTCACAATCTCCGCATTTACCTTTGCAACAAGGCCATCCTGTTCCGAACAACCGTTCGGCAGGCCAAATCCCAGGCCCTGAAAACTCGAGCTTGGTCCCAGGTGACGTCGGTGCAGCAGGCAGTCTCCCTCCATGCCAGCATATATACAAAGACCAGAAAGCAAATGATGAAACTTGAGCCGGGGCAAGACCAGCTTCAGAAATACAAACCCCTGCTTTGCGAGCAACTCAAAATCAGCACTGCAGTGGGCGACCCAAATGCCCGAGGTCAACGAAATGAATCTTTGGCTTGGTTTTGGTCTGTTGAAGTCGACCTCGGGGGTCCTGATCAATCGTGGAATGAGGAATGTGAGTTCCTGCTTGCATGTCATATCCCACGGTTACCTGACTGGACCCATGCCAAGTTTACCGAGTCCATTGGCTGCGGGCAAAGGCACTACGAGATCGATGGAGGGAAGAAATGATATTGGTCAAATTGGAGATGGATTGGACATGTAAGTTCTTTTTGTGGAAAGCAACCCAATGGGGCGACCACATGCAGGAATCATTGGAGAAACGCCTTCCGGGTCACGGATGCTATGCCGGAAGGCAATCGCGAATGTATTCATTGCTCGCACAGGATGCGCATGCAGCTTTTCAAGACCTACAAAACGTGTTGATAGAGGCTGGAGATGAATGAACATTGTTTTCTCATGAAGTCCCTTTTTCCACATACATAATTGAGGCCCGGGAATTGTCCGGGTCAGCCCATGTCGGAGTTTGAATTTCGTATCCATCCATCAGTGATTCTTATCTTCACATCTTCACCATCTTTCACTTGCATTGCCAGCGCCATAGTCCTGTATTAGCCATGCCTGCAACTCCTGCATCCACTTCTGGCACTCTGAATGCCAGAAGCCATTACCGACCCCTGAAGCTGAGCCTTGGAACTATTTCCTGCACATTGGCAATGGCTGGATCGCGGGTCCGTGCATGCATCTCTCAATATCAGACGGAAGCTGCCAACAATGGTCTATCTTCTGACCGGATAAAGTATTTTAAAGCTGGGCTGCAATGGGAGATGAATGTATGTTACCACTGCCCTGATGACTTTGTTGGTCAATGCTAAAAATTTGAGCAGACTTTTGTCACACCACTCCTGCAGTACTCAGCTTCACAGAATATCGTGTCGGTTCTTCCGGTCCCTGTTGCTTATATCCTCAAGTTGTATCCCATGCTAACCTGGAACACGGTTCCGGACGACGTCTTTTCATTCCACCTCCTTTCATTTGATGATGAGGCAATTGCAGGACATCCGTCCCGGATTGTGTTTGCATATACATGTCCATGGTAGATGGGAAACACCACAATCCCGGATCAACCATGGCAGTGGGATGAAATAATGGCTTCCTGCGTCTCTCACTACCAGTATTGGGCGGTAAGATGTTAGCTGAATTGCCTTGATTGATGACTTATCTGTTCTAGCTTAATGTTGAGGATGATGCTTTGGTTCTTCCAGAGAAGTTGAGAAACACTTCGACTCCACCACTTATGGGACTGAGGTGGATTAAAGAACACATGGAAGCATTGATGGAGGAGCAAGATGAGGGCATCAAAGCCAAGATGGCAGAGGTGAAGATGTACACTGACATGTTAGAGAAATTGAGGAAAGGCAAAGGAGTGTAGTCCCATTCAGTGTTCATTGTATACAAGATGTAAAATATTCTATGCATTCAAAAATCTTGCACCCGAGTCCCGGAAGCCCAGGTCCCGAGTCCCGAATTTCGGAGTTCGGGGTTCGGCGACCCGGAGCTCGGCAACTGTGTTGGGTGTCAGGGTATCCGGAGCATTGGAGATAGCATGTGTCAGTATTTTGCGTTTCATGGTTCATGTTTGGCTGACACATGCGATCTCCAATGCTCCGGATACCCTGACACCCAACACAGTTGCCGAGCTCCGGGTCACCGAACCCCGAACTCCGAAATTCGGGACTCGGGACTCGGGTTTCGGGACTTGGGACCTGGGTTTCGGGACTCGGGACTCGGAGCTCGTGACCTGGGACTCGACAGTGTTCTGAATACTGAGTCCCTGACGCCCGATTCTATAATCACGAAAGATTCCATAATCACGAAAGATGAACCATGAAACGCAGAATACTGACACATGCTATCTCCAATGCTCCGGATACCCTGACACCCAACACAGTTGCCGAGCTCCGGGTCACCGAACCCCGAACTCCAAAATTTGGGACTCGGGACTCGGGCTTCGGGACTCGGTGACCCGGAGCTCGGCAACTGTGTTGGGTGTCAGGGTATCCGGAACATTGGAGATCGCATGTGTCAGCCAAACATGAACCATGAAATGCAAAATACTGACACATGCTATCTCCAATGCTCCGCATACCCTGACACCCAACACAGTTGCCGAGCTCCGGGTCGCCGAACCCCGAACTCCGAAATTCGGGACTCGGGACCTGGGCTTCCGGGACTCGGTATTCAGAACAGTGTCGAGTCCCAAGTTCACAATGTCGGGGTTCAGGGTTTTGTCAAATGTGTACGGCAATAACAAATGTTAATTTGAGCATATTGATACATCTTCCCCCAGTCTCAAATATCAAGTGCTGAGGTCCGGGTGTCGGGACTCAGTACCCCGGCACTCGGGACTCCCATATGTCAAGTCCCGAGTTCCGATTATCGAATACCGAGGCTCGCATCCAAATTATTCAGTCCCATATATCACTTCGCAAATGCTCACAATTGACACACCGGCGGTTTTGGAGTTTTGCACTATGCAAGATTTGTTTTGAAATGTTAATGATAAAGTTAGCATTCTTACTATACATTTTGACACAGTAAAAATGAAAAAATTGGATGAGTGGATAAATCTTGGGCGAAATTCTACATTTTATGAGTCATTTTGACATTGTAAAAGAAAGACATTTAACCGACAGCAAGATCTGAAGAAAAATGATCGAACATTTTGATTCAAATCTTATATCGGGGTAAAATTCCTTTCCAACAGGTAAAATGTGTTTTATTCAAATTTTCCTCAAATCTCACCCCATGTAAAATTTGAATCAAAATGTTCGGTATCATTTTTCTTCAGATCTTGCTGTCGGTTAAATGTCTTTCTTTTACAATGTCAAAATGATTCATAAAATGTAGAATTTCGCCCCCACTCATCCAATTTTTCCATTTTTACTGTGTCAAAATGTATAGTAAAAATGCCAACTTTATCATTAACATTTCAAAACAAATCTTGCATAGTGCGAAACTCCAAAACCGCCGGTGTGTGAGTATTGAGGTCCAGATAACTATTGGTACATGGTATTCATTTGTTGGAATGTATATAGGTCACAATGCATGCTCTTTGTTTGATCTTTCACACACTGTATGGACCATCCACACTAGCCCATCCACATGATGGAACACCAGCGTAAATGTGAACAGAATCCCTCATATACCATGCCCAAGCAATCCGATCCCCTTCCACATCATAAACTCCATGTCTCACAATCCTTCCGGAAAACGCAATCATACAGCCGGAATTGTACTTGAACTCCAGCTGAAGGCTTGGCATTGTCATCCGAGCATTAGAATAGTTCCCCACGGTGGTGAGAATGTCGAAGCATTCAGCAATGGACAAATGGTCTCGATGATTTGGGGTTTCCCGATTGGAAATGATGGAGAGGGTGTTAAACACCGATGCCCAGTACTGCAGGACCTCCGGCATCTGTGGCAGATCCTTGCTTACTGCTATATGTCCGAGGTTTGACAAGGTTCGCAACCCTGCCCAGTACTGCTCAGGATGCATGACTCTGAGTGCCGCGGACGCGATGGCTGCTGGCCTTGAAATGGCTTTGAGGATATTCTCGCAGGAAGGTCCCTTCAATGATGCAGATACCTCCGGATCGGACACATTCTTTGGGATTGGTGAGTATGACTGCCGGAATCACCATCTCATCAGATCCTACCTCGTGTCCCTGTTGAAACCATGCCGGAGATAAATTGATGCATCCGGGAGTTGCCCCAACATCTTCCGAGCCCCGGTTGAACCACTTTTGATTAGTTCGCCAATTGCCATCAGCCCTTACACTTTTTTCGAGGCTTGGAGCGAGCAAATTGGTGGCTTCCCTGATTTCCTTCTGTAGGTTCCATTTGATATTCAATATCCATTGAGTAACAATGTATATTACACACCTGGGTGGTGTCGGTCAGGGCGTCTGGGAGGTACCATGCGATGATGGCACCGGATGCATCGAGAATTGTGGCAGGTTCGTCGACCAACCTTTTGCCTTCATGGCCAGGAGGACACCTCTCAAGCAACCTAGCCTCTCTCTGTTCATTATGCCCGGTGTCCTTCGGGGAGATCAATTTGCTATATCTTGCAATATCCACCTGCATCTGAACTGTCATGCAGGAATTTGAATGATAAAACGAATTTTCCGAATCTGCAGGAAGACCCACTGGGATTTTTATATGCCTTTATGAGTACATCAGCCAAGCGATCGCACGCCATCACCAGATCAGTGTCTAGGTTGGGGGAAGGTATGACTGGGCCTCCTCCAGTCTTCTCTGCCTTGAATTTCTGTTCGGTATATTCCCCTGCTTCATAAGTCACAGTCAGGGCCCAAGTGCGCCAGATGTTTATACTATCAGGAGTGGAAGGGGAAGAACCGTTCATGCTGGATGTTAATCTTGGGAAATCAGACACTGAATGCTGAATGTCCGGACTTTGGTGTTAAAGGGGGTGGAGATAGAGAGGATCAGATAAGGGAGCCTGAGATAATTTTGGCTGTCAAAGATGTATTATTATCCATTGCTCAATGAAATACTACCTGATTGGAAGTGTGCTGGTCATCAGATATTCATTTGTCGACTCCCGGGTCCCGGAACTCGGAAGTCGGTACGGTTGACCCAAATTTGGGTGGTCGGAACTTGGCTTCTTGTAGGGAAACACAAGCCTCGCACCCCGGATTCCAAATTCTGCAAGACAACCTGTGCACCATCAAAGGCCATGTCAGGAGATCACCTGCTGCTCCGGGAACTCGGTAACTTTGATTTATTACCTCCTCTGAGTACGGTTGACTCACATTTTGGTGGTCGGAACTTGGCTTCTCGTAGGGCAACACAAGCTTCGCACCCCGGATTCCACATTCTGCAAGACAACCTACGCACCATCAAAGGCCATGTCAAGAGAGCACCTGCTGCTCTCTTCAGAAACATCTCAACTTCGGTTGGCCATTTAACACGGAAAGTATTAACTAAATTATGTGTTGAGTTCCGGGTCCCGGAACTCGGAGCTCGGTACAGTTGACTCAAATTCTGGTGGTCGGAACTTGGCTTCTCGTAGGGCAACACAAGCTTCGCACCCCGGATTCCACATTCTGCAAGACAACCTGTGCACCATCAAAGGCCATGTCAGGAGATCACCTGCTGCTCCGGGAACTTGGTAACTTTGATTTATTACCTCCTCTCTGATTTGGTTGATGTACAACTACCTCAGCTCCATCATGTCTACAATTATGATACACATGGGCCCACCCATCTATATTTTATACCACCCTTGGCCCACCCGTCTAATAAAACATCCCATACAACACCCTCGGCCCACCCGTCTAATTAATATGCGTCTGGGCCCACCCGTCTAATACAATATTTTATAATACCCTCGGCCCACCCGTCTAATTTAATATGTGTCTGGGCCCACCCGTGAATGTGATAACAAGTACCTACCCATCTATCTCATACACATCTACCTTAATACACCCATCTGCATAATATCCAACTACCTCGGCCCACCCGTCTACCTAATATTCATGTACATCGGCCCACTCATCTACTCTATATATTCCCTGCATGGGCCCACCCGTCTCCATCGGGAATAATTTGCCTCCCGGCCCATCCGTCATAGTCGAGGATATTTTTATCATGGGCCCATGGTCCGCTGGCCCGTATCATACGGGATATTATGCATGTCCGTTCCCTCGTATTATACGGAGATAGGTCACTGTAATATGTGGTTCTCGCAGCTCACCACCGTCAGACAAGGCAAATTCAACGGTGGGGCAGAGAAGTCGAGCTAAACATCTGATTAGTAAGAAAGCAGGATGCAGTTGCTGTTCAACATACGAGCAAGATGTAGCAAGGAACATCAGTGTGGGGGTTCAAGAATGGTGAGGCATGCAGCATGGGCGTCTGAATGTAGCCCACAAGACACAACTGCTCTCTAAGCTTTATAGATGTCAGTTTTACAGCATATAGAAGGTAAAATACTTTACATTGAGTCGGGCATTTGTCGGGACAGTTCCACCATGCTGTCCTTTATGACTCTTACACAATGTCGGGTCAAAACTATTAATGCCATGGGTAAAGAGATGAGAGATTATTTCATTGGCCCAATGCCAGTTGAGGAATTTCTCCAGGAGTTCTTCCCGAGTTCTGAAATACCCGATTATGACCCTTTGTACTTCACTTCAGCCTTTGCTGCTGGCGCATTCAGCGATGTGATCTCAATTAAACATGAGGAGCGCGCTTACACACCCTTCGTGAGTATACTATTGCACATATGATAGTGACACTATTGACAGTGTAAGTTCAGATTAACGCCATCAAACCTTTCACTCCTCAATTGTCATTTGTCAACACTCACAATCACGCGGACACACAAAACTGCTCGAAAATCAATTCGACTGTATTCAATATCAAGCCGGACATTTGCGTGTATCCCGATGGGTGTGCACCTTCATCGCCCAACTGTGACGTTTCCTCAACAGAAATTATTATCAAATTCAAATGGTCATACTCCCATGACGCATTCTGTGAACCTTCTGGAGTTGATAGTGTTGTATCCCAGACGGAGAGGGGTATGGACATGTTGGGACAGATAGCAAGCTATACTGCAGCTCAGCTTGGCACCCAGTTCTGTACCCACGCATTCTCTGTCCTTATCGTGAGTGATCGCGCTCACATCATCATGGGATAGGGAGGGAGCTATTGTCACTGGCCCCATCAATTACAATAACCAGCCACACTTAGCCAACTCCTTTCATCATTACGCACGAGCATCACCTGAAATGTGTGGTGTCGACACTTCCATAACACTTGCTAATGATGAGGACGCTGACCTTGCAAGGTCACAGCTAAACATTCCCAGTACCACCTGTATGTTCAAAGTCGAAGTCTCTAATGCTGAGGGTTCTGGCTTGCTCACGTTGGTCATTCCCTAACCTGTTGTTACAAAACATCATTCACCTGTTGGCTGCTGGACTCGCACATGTCCTGCATTTGACCTTGTCAACAAGAAGGTTGTAATGTTCAAGGACTCTTGGTGGGTGTCATTGCCTGATGTCTTACCGGAAGGCGAGACCTACAAGTTGTTGATGTCACACAAGGTCTCCAATATCACAAGCTGTATTGCATATCACAATGTACCCCCCTCTATCCCTCAGCAATCCACTCAAACTGCTAAGTTCAGATGCGCTAAATGGGCAAGTTTCCAGTCACCCCTCACTCTACACACTCTTCACCATCTGGTCCTCAATATTGTGGGCAAAAAATTGACTGACTTCAAGAGTTCTTGTCAACTTACTCTGTCTGTGCGTGACGCACTGATTGGTATGTATTTTTCAACTTCACGTAGCATATCTTATTCATGATCTATCATCGCAGCTCACAAGGACACATTTGAACGTGCGCAGGTGTTACATCACGACCTTAGTGTTGGAAACATCGTCATTTACAAAGGGAAGGGCTATCTCATTGATTGGGATCTAGCAAAGCTAGTTAGCATTCAGGGTCCCCAACAAAAAATGTGCATGGTGTGTTCATTCCATGCACAAGCTTTATATTTTGTACTAATTCTATTATCAAGGGAACCTGGCAGTTTATGTCTGCCTACCTCGTTGAGCATAGCAATGCCATACATTCTGACATGCACCAAACCGGTTTTGTGCATGGTCATGGCTACCTTTTAGCTTTGAAGTTCCTTATGTTTGCTCTACGAAATTACTATGAACTTTTTACACTGCCTTATGATTTTATTTGAGTAATTTTCAGACCTGAAGACCTTGCAATACAACTTAACTGTTCAAATTAATACTTATCTGGTTCAGAGATCAGTTCCAAACATACCACAACAGATTATTCAGCATTTCTCATGAAATGGATTAGTCAGATATTTGAGTGGAGAAAGTTTATAGATGAGAATATTTGAGAAGTGAACAAGTCAACATGGAACATTTTGACGACTGAGTCATTATGAGTCATTTTCTGTCTGAGTCACTATGAGTCATATCCGTTATGAGTCATTCTGAGTCATATTTCCTTATTTAGAAAGTTACGCAGCCACATTTAGAGTAGTATATAAGGGACTCTGTTTCCCCTCTGAATAATAGATTCCCCTTCTTGAGAGATTCCCTTCTAAGAAGGAAGGAGGATTTGAGTATCTTCCTAAGTTTCTCACCCTATATTTGTGTGAACATCTGAGTGAATATTAGTTTATTCCCTCCATTCATTTATCATCATTTCTCACGACATACTGATCTTCTGAGGCCTATCTTGAGCCAATCCTTAAAGTACGCTAGCTGGTACACGGTTATCAGTCATCTAGTGTAGTTTCATCATTCTCTTTATGACACAGGATATCTTTTCTGTGGGGAGAATTCACGTATTTCTTAACGATTAGGAAGGATGACAAATAAGACTAGCACTTTACTCAACAATATTAAGAGCTTGGCTACTTTAAGACTACATCACGAGGGTGTACTCTGTTCTGACCTGTGTCATACTCATCGAGCAGTACCTGAGCAGCAGAGAAGTTAGTTTCGAAGCCACATATTTCGGTTGATTCAATTGTGTTAGAGACTTAGTTTGATCTCCTCTGATTTTGAGAATAGGGAGTGTTTATGAGATAATACTCTGATTCCTTTGCATATTGTCGTGATCTATATTCTTCATCTTATCTTTGCATATCTTTGCAACCATCTTCTTGTAGCATCGTAGCACTGCATCAAGCCAGTTATCAATTCGGCTACACCATTGATCATCAATCCTTATCATCTGTGTCCTAAGTACTGCATCAAGCCAGTTAACGGTTACTGTTTCTGAGATTTATCTTGATCTCATCTTGTTCAAAGTCATTAGGAATTTGCTTGCTGTGACAAACCCAACTTTTACACCTCCTCCCACGAACGACCACATTATCAACCGTTGGTATTTGTCTGAACCGTTGACCGTGGAGGATAGTAAGAACTGGTGATTTTATTGCCAATCACATCCTAGTAAGACAACACCGTCAAGGATGATCTTGAGTCCAGCTTCTACGTCATTCTGTGGATGGCTCTTATGTACAAGGAGACCTACATGGACATTTTCCGTTGGTCAAAACTCATAACACAGGTCTTCAAAAGTGATCCTGGATCATCTGCAAAAGCACATTGGCTCATAGCGAGAACCAACCTTCCGCGTGTTTTGTTTGTCGACTGCAAACTGTTCGATGGTCTTATTCATACACTTGCCAGGTTCTTCTCGCATCAATACACCGAGATCACCGACCATCAACAGACGACATTTGACAACTTCCAGCTCGCATTTGATCAATCAATGAGACAAACCTCTGACATGAATGAGCACATGTTGAAGGTTGCACATGCGTTCATGGTGTCCTCCCCTGTTTACCAGAAGGAGATGGGTATGAAGCTCCTGCACTCAAACGATGCTGTGGTAGCAATTTTCAATGAATTCCTTGATTTATCCGGCTGGCCTGTCAAGACACTGCTGTGCTACGCACACCCCTGCAGGAGGGGAAGCACAGGACTGCCCTATTGGTCACAAAGTCTCAGTCACTATTCACCTCAGGGGTAGAAGTAGTGATGTTCCGGCCCAGCTTGGGCTCAAGACCCTGGCTTAGGCTCGGCCTGGGAGGGCTTAGGCTCACCAGATTTCAAGCCTGAGCGGTGAGCCCAAGCCAGCCCAAAGCCGTGGCTTAGGCCCATGCAAGCTGCAGCCCACATGCTGAATCAATGTCCGAGCTCCACCATGCTGTTCCCAACACCATGAACACCATGTGCAAACGCCCAGCACACATCAGCAACTGCTGACGTGGCTCAGACAAATATGGACGATGGATGAGATCAGGAGAAGGGAAGACAAGGAGAAGAACAAGAATGAGAGTTAGTTGTATGACATACCACGATGACCTTCAACAAGAGATCGAATGTGCTACACGCTTCCCAGACTGCCCCAGTGCATTTATTGTTGTAATAGACGTTGTCGGCAGTATTGCCTAGCTTGTTTGTGGTGTTCAGGAGGGCCTTGCGCTCTGCGGCACAGCTGGAAAAGAAGTTGTCAGTCGACACATATTGCAGAGACGTTGCAACTTACATGGTGTTGTCAATGAGTTCCAGAGTCTGCTCATAATCTGATGTGGCATGGACAAGGTTTGATGTGGCACACCCACACACATGACTGGCTTGAAATTTGTGAGGTCGACAGCACCTCTGCCTGTGAGCATGTCTTTGCGCACATGGAATTACTTGATGTGCACGAGGATGAGCATGCTGCTGTGCTCGCCTGTGACTGGGTAGGTAATATCTATCGATTTGTAGAGCTATTGAGAGGTGAGGATGTCAGTGAACAAGCGGGCTCAGTGTGAAATGAATTTACCTCACATTCCATGCTAAAAGCGCTTTCCTTGACACGTGAGGCTCTTATTTGCACCTGAACATGTGATTGTTAGTCCACATATCATATGATGAAGGTGCACGTGTATGCATTTCTCCTTTGTCAGACCACTGAGAGCCCACTCGTCGAAGTTGGGAGGAGCATCTATAGCAGTTGCATTTGCATTCTCAATGAATGCCTTGCTGATGATGTTCACGGCGAATCTTTGGCCATTCTTCAGGTTCGTGGTCGTGTCTTTGAGGCTGCCCATAGCATTGTGGTTGATGGCGAATGAGATGACGGGCGGGTAGTTCGTGACCTATGGGGTGAAGTTATTAGACCATTAAAGGGACGCGTTTTTGTTGCATTGCTCACTGTGTTGAACCAACTGGCGGATGCAAGCCAGGTAGTAAGCATGTAGATTCTAGAATATGTTAGATTATGGAAATGTGCACCTGAGCCGCATGACCACCGACATGACAAGGCATCATATCTCTATGTCCCAAAGCCATGGCTTAGGCTTTTCTAAATCCAAGCCCAGGCCTAAGCCCTGCTCAGGCTGTGACTTAGGCCTGGGCTGGGCCCGGCCTATTTGGGCCCGGCTTGGGCCGCCCCAGGGCTTCAAGCCGGGCCTTGCACATCACTAGGTAGAAGTCACCCTGACTGGCAAGAGGTGTAGGCTGGATAAACCGGATACGGATGTGGATGATAGTGATGTACTCAGCTCAATAAATAGCCTGAATGCTCTTGTGTCCCTTACTTAACCTCATGTTGCATGCTATTTGATACTCAGACAATTTAAAAAATGATACCTGTAGTGTTTATGATGTTCATGTGATGAATAAGGTTTGTCATATCACTTCTTAGATTCGCTGGCTTTTGCAAAGGTGACAATCATACAATATGTTGGTCTGGGCTAAAACCATCAATACACTATTATCCTCGATTTGCAACAAGGATTATTATAATACAATGCCCGATGAGCGCCCAACATAATTTTCTACGATCAAAATTTTCTCATTTTCTCAACCTCATTTTACTAGAGGACAATTTGAATTTTCTTCTGATGGAAAAATGCCCATTATTATATAAGCTGGTAGTGCCAGCTAAAGTGGCAAAACCCACTACCTTATCCTTTTTGTTTCTCACATGCCTACTAGGGGTCGGTGTTACCGACTATTTACCTTGCTCCGGTGTAGAAACAACAATACTGAGAGGAACAAATGATGCTCCTGACTGTATCTATAATGTTGTGAGGTCGCACGTTGCCTAGTCTGCTATACTTGAGACGACAAGTGCGTTCGACCCTAAAGGGGAAGCGAGTGCAGCAAGGATCTAGAAGTAGATGCTGAAGGCACTACTGGTTGGTGTGAAGCGTGGGAAAGCGCAGGTGCGCGCAAGGCGCGGGAAAGCGAAGGTACGCGCGCGTGTGAGCGGAAACAAGTGAGAGTAAGTGTAAGTTTGCTTAAGTGATGATAGATGAAAAACAAGAGATGTGAGCGCGAGTGACGAGGTGCCAAAGAATAGATTGCAACTATACTCTGCTAGGTAGTAAGTGGGTAAGTGGGAGGTCCAGTGGAAAGTTCCAAAGTTAGTTAGGTATGTAATGCTGGCGCTTATATGGCACCTAAGCGCTGTCATGCGGAGCCGAATCGCTACCGAGTAAGGTATGCAAAGATATATGTATGTAAGTAAGGGTCCATGATAAAAATAAAGGTGGAACGATACACAGATAAGAGAAATGGAAACATACGCACTAGAGAACTTGGTGGACAGTGGATGGATGCTTCTGGATGGCTGGCGCTATAGGGCGCTCAAGCGCGGGAAAGCGCGCGCGCGTATACATAGTAAAGCGCGGGAAGTCGTGCGTGCATGCTGCGCCTCGTAAGGGAATAGCTGCGGATAGCATACAGAGTGATGCTGCAAGTTTGTGCTATGTACTCCCTAGTGAAAACTGCCATATCACACAATGAGAGGCATGAGTCTCTACACCAGCTTCCAGTGAGTTTTCTCGTCCCCAATTTTATTTATGCAAACACAAATACTACTACACTCCATACTTAGAGATACAAGTACATTTATCAGAGAACTATGACTTAGTCTTTTGAACCGCTTGCTTTAGTCTCAGTAGTTAATGTTGTGGTGGACCGCACCCAGTCTAATCTCTTTTGCGTTCATGTTCATCCGGCAGGGTATCAAGCGGATGTTCACTCCTAGACGATCAGTGATTGTTAGTATTCCATCGAATCCCTGTTCAATGGGGAGAGGGCCTATGAAGTCCATTGCCACTGAATCCCACATTTGTCAGGTGTAGGGAGGGGATGTAAGGGTCCGGTGGGCCTTGTTGTTTTGCTCTTGTTTCTCACACATTTGGGACATGCGTGGATATAGCTGTCTTCGAGATTGCGCCTCATGTTGGGCCAATAGAACGACTGTCTTAGTGTCGCATACAATTTGTCAGTGCCAAAGTGTCCAAGGTTATCATGGGCTAGTCTGAATAGTGTCTCATGTAGGTGGGTCACTCGTGGTATGACCATATGGTCGTTGATATATAGTAATCCATCGCATTTTTGTAGCCCTGGCAAGGAGTCTGTCAGTTGTGACAATCTGATGCACTATGGGTCCTTAGTGTAGCCGTCTTTGATGTCGTTCAGTAGCGAAGCATCTGGAATAATTGAGAGTATCAGTGTGATACAGCTGGTATTGTTACCTGTGTTTGGAGGTAAGTTCCTTGTCTGTTTGATGTACGTTGGTTCGCTATCTGTTTCCGGTAGTAAGCGAGAAAGTGCATCAGCTACGACATTGTCCTCCCCGGGTATGTACTGTATTGTGAAGTCATATTGGGCAAAGAATTCCTGCCAGCGTGCTTGTCGGTGTGATAGCTCTCATTGGGTCATAAAATTTTCCAGGGTCCTGTGGTCAGTATATACCGTGAATGGGGTACCTAGTAGTTCTACACGCCACTTCTTGAGTGCGTGCATGATTAACAGGAGCTCTTTTTCGTGGACTGGATAATTCAGTTGTGCATTGCGAAGCTCCATGGAGTCGAAGGCCACTGGGTGCGCTGTCTCAGCAGTTGGACCAAAGCTGAGCATCCCACCAGTCCTCCAATCACTTGCATCACAGGTGATGAAAATCTTGTTGTCTCCGATGTTGTCGTGATCAATTGTCATTAGGCAGTCGCAGCTTATTACCAGCTGTTTGATGGCATCGAACACTTCTTGGTGTTCCAACGTCCAGCTAGGCCAATGTGCGTCGGCTGTCTTGGTGGTCAAAGGGGTCAGTATTCGCGTGTGATCTGCCAGCTTTGGTAAGAACTCTTCTAGGTAGCATACGAGTCCCAAAGACTGGGATTTAGCAAAATCATAGATATCAGCAGCTTCAATATGCTTTGCATCACCACTGACTATACCAGTAGTTTTTGATGCAGCCAAAGATCAGTAGACATAAGAGAGGAACAATAAGATACAGTCACCTTGAAGGGCGGATGAAGAGCTAAAGTAAGGATTGTGGATGGGATTCATGTCTTCGCAGCCAACCGTGCACCACACAGCAATCCAATTCATCCCAATCAACACATCAGAATTGAGACTAGATGCGATCTCGAACTCAATGTCAGTCGTGAGCGCGCGACCATGATAAGAAGCCATGAGAACATCACTGAAACAGGAATCTATGCCTTTCGACATAAAGTGTCTGCAGGAAGTGAAGGTGAATTTAGAGTTGCTTGGATACAGGAAGTCTTGATGATGTCTAATTTAAGTCTAATGAGGGGTTTTGGGCAAAAGCCCATAGGGATTCTTGGCCCACTGCAAGTGCACAAACCTAAGGGTCTCAAGGTGAGCTGAGATGGGCGGGTGGGCACCGATCAGATTGCTACAAGTGAGGCTTGAAGTCTTAGGAAGCGAACACAGTACAATGAACAAATGTTGATGAGTTGTAAATGAACTTAACATTTTGTGTTCTGAGAGAGGGAGCGGTGGGCAGGCGCAAAGAATGACAAAAGGTTTAGAGTAGCTAGTACGAGAAACTAATAACGAGTGACTTAGAGTTGACTGTTAACGTGGGTCGGAACAAAGGAGAGTTCCGCCACTTTGCTTACTCACATGTAGACTCTATTCTGTGTTAGCCTTGTGCCTCGGCTAACACAGAAAGACATCTACCAGTGGGACTGGATGACCAAGCAAATGCACAACCACTGAAGTCACATAACAACATGGAGACTCAGAGTCAAACACGACAGACGACCGATAAACGAAGCCATGGTGGAGGTTAGAGATGGTGCTCCAATAAATGTCGGAGAGGAAAAAAGAGCAAAGACTGAGTGCTGGGAAAATTTGAGGCCTAGACCGATCGATCAACACAGCATGTAACCATTTGAAGCGTACTCCCACACTTCCTAGCTAAGTAAGAGTTACATCAACATGTTTCCACACTCTTAATAATGTCGAAACAGCCAATTTGTGAGAACCAGCAGGGCACACCAGCAACCAGCTACCACTTTGATACACTGTAAGGTAGATTTCTTTGTTTGTGAGCACTGGCGGGGCGCCCCAGCAACCAGCTCAACACTTATAAGGTAATATATTTGTTTGTGAGCACCGGCGGGGCGCCCCAGCAACTACCAATATGGTAGGAACGTCAACGATGCACATGCCCCATTGCCACTGTCCCAAAAAGGCAGCTATGCAGCGGCAACACTTCATCAGTGTCATGTCAGGCAGTGAGCTCGCTATCTCACTCATTTCTATGTATTTTTAGGCGCATTTTAACATATATGTACTACAGGTATGTTGGTTAATTATTAATGAACATTTTAAATGAATAAATGATGAGCTGAATATGTGCAGGCATTTATATATTTCCCACCATGGTCATTCAACACACAGCACATGACAAAACACGTCTATTCTCACTCTACATACCTCCCATCAATGACGACCTTCATGAAGGCAAAATACTCTGTCCATGGCACCTCCAAAGGTGCTCTTATTACTGTGGGTCATTGCAAACGTCCAGAATTGATTCGTGCTGAGCATTTGAAACAGAAGGAGCAAGAGGCATTCCATCAATGGAACCATCACATCAGGTGTATGTTTTGTGTTCTTTTTCTATGAGCTGAGATGGCTAACACCCCCTCAACTTGTATAGCACTCGATCTTCATCAATGTGAGCGGTTTTTCCTGGCTGAGCAGGCTACTCAGCCTGCTGATCCCACCACTTTTTCCACCGAATTCGGTCTACTGGACGACACTGACACTACCATGGACATCACTTCTGCTATCCTGCCTGTTGGTGCTGAAGGCTTCGAACTTAGTCACACTGGTGGGGAATATGAGTTATATAGTGAGCTCAGTGGCATGTTGGCCACAACGAGGTGAGTACTCTTTTAGTTTTCCTCTATTTGACAACAGCATGCACTGAACTTCTATCTAGAAAGTGTTATGACCATTGTGATCGGACCAATCAAATCGTCAAAATGGCTGAAGCTTGGGCATCTCAATATGAGGATTTAACTGACACATACCTACAATACATGGAGGAGCAGCCTTCGGACGTAAGTGGTGATGACGCTGACCAGTTCACCATTGAAGTCATCGACATTTTTGGTATGACTTGACATTGTGAACCATGATTTGTACTTATCTCAATAGATCGGTCCTTTCATGTCTTCCGACATATGTCCCCATACCTCAATGTATCGCTCATGCGCCAAGGATGCATTGGAGCATCTCCCATCAAGCCAACAGTGGCCATTACAATACGCACATTGGCAGTGTATCGCCAGACGCACCGTGTGTGTCCACGTCTTAGCATTCATGCTGAAGCGAAAAAGTTGTGTCATCTCCATCAGGTAAGCGCATTCAATTTCGTGGTTACCAACTAACACTTGTATAAGTTCGTTATCACCAGTGTAACACTCGGACTGGCGTTGGTCGCATATCCTCCCTAAATCGTATGTGTCTCACATTTATATTCCCCGACACTCCTTTTACCTTCCGAGAGTTTCTGCGCTCGCATCCGAGTAATCCGAAGGTCGTCCGTCCCCTTCTGAGGTCTGTATACATGTCCGAACCTCCATACCATGTCCTTTCCGTGTCCGTTTGACTTCGCTGGTGCATTTTTAGTTTATCTGTTATTGATTATGTCTTAGGGGCACATACATCGAAAAGCTTGATTAATATGTATAGCTGCATGCCTTGTGTGCTATTACATGCATATCTCTGTAGCGGCTCGCCTTGAGTCTTATTACATTTCGGATAGCTTATCTCACTACTGGTTTCGCCTACACAGATTCCAGACTTTCACGCTGTAGGATATAATCTGACTCACTAGATACTCACACTGCACTTCACTTTCCTGGCTACGAGTCATAGTTTGTAGAGTCACTTTGGATAGTCGTACTTCGTGCAATTGATCTTTTTGTTCATTCAGAACAATTGTTTGGCCTGACCGCTGCCATTTTGCGTCTTGATATCTCTTAGTTCTTCCGATAGACTTTGTCTAGTCATACCCCAGTACCTCTTCTAGTCTTATACTTCGACATATTTCGACACACTTCGACACATCCACCGTATTTCTCTCTTGGAACCTTCGCTGTTCGTCGGACGTCTATCGGACGCTTTGCACAACCTCGGACCTTTGTTTCTTGACTTCAGACCACCTTTGCTCGCATTGGACAAGTACTTTGGTACTTTGGACACATCTTCGGAACTCGAGACACACTTTGGGTAACCTTTCCTGTTCTCATCTTCAATCTTAACAAGATATCCCTTGCATTTATATCAAAAGATAATTCTATAGGCAGTCTCTTTGGGACAAGCATTACACTTGCACATTGAGTTCTAAGGTAAAACATTTTGTAGCGCCTACAACGAATCAACTCTTTACACCAGTATCTTGCAGATCAGTTGCGCGTTGCCTTTGATGTTTATCTTGAAGTCCAGTGTCATGTCGATGCTCGTGTTGACTCTGTGCTAGGTCATGATTCACCCAACTGGCATATGCTCAATGCATGTCCCGCATGCCACTATGAAGTTAACTATGAGCCTGCCATGCCCTTTTCCTTCCAGCTCTCGATGGACAGAAACAATTCTGCCAAACTTGTGGACCCAATTCTTTGTCGTTAAAACGAGCGCCCTGATCCCCGGGACCGACATTGTTCTTTCTGGATGTCGGAGGAATATGTTGATAGGTTCAAGCATGAGGTTTGCAATGCACAACAGCAGGTATTATCACCAACCGAGATGCCAAATTCAGAGCAGGTTGCTGAGACCGGCGATGTGTGGGTCGATGAACCTGACTCGCAGGATTCTAGCTCATCAGAGCCAGTCTGTGTGTGTGTAGATCGATGGCGTAATGCTGCACCTGAAGTGCGAAAGCGGATGTTTGCAGTGTTCCAAAAATCTGGTATATTTGTCTCTGTATGTCGCCATGGAATCCTTCTTATGATATGTGATATGGTGAGAAGTGGGGAACTGTAAGTGATTCTTTTTTTCGGTTACATGACCTGATTCTGTTCGGCCAGAATGAAATACCCGCTTGCAACAATTCACCGGCTTATGGAGGTTTACCAACGACCTTTCATTTATGGGTATGATATCAAGTGTTTGTTCGAAAAGATCGTCTCTCGAAGTTCTCTCTCCTCCACTGTCCATCAACTCGGCATTGATGGTGTGGTCAATGGGTTCCATGTACATGCACATAACCGTTGTAGCACTTGAGCTTGCGCTAGGCTCGTATTCAGCTGATTCACGCTTCATGTCTAATGCCTGTTGCACGATAATCACTTCCCGTTCAATCCGACACTTTGACATCGGACCCGACATTTCCCGCACATTGGACCCAATATTTTCCCGTGCACTTGTCCTATCCGTGTCCCGTCCTGTCTTGCTAGCCCCACTAGGTGCATACTCACGTCATAGCCAGCGCTATTACATGTTTTCCCATAGTCCGCAGCGCCTCGTGTTTATTTACATGTACTTTGGATCCAAAATACTCCGCCGCTACTTTCACCTACGGGTTCCGAATTTCTACGTACTTACATATATATTGGACTGACCTCAAGCATTATTCATCATCCAAGTAGTGGGGAGCCGTTCCCTGATGCTTTGTGGTCAAACCCGATATTTCGTAGTTCTTAGTTGACATTGCGAATATTACCGCTCTTTCTATCCGAAAACACCCATCATTATCGATATTCTGCATACCGCTCGCTTTCCGACACTTGCTATCGCCATTCTCCGTAATCTGCTGAACCAGCACCCGAAACCCGCTAGTCCGCTAACCCAAAAACATCGGACCTGACGCTTTGGCGTCGGATCGTGATTATACCTTCGGACTTTGTTTCCCGTGCTCGGACTTTTGATCACTTGACATTCCACTACTTACAGACTAATACCAGATAGCTAACCCCTCGGGTCGAATGCACTTGTCTACAAGTATAGCAGACTAGGCCGCACAAGACCACAACATTTTATATTGCTGATTACTTACTTCATGTAATATCTAGCAATTGTTGTCTCATTACACCATCTATGCCAGGTCCAACATCATTGCAAGTATAAGGTTGGAGCTGGCAAGGAGGACTTCGAGACTTGTGAGCGCATGTTCTCAGAATCCAATGTGGTTGCTCCAGAAATTTGTAATGCAAGTGAATTCCACCGTCACCAGGTCCTCGATGAACATTTTCGCTTCTCAAACCTTGACAAATACGCTTCTCTCAGTACATTATTTTATATTGATTGATTTGGTTTTATTAGTTCACAACTGTCACTAGGTACATTCATATACCACAATTACGTTCAAGCACTTGACTGCATACGGACGAATGAAGACTTCCTCCATCAGTCTCACATGTCGCCTCAGGACTTTGAAACTGATTTCTTAGACGAGCATCGTTACCTTCAAACTGCTGCAAGTAAGTGTAAAGAGTATTCAGTTGATATTGACTATGTAAAGGCACTACTAGAATTGGAGGACACTGAGTATGCGTTATGCTTGTATCTTGCAGACTTGCTAATAATTTTCATAGGAAAGCCTATCAGGCAGCCTGCAGAGACTTCCAGGCGCTCGATCTCCGGAGGATCAATGACGGATACAGTCAGAAAGAAATCGCTAACGTCACTCGGCGATGGACCAATGCGAGCAAGAAGCTGTCAATGAAAATGGACATGGTAGAGGCTTTTGAAAATCAAATGGGGTTAACGGAGCATTGGTCTCACATAGACCCAAGACGAGTCGCAGCACAATTGTGAATTACGCATCATCATTTTCATAAGGCTGCTGCTGATGTTGAGCGGCTTGTAGTTATGCGGCTGTTAGAATTGACCAAGTTGCAAATGAGTGGGCTCGGTGCGTATCTTGCTTATTTGATAGCTTAATACTCAACTTTCAGAGCAGGGTATAAACTGCGGACTCAAATTTCAAAGGCTTTGAAGACTCGTGCAAATGCAATCTGTAATGCCCTTGAGCGATACAACAAATTTGCTGTGCAACTCGATCCTCCACGCCCTCAGCTTACTTGGGAGAAGATTGCTGAATATTCTTTCACAGGCGAATTTGATCTCCTACATGAAACTGATGGGCAGATTCATGTGAAGCGCTGGGCAAGTCCTGCCAATCATCAAGCTGCTTTACAATATTTTGATGCTCAGCGCTCGAAGGAAGAGCTCACCAGATGTGATGTTGAGATTGTCCGGTTGCTAACGAAGATGAGAGACGATGAGGAAGACTATATGATCTCACTTTCAAAGTTACGGTCCACTGACCCTCCTCTTGCTGCAGAACTACACCGTCGCTGGACACATCTCCACAACATCAATGCAGGGCACCATGACCGTATTCAACAAATTCAGCAACTTGCTGGTTATACTGGGAGTTTCAGTCCAGGTTTTCGAATTGGTCGCCCAGTTCAGCCTTTCATCAGCACTGCCCATGGTTCAGATAATCCGGAGTTGCAGGATGATGGTGATGGCATGCCTGAGGAGTTAGCAGATATGCAGAGCGCACTGGAGGCTATCTGGGGACACCCTGATGAGATCTTAGATGATTCACAATTATAATCACACATTTTCACTTTAGCATGTCTTTTTGTACTACTGGCAGAATGGGATCCGCAGTTCTCTATATTCTAGCATCCCAGTTTAAATATTGATGACTGTCACACTGCAACGATTCTTCAATCACGAATGGATTGCATATTAACAATATACTAGTAAGTGCCTGGTGTACATAATCTGCTGAGTGCAAACCTGTTAAGACCGTGCACAAAGGGTAGGACTGATTCTGAGGGGCTTGGCTTCAGCTCGTGCGCTGCGCCCCTTACCCGAGTATGTGCCCTTAATTTCAGAATGATGTCCGAAGAAAGTCCAAGGACATCCGAAGCGCGGGAAAGTTCGGAAGGACTTTCCGGATGAGTGCAAGTAACTTCCGGACGAGTGCGGGAAAGTTCCGGAGGAACTTCCAGAAATTACGATGAGGTTTCGTCCTGATACAGATACATGTAATGGCTACTTAGGACAAGTCCTAAGTAGAAGCAAACAGAGGAAAGGCTGCAAGGACAAAGTCCGAAGCAGAATAGGTCCGGAGGACCGCGGGAAAGTTTTGGATGAACATCCGGAAACTTCAGAGGATCGGATGAGCAGATGAGCAGATGAGCAGATGAGCAGATGAGCGGATAAGCGGAGCTCTGGCCTAGGGAATTTCTCCCTAGGCCCGAGATGGATATTGACTAAGTTGATAGACTAGAACTGATGTGAGGACTTAGAGTGAGATCTAGTGCGAGGACTAATATGATATTCAGACTGAGGAACTACAGGACATATACAAGAGTTTATATACTAAGGAAATAACGGAAAGATCAGTAAGCAAGCGTCCGAGGCTATGTATGAAGCATAAGCAAAGTTATCAAGTGCGAGTCGGAAATGAAGCATAGGTTAACGGATCAGTAAGCATACCAGTAGTAAGTATAACCGAGATACCGAGGACAAGGAATACCGAATAGAGGAATAGGCTGTGTTAACGTTATATGCACAGGAATTGAATTAGGAAGCTTATTGTATATCGGATCAGATCAGATCAGATCGGACCAGATCGGACCAGACGTCCGGATGAGACACGTGGATATATGGGATATGACATTAGGGTGATGGGACAAAGGATGACTGATGCAGGCTAGCTGAGGTATGGAGGTAAAGGGATATGGATGTGGATGTAGATGTGCAGAGGTGCAGGGATCTGGATGGATAAAGGACTGGAGACATGGATAGGGCGTCTGAAGGTCCGGATGAGGCGTGGGAATATTGTCGGATGTAAGTCCGGAATACGGGATATGACAAGGAGGCTAATCGAGGTCAGTACAATTTCCCCTCATGCTTTCACATTTTTATATGTGCTTTTATACTAGACAAGTCCATGGGTGCAAGAGATAATGTGCACAAGCTTGTCAAAAGGGCCAGTGACTATCACAACCTTTCTGCCGAAGAGCGCAATAAACTTGTTACTGCCTTTGATGAGGAGAAAGAGATCGCTCGTGACAGGCCCCCTAATCTATCTGTCAAGACCCGAAACGCAGAGTGCTCAAATAGTTTCAAGGCGATTGTAGATGAGGTTGGTCATATTTTCATTTTAATAGCTGCTTTCATCTAATTATATTCAGGTTGAAGCTCTGAAGCAACAAATTGGAATGGAGGCACTTGTTGTCCTCGTGCGCGGTACCTGTGATCTCAACATCGAGCCAAAGGTCCATTTTACTAGTTCTGCCATTGAACAATACCTCAGGACAGCGACATGGAAGCATGCAATGGAGTTTGCATGCAAACTAGAAGGATATATCATCTCTGGAGTCATAGAACAAAACGGTGAGCTTTCTTGCTTCTGATCTTCGAATTTTTGACTCATTAACATTTAGGCTTGTCTCTCACTCACAAGGAATGTGTCAAGAAAGCAAAGCAGATTATTAGGAGTGGCATGCAGGCTGGATTGCGTACATTAATCATATTTTGGTCTTGCTTTATTCTAGCATTTTATTAGTTGGAATCACCGGCCATTCGGAGGCCAACTTCGAGTATCTACGCTACGAACATGTAGTCCAAAAGTTCCTTGTCAAGGTTGTCAGATGGACCCATAGTGACTGGGCAAACCCAAGCGATCTGAAAGGAGGGATTGAGGCTCTCGAGACTCTTGCAGATGCTATCAAGCAGAAGACATGCAAGTTTGTGACAATCACTCATGAGGAGGCTAACAAGCACCTTGAATGCATTGCTGCAGGTGAAAGCCTCACACCTAACATTGACAAGGACACCTCTTTGAGTGGAGGCATCAGTGCAGAGCCCTCACAAATGGCGTCACAAATGCCAATCCAGCAAAGTCCAACTATATCGGCCATGACCGCTACCACATCTGCTACCACGACCGCTACCATGTCATCACCTACCACCGCTACCACATCCGCTACCACATCTGCTACCATGTCCGCTACCATGTCCGCTACCACGTCCGCTACCACGTCATCACCTAATGTGATTAGATTCGCCTCGGCTGAGTCCACTACTAGCACACCACCACCTGTCACTAATGAAACCAACAATTTGCAACCCCCTATGGCCAACAGCACCCCACCCATGCCTGATACACTGCCGCCTGCCAGTAGCAACGTGCCATCAATGCAAATCCCCGACACGCACATTGATCCACATCTCCTGAACTATGTCCCTACACCCAACCTCATCAACCCTACACCAGAGCTCATCTTTTCTACCCCCAATCTCACTCTCCCCTCGACTATTCATTCGGCATCTCTCAGTGACCCCTCTGGTGTTCAAGACACATCAGCACTAACTGCTGTCACAAACCACAAGCGGTGTGCACCAGCAACTCTCGAGGAACCGAGGTCCAAGCATTTGAAAAAACCCTCAGCTAAGGCACTGGCAGCGGAGATGGATAATGGAGGCCAAAAGGGAAAGAAGAGCAAAGAAGGAAGAGCTGGGAAGAAGGCTTCTGGACCCAAGAGTACTGCCTATGTTGATTCCAAGAATGAGAATGATCACACTGACACATAGTTTGTCTTTTATGTTTGATATTATCTTGAATCAATGTTTTTTGTCTATATTTGGTGGGATGACTGGAAATTAATCAACATATGCTACATATATGTTAAAATGCGCCTAAAAACACATAGAAATGAGTGAGATAGCGAGCTCACTGCCTGACACGATGCCAACGAAGTGTTGCCGCTGCATAGCTGCCTTTTTGGGACAGTGGCAATGGGGCACGTGCATCGTTGACGTTCCTACCATATTGGTAGTTGCTGGGGCGCCCTGCCAGTGCTCACAAACAAATATATTACCTTATAGGTGTTGAGCTGGTTGCTGGGGCGCCCCGCCGGTGCTCACAAACAAAGAAATCTACCTTACAGTGTATCAAAGTGGTAGCTGGTTGCTGGTGTGCCCTGCTGGTTCTCACAAATTGGCTGTTTCAACATTATTAAGAGTGTGGAAGCCCTTGGCAGGAGAGCCTCCTCCACTCAGTTCCTCCTAACTGACCCTATTGCTACCCCCCACCTGGTTAAATATGTCAATGCAACGGGCAGAATGAGAGCCGTACTCGGTGAAATCCCCACTCCTCCCCCATCCCCGAACTGATCATCCCCACGCCAGATGTTGCAGGTCGCCAGCAAGCGCCTACCACCTTGTCAGTCCCTCGCAAGTCCCACACACCCCATCTCCTCACATCCCTACACTCATTCACATGGAGTCAGCAACGCCATCCCAGCCTTCACAGGATCAATTCGGAAAGCCTGTCCCATCCGTCAATTATGGGTCGCACCCTCCTCATTCCAATCCTTACCTACTGACTCCTGTACCTACCCACGTCAGCGGTTGAGTACGTGTTATCACTTTGATATTCGTTAGCACAGAACACCGATACTGTACATTTAAAGTCATCTCATCTTCAACAGGCGGCGCGTCTAAAACGGCCGGCGGGAACGGCGGACTGGTGGGAGCACACTTCACACCAGGGCATTCGCGCACCTAGAGATGCATTGGGGACACTGGGGGTCCCCACGACTAGATAGTATTGTCCTCCTTAGAGTTTCACTCTCCATAGGACATAAATTGGAATTAAAAAAAAAAAAAAAAAGAGTGTGGAAACATGTTGATGTAACTCTTACTTAACTAGGAAGTGTGGGAGTAATATATGCTAAGGTAGCAGGAATAATATTGTTGGGGACACATGCCTAGGCTTCAAAATTTCGTAATTACCGAGCAATTACCGAGTTGGCAAAGTTTATATTTGTACAAACATTTTATGTAAGCTGACCACTTGATGTATAAAATACACACCCTTGGCAGCACTTTTTAGAGCTTCTCATGGTCTGTTAGACCCGGTTTCCTTGTAGAGCGCAACTGGTCTCTGAAACCACCCTCCCCAGGGAGGTTCTCACCAAATTCCCTAACAGGTTTATGCAACCCTCTTGCACACCTCCACGAGGGGCAACCCTCCTGCCCTGCATCTGTTTGTGCACCTCGTCCGTATCCCTCCCCTCGCCTCAAGAGGCACAATGGTACCCTCGCGAACCACCTCACAGACTTGTCCGTTATCATCACTTAAGATGGTAGCCCTGCCAGTCTTAGTGGCCTCATTGAGAGCCCGGAGAGCCCTAGCACATTATACCAAGCTTCTCCCGTCATTAATATTGTTAGTATAGTGACCCTCTCGTAGCCTCCCACCTTTCCATTACTGGTTATGTTATTTTATTCAATCAGTTACTTATGTTTGGTGAGATCTCCACAGGTTTTCCGATTTAGTGTTCTGAGATGTCCTGGATGAGACAAGCAGGCTATGCAACTGCTATACTAGTATTGACATAACAAATTACAAAGCATAGTAGCTACCAATGTAAGTGGGGTAGGTGGTCATGACAGAGCAACTAGATAATGAGGATAGGCATGAGGAGGGTTGTGAGTCGTAACTATGGATTTAATACATCCCTGAAGGGTGCATTGTAGGTGCGAGAGAGGGTGCGGTGGATATATGAGAGGGTACAAAGGAGGATGTGAGAGGATGCACTGTATATATGAGAGGGTATGAAGGGAGGATGTGAGAGGGTACGAGAGAGGGTACGAGAGGGTATAAGGGAGGATGCGAGAGGGTATGAGAGAGGGTATGAGGGAGGATGCGAGAGGGTACACTGGATGTATGAGAGGGTGCATATTGTCTCTGTAGCTAATATGAGACTATATGAGAGCGTGCAAGAGTGTATGAGAGGATGTGAGAGGGTGCACAGGATGTACGAGAGGGTGTAGTGGAGGTCTGAGGGTGCAAGAGGGTGCACGGGATGTACAAGAGGGTGTATGAGATGTACAAGAGAGTGCACAAGATGTACAAGAGGGTGCAGTAGAGGTGTGAGAGGGTGTGAGAGGGTGCAGTAGAGGAAAGTTGGTGTGAGACGTTATTAGCTGTAGTATATGTGAGTTCAATTTAAAAAAACTCACCAGGAGCATGGCTCAAGCTCGAATGAGGATCAACATGCTGCAAACGGCAGACAACGACTTCGATTAGCATGGCTCAAGTAGAAGGAGGATCAATGGACTCACGAACTGTGAACGGCGGGCAACAACTTCAATCAGTGTGGCTTGAACTCGAAGGAGGATCAATGGACTCACGAACTGCGAACGGCGGGGACCAACTTGGATCAGTGTGGCCCGAACTCGAAGGAGGATGGTTGTAGAGGTTTGCGAGGGTGGTTGTAGAGGCTCAAGAGGGTGGTTGTAGAGGTTTGTGAGGGCAGTTGTAGAGGCTCACGAGGACGAGCAAGAATGAGGGATGACAAGTGAGAATGAGCAAGGACAAGGCATATCAAAGATGAGATCACACACTAGCTGAGAGCAGGACACAGCCGCGGCACCATTGGCATAAGGTGAGCAGTTCAAAGACGAGGTGATGCACTATTAGCTGAGACTCGAGAGCGATGGTTATGGGCTCACATCACAATACACTTCAACCTTGGGACTTGAAAACAGGTGTTGTGTTGAAGAAGATGGTTGGGCATCACAATAAGGTGGAGAGACTGGTGGTATCATGAGATGGTCAAATAATAGCAAGCAGTGTAAATAGATTTTTAAAAACGCACCATATTAAGTCCATCGCAGCCTTTAATGGGACACATCTTTAACACCTGCTTCCAAATCTTTGAAGCTACTATACGATATACTGGTATGTTTCTTTGACAAATCTTAGCCTGCTTAAGAACTCGGACTTTAGCGTGACTGCTCATACTTTTGTTGACATTCACTGCCTGCGATGACACTCTCAGCTAGGCCACTGCCAACCACAAATCCTGCACTCTCAGCCTCCTGCTGCCATCTGACACTGTCATCCCACTACCACCACCTGTAGCGGCTGGGACCTGTTCTTTTGGTCATGGGACACAGGGATGCGTTAGACCATGATGAGATGATTCATTATGACTCATGAGCTGCTGGGATGCAGAGGCAGGTTTGAAGTTCCCATCAAGAGATCCATGTCGTCTCGAGCTCACATTCTACAGGCAATTGATCTTGATCATGACGCTGTAATGTGGCAACAATTACTGGTCACTACACGAAGTAAGTAATCAGCAATATAAAATGTTGTGGTCTTGTGCGGCCTAGTCTGCTATACTTGTAGACAAGTGCGTTCGACCCGAGGGGTTAGCTAAGAACTACGAAATATCAGGTTTGACCACAAAGCATCAGGGAACGGCTCCCCACTACTTGGATGATGAATAATGCTTGAGGTCAGTCCAATATATATGTAAGTACGTAGAAATTCGGAACCCGTAGGTGAAAGTAGCGGCGGAGTATTTTGGATCCAAAGTACATGTAAATAAACATGAGGCGCTGCGGACTATGGGAAAACATGTAATAGCGCTGGCTACGACGTGAGTATGCACCTAGTGGGGCTAGCAAGACAGGACGGGACACGGATAGGACAAGTGCACGGGAAAATATTGGGTCCAATGTGCGGGAAATGTCGGGTCCACCAGTCAAAGTGTCGGGTCTGATGTCAAAGTGTCGGATTGAATGGGAAGTGATTATCGTGCAACAGGCATTAGACATAAATTGTGAATCAGCTGAATACAAGCCTAGCGCGAGCTCGAGTGCTACAACATGCACCTGCTTTCTACTACTCTCAGCAGCGGCTCAGCCTGAGCCACGGCCCAATACAGGTAAGCGAGAACATAACAGTGCTGCCGACCAAACTATAAGTTTGCAGACGATGGGATGTCGTAGAGGTCTCTCGGGACCGTGTCTTTGTGCAATCGATATTTGAGCTCCACCATGCAATTCCCAACACCGCAAATGCCATGCAAAAACGCCCAGTGCACATCAGCAACTGCTGACGTGACTTAGATGAATATGGACAACGGATGAGAGCAGGAAGAGGGAAGAAGGCGGGGAGGATAACAAGGGAGAGGAGATGGACAAGATGGGCAGGAAGGAAGACATCAGGTAATGTGAATGTATGATCAACTGTGCCTCGTTTTGCTCATGGTCCAGAGCTCGAGTTTGAGTAGCGTAGGGAGCTTGGGATACAATCCACGCAATGGAGAACTTGGAGTGATTGTAAGACCTATTAAATATTTTCAAAAACATCAGACATTTGACTCACCGAGTTATAGCGCAGCTTCCATGGTGTCAAGAGCGTCGTCGCCAGTCTGCATTCTCTTGGGTGCGAAAGTATGGGATGGAGGTGCGACAGGATAGAACAGAGCTGCGAGAGGGTCGCAAGAGGATGGGGTGGAGCCTGTGGAGGTGCAAGAGGATTGCAAGAGGATGGGACAGAGGTGCAAGAGGATGAGATGGAGGTGTGAGAGGGTGAGACAGAGGTATGACAGAGGTACGACAGAGGTGCAAGAGGGTGCAACAGAGGTGCAAGAGGGTGCAACAGAGGTGTGAGAGGGTGCAACAGAGGTGCAAGAGGTTGCAACAGAGGGTGCAACAGCGGTGCAACAGGGTGCAACAGAATGTGACAGAGGGTGCATCAGAGGATGCAATGGATGTACAAGAGGGGTGCAAGATGAAGTGCAGGATATCAATTAGTGTACTAAGAACTTAGGAATGATATGATCACATACTTGGAGCAAAGCTATTGAAACACACCTGCAAAACTACCGAGCTGACGAATATGTTGAATGGTACTTGTGTTAGTGGAGGAAGTAGCGCCTGGAAGCATTGGAGCATTGGAGGTATCCTGAAGGCCTACATGGGAGGGGCCCTGGAGGCTCATAAGGAGGTGCACCGTGCTGGAGGCCTGCAAGGGAATGCGAGAGCATGTACTATTATTAGATGGCGGGAGGGTGGGTCTCAGAGACTAGTTTCCCATAACATAGAAACCAGGTCTCTTAAACCCTTTATAGGCACCGAGAAGTGCTGCCTGAGGTGAAAATACATTTAGAAGGACTTAAAATTTGCATCGAAATGTGTTATTTTGTGTTGAATGTTGGACTGAAAGGACAAGTCTCAGTGTGTTGAGTAGAAACGCTAATAATATTCATAATACCTGAAAGGACAAGTCTATAGTACAGACACGATGAGTAAGAGACAAAGTATGAAGACGGTGTGATATGTACCTCAGCGTGTTGAGTAGAAAGGCTGAGGTGTAAATGAAGAGAGAAGACAAGATTATAAACTACATCAGTAAACCACTTCACGCTGTACAGCGCTGCACAGCGTGCAAGTGCTACAGCTTGGTCCCAATTAGCCAGTCCATCACAGTGACACCTTGCGCTGTGAATCTCTGTACAGACACCTACAGACCACCCAGTAATTACGAAATTCTACTTGAATTGCAAATTTTTTGCTGTCCATCTCTGTACAGACACTCACAGAGCACTCAGAGACCCAGAGCTGTACAGACATTTGCTCACTGTACTGCTTACACATACTGGACAATGCAAAAATTCTAAAACAAAAAAAACAAAACCAATATATTGAATAACATGACCACGACATACAGTAGTAGATCACGATCGGGAATACAATGATACGATGCGCCAAGAACGATAAATGCTTGATTGATATAAACTGGGGAGCGGGAATACGAAGCTTTTAGTCAAGAAGAATCTGCAGGTGGTCATGTCTCACCTCAACAACTCCTTCGAGATTCATAGCTGCAGCCCTGTACAAATGAAAATCAGGAAAAAACTTATTGGAGAGAAAAGATCCTCACCATGCCGCTGCAGCCCATTCTCGCAGTTGAGCTGACAGCCTAGGTCCATGATACACATCCTCAAGGATATGTTTGAGCAATTCGAGCATCCGACAATAGACGGGGCCATAGTCCTTGGTGGAAAAATTTGGGTATGACTTCCCATGTCCGTGTTTCACAAGACCGTCGAAGACACAATTGAACTAGTTTCAAGACAAAAAATTAACACACAACATTGGCGAGGGAGACAAAATTACTGCCACAGCAACCAAAGCCAAACATGAGAGTGGCAATTCCTTGCTAAAGGTCTCCGGCATCCTTCGTGCGATTCGATATGGTCCTGTGTAAAAGAATATGATGACGGCTTCACAAAGGGCGGGATGTGCGAAGTTTTGTGTTCTCCCCTAGAAATCTTCCATCAGTAGAGTTGCAATCACCACAAGATCACTTACCTGATTGTCCACCCCAAAGCGTAAGAAGAATGCTCCCTTGATCAATTCAGCAGCAGCGTGCTCGACCCAAGCAGCACGTTCCTGAATGGGGACAGAAAGCGGAGGAATAAGCGAATATGATACTGGTGCAATGCTTATGGCAGTTTTCTTCAAGTCAGATCGCCAAGTCGAAAGATCGTCATACAGCTTTAATACAGACTGTCAATGAGATATTGGCACAAAGTCAGTTATGCACGCACCAACTGAGTCATATTAAATTTTTGTTCTGGCCAAACCCCTGCATCAGAATATAACATATTAGTTCGAGAACAAATGAGAATGAACAAGTGCCTACCAGCTTCAAATTGTTTACCGTTTGTATCCCACACAACCAATACTACAATAAAAACTTCAGTAATTATTCCTGAAAAATTCTTCACCAAAGTTAGAAACAAGTTCTCCAGGGCATGTTGCACACGACATTCTACTTTGGCGTCCTCCAGAAACATTTTCCAGTGTGGTCCGTACCAAGATAATTGATTGGGTGTTGGCCCACCACGTGATGACCTGGACTTTTTGTTTTTCGATGGCTGAACATCACACTCAGACACTTGATTCAGCAGTTCGAGGGATTCAGGGTCAGGAAGACGTGGCTTTCCGTTTTTCTTATGGTGGTGTTGCAGTACATCGTCAGGCTTCGAGGTGATGGTCTGCTCGATGGTGAGCGTCAATTAAAATGGTCTCCCTAATCTCACCTCAATATGTTGGGACGCTTGCCGCTGCAGTCCTGGTGAGATATCTGGAGGGTCCTTGAAAGAAAGGCAATGGTAAGCATGATACAATTGAACAATATGGCCATACCTGAGAGCTTTCATTCCGCTGGACAAACAATATAAAATGAGAGCTACTCCCGGTTTGAGCAGAAAACTTACCGAGGTTTTATCAAGGCTCATCTGGGCAACTACATCATCTTCATCGCGCAAGTACTGGAACTGAATTTCAGGTGTGAGAGAGCGAGTGACTGGAGATTGTGAAGGTGGTACATCCTCCACAAATCCTATAACATTGAATTAGTGAAGCAAAATCACACCATGAGAATGTGTACCTGGGTGTTCTTTCTGGCATCGGCCAGCCTCCCCCCAACCAAACTGCTGTGAGCTCTTGACCATGTCGTCATTTCCCCCCTCCTCCTCATCATCCTCTCCACTGTCCTCTTCATCAGCATCTTTATCATCGCTGTCATCGCTGTCATCACTGCTACAGCCTTTAGAGTCACTATCCTCAGATTCAAATGATGTCAGACGACACTGAGCCCTAACAGTGTCATCATGCTGATGTAGGGCTGGATCTAAATTCTCTTCCAGAAAGACGGACCTCGGCAAAACCACTGGATATTCAGAGACAGCGTTCTGGGTATGCCGCTCAGCAATTGCATCCCGAGTTCGCTTCTCAGCGATAGCATCCTGAGCTCGTTGCTTGGCAATGGTGTCTCAAGCTTGTTGCTCGGCAATGGCATCTCAAGCTTGTTGCTCGGCAATGGCATCTTGAACTCGTTGCTTGGCAATGGCATCTCGAGCTCGTTGCTCGGCAATAGTGTCCCGAGCACGCTGCTCAGCGTCCTTCGCCCCAATGGTGACATACAGGTTGTGCAATGCCTGAATATTTGGCTGAGCAGTACCGGAATGAGCTATTTCTGTTGGAGCAGCAAATCCAAACCTTCCACCAGGTTGCTGGGATGTAAAGCTGGGCCCTGTGGCAATGATATCCTTGGCTGGGGCATCTGGAGCATCCCTAATGAGTGAGCTGTAGGGTGGAGGAACTGCCTATGAAACTATCAACATGAGTAACAAAATTAATTAGACGCCTACGTTTGAATGATTCTTTCAACCTTTACGATGCGGTTCTGGGGCTTGAGGATTGACTGGAATATTGGGACCAAGGGATGTCATACCCTTATGTTCTTGAGTCCGAGGCTTAGATTGCAGTACTGATCCAATCTTCTCCAGTTGCGCATTCCTACCTCCAGTTCCCACGTTAGGGCGACCAGAACGCCGGGGAGCATTTTGTTCAGCTTCTGCTCCAGTCAGGCCGAGGGACACGAGGGGTACCATGCTGGGTACCTCAGCAATGTCTGCAGCCTGAGACTTCTTTGGCAAGCCGGCCTTTGAAGCATCAGATCCTTTGTGCTTGCCAGATTGTTTCTTCTTAGGACTGGTGATGGCACGAGGAGGCATGACTGTAATGAAGAACACAGGAAGAGGTGACTTTGATAAATTATCCCAGACTTACGAGGATTTTATACCATGGCTCATCCGTGTACTACTCAATAGCCATATGGGTAGCAAGAGAAAACTTCATCATTAATAAGAGTAATAGCCTGAGTAATAAAGAAACATACCACCACGAGGATTGTATACTATCACGTCGTACTCCGAATCGATTCGCATGACTACTAGCGTGAAAAAACCTTCATCGTTAGTAATAGTACTCATAAGAGAGATTGCCGATCACATAAGCAAAAATGCTACACATAACATGAATCGTAGCAGAACTACTAGTAGTGACACTATATCACATCCTGGCGTACTACTAGTACCTTGATTGTAACAAGATACACTTGAAAAAAGCTTAAAAAGAACGATATAGTTAGAACAACAATATGGTACCGGTCAGTGAACTATAGTAAAAACGCAACATAGTAGTACAAGCCAGTGAGATTCTAGAAATACTACTGCTAAAGTTAAACATGCCATTCATACTAAGTCAGTGAAGAAGAAAAATAGCTGAATATGGATAATGAGTAGGCTTCACCTCCTGGTCATGTGTCACTGCCCGATGCTGAGTCGGACTCGGTATCACTATGATGAGACTTCTGCCGCTTGGGTGCTACCACAGAGGGAGAGTCTGAAGCAATCTGTTTGCCCTTGACACACTTCGTGAGAATGACAGCATCATTCTTGAGCATGTCTACAGCAGATACAAGCTCCTTGTCGTCGGGGAGTTTGTCAAGATGAGAGTTGAGTACAGCAAGAATGGTGTTGAAGGTAACGGGGTGAATCATGTTGTCCACCAGAACTCTACGCCACTCTATTGCGAGGGGGATCAGGTGCTTGAAGTACGGGTGAAATTTGTCTGTGAGACACTTTTCATCTCCTGGATTTGCGAAAAAGGTGATCTTGAAGGCTGCGCACGATGCCAGGTCAAGGCTGGTCCAATGATCCACCAATGAAGGCACACGCTCCTGGCGCACCATACCATTGGGACCACTAAACTTGATGCAAACCCAAGCAAACATGAAAAAAGGGACTCCAGGTCATCCGCATAGCCTTGGGTGACGTATGATACAGGTAGCGCCAGAGAATCAGAGGATGATTTCGGGGTTTTTGGTTTGTCGACTGAATTGCGTCCCTGAGTCTCTTTCTTCTTCTTTGTCTTTGTCTTCATCTTCTTCGATTCCAGGTTCACCTCCTGCTGCAGGACTGCAAATTGATTGAGAAGTCTGCATGACATGAAAGGGACTGTGCCCTGGCAAATCAATTAATAAACTGAATATTTAATGAATAAGGTGTACTTACTGTACCACTGATGGGATATTTATGATCCGTGGCAATCTGAATGGCAAACTCCCAGTCAATAAGAAACCCTTCACTACCTTTTGAGAATGAAACTGTCGGATCATAGCCGACGCACTCTAGACTCCCGAAATTGATAGCAGCGATGATATGTGAAAATACGTCCAGTTGTTTGTAAATATCAAAGCTGTTAAGACCGTACACAAAGGATAGGACTGATTCCAAGGGGCTTGGCTTCAGCTCATGCGCTGTGCCCCTTACCCGAGTATGTGCCCTTAACTTCAGAATGAAGTCTGGAGAAAGTCCAGTGAAGTCCGGAGGACTTCCGGAGGAGCGTGGGAAACTTCGGAAGGACTTTCCGGATGAGTGCAGGAAAGTTCCGGAAATTACGATGGAGTTTCATCCTGACAGGGATATGTGTAATGGCTACTCAGGACAAGTCCTGAGTAGAAGCAAACAGAGGAAAGGCTGCAAGGACAAACTCCAAAGCAGAATAGGTCCGGAGGATCGCGGGAAAGTTCCGGAGGAACTTCCGGAAACTTGGAGGAATGGTGGAGCAGAGGAGCAGAGGAGCAGAGGAGTGGAGCTCCAGCCTAGGGAATGCCTCCCTAGGCCTGAGATGGATATTGACTAAGCTGGAGGACTAGAACTGATGTGAGGACTTAGTGTGAGATCCAGTGCGAGGACTAATATGTGTAATATTCAGACTGAGGAAGTATAGAGACTTTACAGGGTTTATATACTACAAAGGACTTAACAGAGAATCAGTCAGTGCAGTGCGAGGCTATGTGAGGCTATGGACGGAGCATATAGAAACATCTAACACTAGTCTATTGGAAAATAGTAAATGAAGACGGAAATGAGGACATAGGAAAATAAAGGCGGAAATGAAATGAGGTACGGAAAATGAGTTAGCCTAACTTGAGAAGGAATGTACAAAGGGAAAAGGCACAGAAGATAGACGTGGGTCGGATCTGGATGTTCGGAAGTCCGGAGACAGGTGATTACCATAAGAGGATGAGCGCTGATTTAAGGTTTGGGTTTGGATATGAATCATAGGTCGGATCTGGAGATCCGGAGATGTGGATATCAGATCTGGTGTCCAGATATCAGATGCAGGAGTACAGGGATCCGGACGGATAGAGGATTGGGTCTGGAGACATGGACAGGAGGTCCGGAGGTCCGGATGAGGCGTGGGAACGTCGTCGGATGTTGGTCCGGAATGTGGGATATGACAGAAGCGAGGAGACACAGCACCACCAGAGTGATCATACATTAGGACTCTAAGGTGGCAATATTCGTCTGTGAATGATAATATGAGAGCAAAATGCCTCCATGGCTGTTCACTCATCATGAGATAGGCATGGGTATCTGCAGCCTTCCCGAGTCGCATCGCAGGCCAGTATCGACTGTGAGTGAGTTCAGCTGATACCCTGATGTTCCCCCACTTTGCCGATATATCGTCAGATAGAACGAGATCTGGCTTGCGCTTGATGTCGGTGCCAGGTAATGCCTTCTGTGCACTGGCTGTGCTCCATGTGCTGGTTGCAAAGCACATTTCTACTAGTTTGGGCTGTGACGCTGCTAAGCAGCCAGCCAGAGCATTGAAAAACACAGCAAATATTTCTTCATGAGTTGCTTCCTGCATAGTATCATCACCCTCTGACTTGCCCTCCGAGTCTGCGCCCTGAGCCAAACGACTACTACTACTGGCATTTTTAGGAGGGTCAACTGGAAGAGCCCAGTTCCAAGCCTTCGCTTCAGTATTGTACAGTGGCACAAGAGTATCGGGCGAGGTCCCGCTGAATTTCTTGTTGATGCGTTGGTTGCGATAAAGGATTTTTCCGAATGGGATTTTAAGGCTGAATACATCAGGAAGAGGAACTGTGAAAGACTGAAATATTTTGGAGAGCAGGTGTCCCAGCGGTTGTGAGGCCTCTGGTGAACCCTCATGAGTGACCAGACGATTGAGCTCGTCAGAGGTGATCTTGTTCATCGTATGGACATCGGTGACATCGGGGATAGACAACAACAATGACAATTTGATTCCATTGTCAACGGTCCTGAAAAAGAATGCCATTTTTTCGTACACAGACAATAATGGGACAAACAACGAGCTTATCGCCACATAGCGCCCATCAAAATTCAGTACTCAGTTCAGTGATCTAAGAATAAAACAGACTAGAATAACTACTGGCATAGGCTAGACCACTCGACCATCACGAACGTCACATAGTATGGAAGCTACACCAAAAGCTACATGGAAAGGGGAAAATATACATTCTTATCCCAATACCTGTTGAGCCAAAACTGAGAAGCATGTTCCATGCTATTATATGGGGTGAGATGGTTGTCCGCACTTGCACCAAAGCGAGGGACAAAGTTGACAGGTGCTCTGAGCTGTGTCACAGATATGACATCACCCACCCAAGTGCCATTCGAATGCTTCGCTCATTTGAGCAAGTGGAGCTGCGTACTTGGCTCATGATCATCAGCACTGGAGCTTTGCAAAACAATGTCAAAGCGATGCACGTAAACCAGAAAGTGGTCCTTCCATGACCAATTCGTGCCACTTTTTCTAATGGCACACATGATAAGCCTGATTTGGCCAATCGTATGACCTGCGACTTGACAATAAGTAAACAATTCAGTGTGACATAAGATCTGTCATATCCCGTATTCCAGACCTACATCTGATAATGTTCCCACGCCTCATCCGGACATCCGGATCCCCTATCCATGTCTCCAGACCTTCAGCTTCTCTATTTGCCCAATTTCCGGATCCGATGTCCAGACATCTGATTTGACATTCATATCTCTCTGGATCTGACCTATCTGTCATGTCCAAACTCAAACCTTAAATCAGCGCTCATCCTCTTATGGTAATCACCTGTCTCCGGACTTCCGAACATCCAGATCCGACCCACGTCTATCTTCTGTGCCTTTTCCCTTTGTACATTCCTTCTCAAGTTAGGCTAACTCATTTTCCGTACCTCATTTCATTTCCGCCTTTATTTTCCTATGTCCTCATTTCCGTCTTCATTTACTATTTTCCAATAGACTAGTGTTAGATGTTTCTATATGCTCCGTCCATAGCCTCACATAGCCTCGCACTGCACTGACTGATTCTCTGTTAAGTCCTTTGTAGTATATAAACCCTGTAAAGTCTCTATACTTCCTCAGTCTGAATATTACACATATTAGTCCTCGCACTGGATCTCACACTAAGTCCTCACATCAGTTCTAGTCCTCCAGCTTAGTCAATATCCATCTCAGGCCTAGGGAGGCATTCCCTAGGCTGGAGCTCCACTCCTCTGCTCCTCTGCTCCTCTGCTCCTCTGCTCCTCTGCTCCTCTGCTCCTCTGCTCCTCTGCTCCTCTGCTCCACCATTCCTCCAAGTTTCCGGAAGTTCCTCCGGAACTTTCCCGCACTCATCTGGAAGTTTTCGCACTCATCCGGAAAGTCCTTCCAAAGTTTCCCATGCTCCTCCAGAAGTCCTCCGGACTTCACTGGACTTTCTCCAGACTTCATTCTGAAGTTAAGGGCACATACTCGGGTAAGGGGCACAGCGCACGAGCTGAAGCCAAGCCCCTTGGAATCAGTCCTACCCTTTGTGCATGGTCTTAACAAGATCATAATGTACCATGAAGACCATCTTCTGGCCATAAGTACCTTGCCTCATTGTTAATGATGACTGTGTCATACCGGCCATGTGTACAGGGATCAGAAGAAGGTGCACAATTGAGGGTCTGCGCAGGCCGTATGATGCTAGCATCGTGGAAATTGGTGTCCTGCACCCGAAGTTTAAACCAGACTTGAAGTTTGTTGAAGGGAAGTGAAGCAGTAGGTCCAGCTCTTCTAGCCCCCCCACTAGTATGTATGTGATCCCTCCCATGAGTAGCCTCACAGTGAAGAAAGTCGGCAATAGCTGGTCGTAAGTCAGGAAGACCAAACTTAATGGCAGCATCGTCAACAGATATATTTCTAATAGAAGGGTTGTAGGTGAGGTGAAATGCTGTGTGTTCAACAACGAACGAACACAGTGGCACAGGGACTGTCCCCACTTCCCTGTGCTGGAGGATCTTGGCAATTCCAAAGTAATTGGTGATTGGACGTGAATGTCCAGGGTATTTCATTGTCGTAAGAAGATCTGCTGGGATATCGCGATCGTCATCTGCGTCAAAATCAACATTCTCATCCTTCTCATCATCATCTGGATCCTGCTGCCCTGAGTCTGGGACATTGTCAAGCAGACTCATAGCGAGGTCAAAGTGGCAGCATTTATCGGCATGGTCAAGATGGCAACATATCTGGGGATCGTAATTATTATTATTGCTCAAGCGAGCAGGACTTTTTATTTCTGTTATGTGTATGTGGGCATGCTCTGTGGTGTTGGCTGTTCATTGCAGAGGAACTCCGGTGTTCCTTATGCTTGGAGCTATGGACTGCATGAGCTCAAGCTTCGGTATGTACCAGTTCTCGATAACTCCGCCATGCTGACCATGACGAAATCCACCCTCTATAATAGCATCTTTGTTAGCGTGAAAATGATCAAGTGCAGTGGAAATTCAGGCGAGTAGGATGTTGTCATTTACGGGTGACTGTACGAGATATCGAAAGTCCATCAGAGCTCGTACAGCAGTCATCACTGCACTAGGAATTGCATCCGCACTGACTGCAATGATCAAGCATTGAATGTTGCATTGAGTATGTCCTGTAACCTGTTTGAGCTTTGAAATCCCACCATGAAAATGACGGAACCCAGTGACAGCCTGCAACACAGAGAACTGAAAGTCAATCTCTGTATCACCTACTGCGCAAATAAGCCACTTTGTGTCGTGGTCGTAGAACTTGTGATGAATGAGGTGAAGAAATTCGGGAGTGAGAAAATGTGATGTATCACTGAGGACCCAATCCATCCAGAATGGTGCGTTCACACCATTCAAACGAAGCTTCTGTGCTTCGTGAAAAAATGCCTCAATGTTGTTGGGATCAGCTTTACTCCGCGCAATGTCCAGCTGGGAGAGTGTAGTTGCTCGTGTGCGAGGCTCATGACGGAAAGGGTCTCCAAACTGTTTGTACATGGCTGTAGTGACTGGGGAGGTTTTCCCACCAACAGCAGCCAGCATCATGGCCTCCGGGGTATCGACAATGTAGCTCGTGAGTGGTGTAAACAGTAGTGACTGTGGCCAACAGGGTCCGATAGCATGACTCCTTTGTGAGCAGCCAGCTTGAGTGGACGGAGAACAATATCTAAGCATTCGTGAATGAGGCGATCCTCAAGTACGCCTCGCATGCATTTTTTCTTGTGAATGAATTTGGGGACAGGAAGTAGAGCGGTAAGCACAAAGGCATTCAAAGATGACTTGAGTCGCATGGACATGCCTATGTTGGCAAGACTAATAAGAAGGGGGTGTGCAACTCTGTTGCCTGTCATGGTTAATATATTTGTCTTGTCAGACAATAAGATGGTCCCCAGGAGTGTTGCACCTCTTGGTAGGGACGACTGTCCGAAAATCGATAAGTACGACGACTTGCACAGATGAGACTATGTACCTGCATATTCCACGCATCATCACTAGTCATCCACTCTGAATACACGTGGCACAGCCGCTGCGCAGTGCTATACACCCTGCGAGGTGTAAAGTCTAGATGATTGTGAAAGGCAGGGTGGTTGAGAAGGCCTGAAATACAATCTAAGGGATCACGCCAATACAAGACAACGGGCAATTTCGTGGGATGTGCTGTAGGTACTACTTGAGACATCCAGCGCGGGCCACTAGGCAACATTTCTGCTCTGCTGCACAGTTCCTTGGCTGAATGGAACGACAATGGAAGGGTCTTTATCTAAAGAAGACACCTTCAAAATTTGTATATTATCAAAAAGAATTTATTACTCACCATGTTGAGCAAAAGAAAACTGTCTATCTTCCCCATGCTTAATCCAGAGCGAAGTAGCCATGACCTAACTTCCCAGTCTTTCTGGCCACTGAATGGATAATACGGATTCGTTGCACGGTGTTTGCTGTTCTCGTCTGAATTGAATAAGTCGAGGAATGTGTAGCCCCTGCTGTATGATCGAGCGCAGTCAGGATATGAGTCGATAACTTCTGAGTTACGAGTTGGTGTCCTCTCTTCGTAAGCCTGGCGCTCACTACTACTCCCTCCAAACATCTTATCCCAATCTCCAAAACCACCAGTCTCAATGTCGGGAATAGTATGCGGTCCGTCATCCGTAGTATTAGTACTCACAGGTTCATCGTCCATATCAGACTCAGAGTGCGAGCATATCAAATCCTGCAGCCATGTACTGCAGCCAGAGCAAGGTTGGCTCATGTGATGAGCAACAGCTACATCATCCTTGAAACCACCTTTGCTGCATGAAGAACACTGGAATACCATATGATCGATGCATGAGATTCTGAGGCTTGGAAGTAAGCTGTAAGTAATTTGCGGAATCAATAAGCCATATTCTCAAAACACCCATGTCCAACCTACCAATCCACCTAAATATTTCTAGTGATGTACCATCATTGTCAAATATGCGCCTGCAAACCTCCAATAAGTGGCAAGCGAGCCGAACTTTGAGTGAGCCTCCCAGTAGTGGTATCGCTGACTTGTACGACGTGGTCAATGCTATTGGGTCAATGGTAAGTGACTGATATCTGACTCTTACTAGGCACTGCTTGTTAATGTGCGTACATACCATCAATGACATTGACGACTGTGAAGCCAACCTTATCATGGATCTCGCAAGGGCCCGACGCGATATATTTAATGCAGAGAAAAAACTTGCTGATTGCATCATGCGAGAGCACGAGGTCATGATCAGTCTTTCAAAATACAAGTCTGTCATTTCCAAGCGGAAGCTTGACAAGGCCAATGTAGGACTAGGCCATATGCGTGTCACATTCAAAAAACACGGTCTTTCTCATCAGCCAGTGCACGGTTCTCTTGGTAAGTACTCTTATTATGTATACACCACTACCAACTAACCTCATCATAGACTCGTTCGCATCCTGCTGTCAGCTAACCATCCAGTTGGACTGATGCCTCGTCCCTTCTTTCAAATTGTGTTAAATAGTTTGTATTTAGCAGTACTGGTACCTAGTAGTATAGTAAATATGGACATAAAATTTTGTTTCATCTCGACGCTTGACTTCTTCAAATTGTGTGACTTTAAATTTTAATTCTACTAAGTACTTTCAGGTACTACTACTACTAGCGCTCGAGGTAGCTATTTTACTGACAAACACTGTGAGGCTGTACATCCTGTGAGCTCTGTCTCTCTGTGGGTTACTGTTGAAAAAAATTTGAAGCCTGGGAGAAATGTGCTGTGAGTGCTGTCCCGCTGTGGGTTTATGCTGCTGAATCTGCACAAATATTATTTGTGCCCCCCCCGAAATAAAAAGTGTGCCTCCCCGAAAATTGAATTTGTGTGACACCCCAAAAAAGGAAATTGTGTCGCCCCGAAAACAAAAGACTGATGCCAAAAAAAAAGTATGAAAATTGAGAATAGTACTTTATTGAAGGCAAACTTCAGTGACGATTGTAGACTAGTACTAGATGACTACCTGAATACAATCCATAATTTCACTCTTCTGCCTCTACAAGTCGACTAACCATCACCTTGACATCACCTTCAATTGCAATTGCCTCATCAAATGCTTGTTTGATGTGCCTTGAAAAATTGATGGCAGTTCCTTGTCTGCAGACACCATCTCGAGCGAGGGTGGTACCATGCTGGAAACAGGGTTGCATACTCTGTGACACCAGTTGTCAGCAAAATTAAAGTGTGGAGCTGCAACGAGAGACAAAACTACCATGACTGTGTCAGTTGCACATTTCACCACTACCTTGAGGGAGACATCCACATAATTTCCACCAGAACTACAACCACCATGAAGCTGGCATTGCTCTCGATCCATGATAGCATGAAGAGTAACCCAGTTCATCGCATAAGGGGCATAGAGTTGGTCCGTGTGAATGGGGCTAGATGCGATATCAAAAAGTGGCATTACTAATTAGATGCAATCCACTTATGACTCATAATTTTGGGACATATATGCCTCAGAGGGAGCCCGCTCAGCTGTCGAAAAGCAGAGAGGACCACCAGGTAAGTCTAGGGTATACCCAAAGTCTAGGTATCATATGTAAGTTACCAGCAATGAAGATTATACATATGTAAGATGCTCACCCATGTCATCGCCTTGGATTGTCATAGGAGGCAAACCTGCCTCGTCAATTGCCTCGATACATGATGTACTGACCTCAGCAGGGAGACTAGCGACCAGCAAGTTCCAGCTCAAAGCCAGAATTCCTAAAGCACAGGAGCCCTTCTGCTGCCTCGTAGTCATGGACAGCCTCTTCTTATTGGTAAGGTTGTTCACCAGACCAAAAACACGTGCATGACGAGGACCAGCATTCCAGCCAAACTGAATCAGCTCCCCCCCATGGGTAGGCTATCCAGCCCATCAGAAATATAGCGAACTGAAAAAAGGAAAAACTCACCCTGACCCCCTTGCGGTCATTGACAGCCTCATCGATGATATCATTGACATAAGACAACAGGTCAGGACGCTGGCCGCACTTGCCACAGAGTACAGCGAGTGTAACAGATCCTATACACCGAGTTAACTACATGCAGGAGATGGAGAGACCCAGATTCATACCCTCAGAATCGACAAAAATGATGCTTTCATCTGGTTCGATCACATACCACGAGTCGTCCTCAGGAACAGAAAGGGCAGTATCCCCACTACCAACCAAATCCTCATTGCCACGGTCCACTAAAAGTGTACCCCATTTATAGCTGGTTTTAGCAGAACAGTCACGGGTGACCATCCTGACTGTGCCAGTGTCTGCAAGAGACTTGGCCGATAGTGGGGTGGCATGAAGGCCCAGGACCTTTGCCTATGAAGTACAGTTTTAGACTAAGCCAGTAATAAGCAGAAAGAATACTCACAATAGTTCTTTTCTCAGAGCGAGCTGCATTCTTCCTCCTGCAGCACTGAAGGAAATATACTTCCAGAGCTTGGTGGAGAGATCCTGGCACCAATCCAGCATTCTTGGTGGTTAGGGACTTCAGATGGCTGACCTGCACACATAAATAGTCAGATCTAACATAGATACTGCATTAGAAACATGCTCACAGAATTTGCAAGGCCTGGTTTATCTCCAAAAGCGAGAAGATCCTTCTCAATATCTGCTCCTATCTGAAGTGCATGCATAACAGTTGAATTTCCGACAAGATGCTTGAAGTCTATGCACCACCAGTATATCAGTCTAGACAGTGGTGGTAACATATTACTTACATTGCTTTAGTTGAGTCTTATCTGTGGATTGTGGGGCCATGGTGGTGGTTGGAAAGTGCAGTGGCCAGCAGTGGTGAAAATTTTGATTATGGCATTTTCGGAGTTTTGGTGCTTTTGGGATAACATATACTTGTTACCACCTTTTTTATTATCAGCTGGATAGTGTAGTGGTAACCTGGTCCCTGTTGCAATACTGTGTGGGATCCTTGGCCAGGAAGTTGCTCTGCTGTTCAATTTTTGCCAATGTCATAATTTAATTGTGTTGTTGGTTGTAGCGGTAACTTGGTCACTGTTGGCCAGGAAGCTGTGCTGCAGTTCAACTCTTGCCAGTGTTGAAATTTCATTATGTTGTTGTGATGATATTCAGCTCTGCCAGTTCAATTCCCCCATATTGCCATATTTCTTGTTTGTTCCTTTTTTTTGGGAGAGGCATTTTCTGCTCACTTTTGTGACATAACATTTCACATGTAGCCTATCATTACACCCACAGCAGATATATTAGAGAGAGCTGAAATACAAAGTGACTGCTCGTATAACCCCCTCAATAATCCTCTCCTCAACCTCAAGCCCATCTAACTCTATCATCACATCAACCATAGCTTGTCTGCATGCAGCATTCATGCCATTAGGCAATGGGGCCTCAAGGATGAGAGTCTGTGCCAGTGGAAGTGGGTTTGTTGGGTGAAGAATTGCCCGGGCAACTTTCTTCCACCAGAATCCTGACCATGCCTCCTTACACTGGCTATGCGAGCGGGCTGAGCAGCTGAAGGATGGTGAAACAAGAAGCGAGGGTGGGTAAGCAGCCAATGCCCTGCATTCTCGCTCCATTACCTCTTTTGCCCGGGCAATAATTGTATACACTTTAAACTCCATCTGTGTAGCCTCAGTATCAGTGGTATTCGTGAGTGATGATGTCATGATCTCTCAAATTGCTGGAGCGATCCACTGGGGTATAGAATATAATCATGCAAGCTCTAGCCGTCGGGTAGGGTGCAGAGTGAGGTGCTCCAGTCCATCAATAGCAAACTTGATGCTGTTGCTTATCATCCATTGGTGCAAAATCTTGAGGATAGCGGCTAGGAATTGTTCCTCAGGTGGAGGAGGGACTGAACTGCTAGAAGATATAGTTTAATCATCACATATTTGATATTATACTAGTAGATACACATACATATGGTACACCCAATTGAGAAAATGTGTGAATTCCTGCTCAGAGATCTGCTGCAGGACGATCAGAAGTTGCTCTGTACCATCGGTATCATAACCTGATGGGATAGCCAAAATTCCTTCCAAAGCTGGAGAGTGGTGAACAAGTACACCACGATGTACACAAAATAAGGTATTGCTAGCCTATAGTAGAGAAAATTTAAGCAAGGCTCAGCAGACATTCATAGTAGGACTTACACGAAAGACAATATTTCCATCTTCAAACCAAAACTCACTATGCCTTTGGAGAGCCAATCTGTGATTTGCATTCATAGTGTGAAAGAGCTTTGAACAGTAGTATATGATGGCCTTGTATAGAGCTCAAATGAAGTTCAAATCGTGTTCATACCTAACACCCACTATGGCTTGCACATTGAATCAACAATGATAAACACCTGTGTGTTTACATAACAAATATCAGTCAAAGCACTGTCAATCTAACTTGAGCTATGATGGATCTGCCACCATTACCGCAGCCTACCGAGGATTCAGGTGTTTGGCCAGATCATCTGCATCAAGCCCATGATACTCTATTTCATATCTATCGTCATGCATCTCAGGCACTCCAGACTTGCAGTGAACTGCACTGAATATGTTTTCATGCTGAGGCCATCAGCAATAATGCCATACCACTATTACGAGCACTAGAGAACTCTTCTGCAGTAGTGGGTGTCCCTATGTCTTGGGTCCTTCAGGTTACAGCGAAATTTGTGATGCTACTGAGGCAGCTACAGCAGGCTGAAACAACAGCACGAGGAGGGTGAGCCTATCATATTCGCCACAGTAGTTCTAATATCTAGACCATTGCTAGTGAAACATCAAATATTTCAGTCCCACAGCCAATCACTGTCGCACACACTGGCAAACCAGGGAGACCCCGTAAGGTGCCAAATGTCCAGTTGTTGCATGAATTTGCCTCTCCTGGTCGTCATCTACAACAAACCAAACTAGCACAGGTCATGGGCATCCATCATAATACCTTACGCTCCTACTTAAAGCAGAACAATGTTAGCTATAAGTATAGCCTGATCTCAGATGCAGACCTGGATCAAGCTGTGCGAGACTTTTGTCAGATGAAACCAAATTCTGGGGTTCGCTATCTTACTGGCCATTTGTGACAGTTGGGCTTGCGGATACAGCAACAACGGGTTATTTCCTCTATCCACTGTGTTGATCCCTTGGGAACTGTCCTCCGCCAACGCACTATGATTCAACGACGGCAGTACAAGGTTTCACGGCCAAATGCTCTGTGGCACATGGATGGGCACCATAAGCTAATCCCGTCAAAGCATCCCACTGTCAGTGTTGCAAGGGTGGGCAAAATCAAAAGGAAAGGAGAAGGCCACTCTTTCATCTAGCTCAGCATACCATGATCGTACCGAGTCTGAGAGTATATCCAGTGACTCAGAAGACAGCTCCACCTCATCTGAGTCGGACTTATCGGAGCCCCCTCGCAAGACCAAATATCGTCGAGGTATGGTATATTGTTTTTTTGCTGATTGCGAGCAAGGCTCATATCAAACTTTTGTGACCAGTATCAACAGAAACTGATGACGAGATTATGCCTGCATCAGACTCTGAAACCATATCCGAGTCGGTCACTATAGTTGACTTGACTGCAAGTGATGACAAATACACTGGTGACTTCTTTGGTTCTTTCAGTTTAGATAATCATGATGTTGTCGATGAGCCAGAGGCACCTGTGGAGGCTGACCTCACCCCTTTGGAGGCTGTGGAGCCTGTCTCGTCATCTCCATTGCAGGCCTCTGTGTCTTTCGTTATTGATCCCAGTCTTGATAACCCCCCAACCTTGCAGGCCTCTGGGTCCTTTGTTCTCGATCCTAGCATTGACAACCCATGGGAAGGGAATCGTCTTTTCAATTTCTAGATCTTTTTTGCACCTATATCTTTCAACTTGAAATATACCTATCACCGATCGACAGTACTGAGTATATTCCTTTTACACCGACTTTATTATATCTGTTTATATTCTGGTACTCGTACATAGTAACTATCTCTTACTACAATGCTTTTAATTGACTTGTTTTGTGTAAGCCTGTGTGGAGATGAGCATGACAATAATAAAATACACTTTGTCAAATATTGGAGTCACACTCTTAATTTTGGCACCTATACTTCCCATATTTCCTTCTTAGTAAAGAGGCCAAACGGGACATATACGTCCCCTTTAGTAAGCTAAAATCTCGTTCGCACTGAGCACCGGCGGTTGATACCAGCCAAAAACCATGACTTTACTGCTCAGGCTATTTACTATTCTCGCACGCTATGTTTGTTTATTGTTTGTTGGTGCTAATCAACATTCCTGCGCTCCTGTTTCACCTGCCCTCACTGTCCATGACAGCGAGCTCAACAGCTCCTTCAGTAGTCGTCACTTCTGCATATTTTTGTGCATTGCTTGCTGCATACCCTGTAGCCCATCACAGTGCTCTGTCTACCCTCTGGTCCATCCTATCCGCCGTTATTATTTGAACACCCTCTGTGACACTTAGACTCTGTTATTTCCTGTCTGTTATTCTCATTCTTCCTGTCTGTTGTCTTTCTAACGTATTTCTAACAATTCTATAGTGCCAGGAGCCCATTAATCATCAGTACCATCCCTTCGATCACTCTATTAGCATTCATTTGGCTTGGCGAACTGGCAGCGCTCATACTTCCCTTCTAGTCGCCACTGCCACCTCCAACCACATCTCATGGTCAGGTCCTCACGGAATTCATTGGGTGGTATATCCCGTCAGTGCATCGTGCAAGTCGGTGGTAGTAAGGCCAAGACCCTGCAAGCAGGCAGCATTCGGCAGCGTGAAGACCAAGCAAAGTTATTTCGTGCTGAACTACTCAAAAGTACGCTTCAATATTTCTTTTGTTTAACGCAGCTGATCATCACGTAGAGTTGCCTCTGCATGAGCGAGAGCAACTTCTAGCTTCTGAGTCTCTTGCTACATCTCAAGCACCCTCACATGCCAATACGGACACTTGTATGGACAGTGGCATCATCGATATTGATGCAGTGTTCCCTCCACCCGGTGAAGAAGGTTTTGCTGTCAGCCATTGGGGTGAGGAACATGCTCTCTATTCAGAGCTCGAGCAGGTCTCCCATGTGCACATTGTTACAGTAACATTCTGCCCCTATCTTCATTTTCTTTATCTCGCTTACAAATGGGCTGTCCGTATCATGCTTATCTCTTATCTTCACCAAGCGGGCTGTCCGCCTTATCTTTCTTCCTATCATGCTTCTATCTTGATAACCATTTACAAGCTCCGCTTGAACATTAGCTATATAGACTTAGCTACCAACGATTGTATTCTTTACTTTAATCTACTGGGTTCTACCTGGAACATTGTCCTTCAGTAAAGTCTCCAACCTTACTGTCTAAGAACCATTATTCTAAGGGAGTCAGCGACACTCGCCTTAGCCAGAAAACCTTGATCTCTCAACCGAGAGAAGACCTCCGTCTATCTGGCATCTTGCCGATTGTCTATTCAGACACAGATAGCTCGACTCATCCCAGTCGTAACAAAAGATTAAAGTCTTATAAACTGAACCGTTGCCATCTGCAACGAAACCAACACCACGACTTCGTTAACTCCCCTGATCGGAGCCTTGAACCTAGGAGCCTTACCAAATATCCCTCCTTTAAACGCCATGACAACCAAAACCAAAGATATAGAACTCAAGATCGGCTCCCCCCCGAATTCGATGGAGACCGAGAAGAATCCAAGAGATTCATGATGAAATGTCATGCGTACCTTGATATCAATGATCAAGTGTACAACGAAGACAAGAAAAAGATCATCCTAGTGTTGTCTTACATGACGAAGGGAAATGCAGCGATATGGGCAGAAGACTTCATGGAAGCAGCCCTAGACCCTAATAGAAAAGATAATTCTGGACAGATGATCGGTTATGGAACTTGGGCCACATTCAAAAAGGACTTCGACGAAGCCTTTAAACCCATGGATCCCACTGGAACCGCCATGATGAAGATCCGAGGATTGGAAATGAGAGGAGACCTCCATACCTACATCTCCAACTACAAACTCCTCGCGCACAGGGCAGGAATGTCCGAACAAGCCCCCCTTATCGAGTTCTTCAGACAAGGTCTAGATTACGGGCTTCAAGACAGCCTGCACCGTACCGGTGAAAGTCTCGACAACTTTGACACTGTTGTTAACACCTGCATCAATCTCGATAACACTTTCCAAAGGTTGAAAGCCATCAAAAGAAAAGAAAGGCCCAACCAACAGAAGAAGAAGAACTTCGGGAACAAACACTATGTTCCCAGAAGGAGCGACGATATGGAAGTCGATCGCATAAGCCGTCTATCGGACGCAGAGTTAAAAAAGCACCTCAAAGAAGGAAGATGCTTCAAATGTCACCAAGTAGGACATCGCGCCAACGACGTCTCTTTCCACCCTAGGGAAAGGGACCAGATCCGAAGAAACAAAGAAGAAGAAAGCAGCAGCGATGACGAAGTCGAAAGTCGCGCCTCTTCCTCCAGAAAAACACCAATCAGAAGGAAGAAGGAGAAGGACGAAGAAGAAAGAAGTACCCCAAGAGGGAAGGCACCGATCCGAAGGAAGACCATGAAAGAAAAAGCGAAAGAAGTCGAGGAAGAAGAAGACAGCGACTTTACCGAAGTAGAACGTCGCTTCATGGAAGTGGATTTTTAGAAAGGGAAACTGCCTCGACGTCAGTAACTCCCGCCCCTGTACAACTAATACGTTCTATCGGAACCAGAAATGAATTAAGAATTCCTGCATCCATTTTTTCCGATAAACGCGTACAAACCGTCGAAACATCCATGATCATCGACTCCGGAGCATCCGGAACCTTTATTAGCGATGCCTTTTGTAAAAGGCATAAAATAAAAACCCATAAACTCTCTCGACCTTTCCCTGTCATCACTGCGGACGGATCAGATGCTCAAGGAGGACTCATCTCTCGTTATTGCGTGCTCACGATCAAAATCGATCAACGAACCATGATCAGAAAATTCAATATAGCGAAACTAGCCAAACAAGACAAAATCCTTCTAGGATTCCCTTGGCTTGCGGCATTGAAACCTCAGATCGATTGGGAAGCCAAAACGGTATCGCTCCCACCAACGGAGAGATCACTGGCTATAGAAAAAAACATCGATAGAAGACGACGAAGGAAATCCCTTCCACCGCTCTTCAAGAAGAAGAAGATCATCGAAAAGGAAACATCTCGAGTTTGGGTAAACTCTAAACTACGGAAGCCAGTACAGGTGAAGGTGGCAACTAATGAAACCGCCTCCCCCTATACCGCTTCCGTAGAAGAAGTAATGGATGAAGAAATCCCCAACTATGACACTAAAAACGATGTTTGGTCGGAAAATTTCAGACCCCCAGTTCTCGACCCTCTAGCCTATCAACTAGCCAACGATGAGGTACTCGTTGAATACGCCACAGATGGATCAACCGTACGCATCATCGAAGATATATCTTTCGATACCCCGCTCGTTCGTGATGGAACATCAAAGACAGAACAAAATTTTGGAAAAACAAGTAATAAAGCCCAAGAATTCGCAGTCGCAGGAGAAATAGAAAAACAGAAGAAAACCTTTGAAGAGCTTGTTCCCCCCTTCCTACACCAATACCGAGATGTTTTCGCCAAAGACGGCCTTAACAAACTCCCACCCGAAAGACCTGGAGTAGATCATCACATCGATCTCAAACCAGGATGCGTACCCAAAACATCGAAAATTTATCCGTTATCCGGAAAAGAAAGAGAAGCCGTCAAAACCTTTATTGAAGAAAATACCAAGAAAGGTTTCATTGTCCCATCTAAATCTCCTCAAGCTAGTGGATTCTTTTTCGTAGGAAAGAAAAGCGGAGAATTACACCCCTGTCAAGATTACCGATATCTTAACGATTGGACTATACAAAACCAATATCCCCTCCCCCTGCCGAAATCTCTCATTGAACGACTCTATGACGCCAAGTACTTCACGAAGATCGACATAAGATCAGGATACAATAACGTCAGAATCCACCCTGAGGATCGCTGGAAAGCAGCGTTCACTATGCAAGAGGGGCTGTTCGAACCAACAGTCATGTTCTTTGGACTGACGAACTCCCCAGCGACGTTCCAGATGTTTATGGCAAACCTTTGTCAGCAACAGATAAACGAAGGATGGTTGGTCATTTATATGGACGATCTTTTAATCTTCTCGAAAGATCTTCAGCAACATCGGGCGCGCACAATCGAAATTCTCGACATCCTTCGGAGAGAAAAGCTGTTTGTCAAACCAGAAAAATGCACTTTTGACGCGAAAGAAGTAGAGTATCTTGGAATGATAATTCGACCTGGAGAAGTGGGCATGGAACCTGCCAAAGTAGACGGAATCAAGCACTGGCCAACTCCAGAAAACTTGAAAGATACGTGATCATTCTTAGGATTCTGCAATTTCTACCAAGCATTCGTCGCTCATTACTCCGACATCGCCCGACCCCTCATTGACCTCACAAAAAAGGACCACCCTTTCTTATGGACCGACGACTGTCAGAACTCTTTTGACCACCTCAAAAACGCCTTCTTATCGCAACCCGTACTACGAAATCCTGACCCAATGCGACAATTCGCAATCGCTACTGATGCATCGCTTGCAGCGACTGGAGCAGTATTGTTACAAACTGATGAAAATGGGATGTACCATCCATGTGGTTACTTGTCTCAATCACTCAACCCCACAGAACGAAACTACGAAATCTTTGATAGAGAGTTACTGGCAGTCATCCGAGCGCTCTCGGAATGGCGCCACTACCTCGAAGGAAGCCCCCACACCGTGATAGTATTCATGGATCACATGAATCTCCTGTATTTCCACTCCGCTCAGAAATTGACAAGACGACAAGCACGTTGGCAGCTTATTTTATCAAACTACCAGTTGGAATTACACCACATTGCGGGTACCAAATTGGCTGCCCCCGATGCACTATCACGACGCCCAGACCATTCATTCGGAAAAGATGACAACGAAAACCGTATTCTCCTCCCCGATACAATGTTTGTGAGGTTAATCGACGACAACCTGTCGGATAGTATCGCGCGCAACTCTGCCGACAACCCTATATATCAGAAGGCCGTGCAAGCATTAGACGGAATATGCCTCCCCCCAATGAAATCTGCCCTCTCTGACTGGATATGCACCAATGGCGTCCTCTTTTATAAAAAGAGGGCCTATGTGCCGATGGCCCAATGGCATGATGTATTGTTTAAACGCCATGATCACCCCACGGCGGGACACCCTGGCCGATTCAAAACTGAAGAGTTAGTGAAACAAGATTTTTGGTGGCCTGCTATGGGGACTTATATTCGTAAATACGTTGACGGCTGCGCGTTGTGCCAGCAGATGAAAGCTGACACGCATCCGACTACCCCGCCGTTACGCCCCATTCCCTCCGCTGCCACTCGCCCCTTTTCTCAGGTCTCCGTCGACCTCATCACCGACCTGCCATTGTCTGGAGGCTTCGACTCTATCATGATCGTGGTAGACCATGGGCTTACGAAGGGGGTAATTATCTCACCATGTAACAAAAACATCACCTCAGAAGGAGTGGCCAAACTATTCCTCAAAAATGTATTCAAGAGGTTTGGCCTCCACGATAAAGTAATCTCTGACAGAGGACCGCAGTTTATTTCAAAATTCTCTCGAGAACTCACTAGACTCCTCGGATATCAGATTGCTGCATCAACCGCCTACCATCCCCAGACGGACGGACAAACAGAACGCCTCAACCAGGAACTTGAAACCTATCTTCGAATCTACTGCAGGAGTAATCCGTTAGAATGGGCTAACCATCTTCCCATTTCCGAATTCGTCCACAACCATCAAAAACATGACGCCAGAAACACCTCTCTGTTCTTCCTCATGATGGGCTATGAGCCATGAGGGATTCCCCACATCTTACCCGTATCAGACACACCAGCAGCAGAAGAAAGACTCAGGAACCTCCAGAAGATACGTGAAGAAGCACTCGCTTGCCACAACATTGCTATGCAGCGAATGGCAGAAAGATCTCACCATGGGAAATATCGACCATGGAAGATAGGAGATAAGGTATGGCTTACGGCCACCAATCTCCTGACATCTTTACCATCTAGGAAACTTGCGCCTAAGCGATACGGACCATTCGTTATCACCGCAGTCTTATCCCCCATCACGTTCACCCTGAAACTCCCCGATCAATGGAAAATTCATCCCACGTTCCATGCTTCTGAACTATCCTCCTATCGCGAGACAGAGATACACGGACCAAACTACACTGAACCTCCACCTGACATTATCAATGGCGAAGAAGAATACGAAGTAGAAGCTATTCTTAGCCATAGGGGAACGGGTAAACGAAGACGCTATCTCGTATCATGGGTAGGTTATTCTTCCGGAAGCAACGAATGGATACCAGAAGGAAACTTGCGGAGTTCGAAAGAACTCTTGACAAGGTATAAAGAGAGACACAAGCTAAACTGAACGAACCATTCCCCTTGAACAAAACACCCCAAGTATCATGACTCCCCCATTAACACCTTCCCCCACTGGATCATCCTTGTCCGCCTTCTCTCTTGAAAACTCCATGTACAAGAAAAATATCATTGACCTTGACGACGACGCCATCATCGAAACAACTTTGTTGTCACTCCCCCACACAATTGAACTAGAAAAGCAGCTCGCCAAAGAACCCGCATTTGTTGCCACCCCCATACTATCCCAAATCCACGTCATATGCGCCACCGCCGCCCTTGAACTCAGACTCAGGGAAATCAAAGACGATGCCCTCAGACTCGCCTGCCAACACCTCCAGAGACAAATTTGCAGTCTTGAGATTCAGCTTCTTCCTTCTGCTTTTAGCACTGTCTGTAAAACAGTTATACGAACTGTTGAAGAACGAAACGCAACCGAAGTCGGTCGCCCGCTGAGCCCTTCTACTAGTGCTCCCTCCGGCATCATACCTGCTGCAGATATGACTAGAGAAGAGCCTCAGCCTGTTGCTCAACCAGCACAAGCTGAAGGAGCATTACCCATCCCCGAACCCACTGTCGTCGTTAAACGAAAGATTCGCAACAGAGCCACCGTGCACGGAGTGTCAAAGACTAGAGCTTCTAAGGGAAAGAAGCGTGAAGTCATTGACCTCACCGAAACCCCTGATGTCATCACAGTAAAACAACCCCAGTTCTCCTCGGACAATTTTATTTGTCGCGTCTGCAAGAAACTCGGACACCGCCACAAGAACTGTCCTGAATACCACTGCCGCATATGCCAAGGCCAAAAGCCTGGCCATCTCTCCATTTACTGCCCCTACGCCTCCAAGAAGGAGCTATTTCCGTTGGTTTACACCGACGAAGGCTTTTACGAAGCATTGTCGGAATGGGAGGCCAAAAAGGATGAGGAACTCCGAGATGAGATAGAACGAGCAAATCGGGAGTATGCAACTCGGTATAATGAACCAGAGTTTTCCAATGCTGACGCAGACCCAATTTACTACGAACACATGGACGAGTATGTCAACACCGAAGAATATTGAAGTCGGAGACTTCAACCGTAGCAGTGGGGTAATGTTACAGTAACATTCTGCCCCTATCTTCATTTTCTTTATCTCGCTTACAAATGGGCTGTCCGTATCATGCTTATCTCTTATCTTCACCAAGCGGGCTGTCCGCCTTATCTTTCTTCCTATCATGCTTCTATCTTGATAACCATTTACAAGCTCCGCTTGAACATTAGCTATATAGACTTAGCTACCAACGATTGTATTCTTTACTTTAATCTACTGGGTTCTACCTGGAACATTGTCCTTCAGTAAAGTCTCCAACCTTACTGTCTAAGAACCATTATTCTAAGGGAGTCAGCGACACTCGCCTTAGCCAGAAAACCTTGATCTCTCAACCGAGAGAAGACCTCCGTCTATCTGGCATCTTGCCGATTGTCTATTCAGACACAGATAGCTCGACTCATCCCAGTCGTAACACACATCAAGTACGTTACTGTGTGCTTGTGTGCTTTCTTCATTAAGTTCTATTCCCAGACCTGTTGATACTCGCGATTGCAGCCTGCGTATTGCCCAACAGCTTTCTGCATGGAGCGATCAATATGACGTACTTGCAGACACACTACTCGCATACCAGCATGACAGCATTGAATTTCCTGAGGTTGATGATTCAGATTGTGACGTGTTTGAAATTGAAGTAGTGGACATCTTCAGTGAGTAATTACATGATACTACTTTTACATTGCTTTACTGATGGTCACCGCTCTAGGCCGATCCATCCGCAGATTCAAGCACGAGTCTATCTTTCCCAATGTAACCTTACTTCGCTATGGATGCATTGGTTCATCGCTGGTGAAGCCCAGTGTCACCATTACAATTCGGACCCTTGCTGTCTACCGACAAACACACCGTGTGTGCCCTCGTCTCAGCATCCACGCTGAAGCCAAAAAATTGTGTCATCTGCATAATGTAAGTGCTGTCACCTTCAACATAATCTCACATAATTGATGTATATTCAAGGTATGCTATAGACATTATTTTGCTGAGCAACTCCGTGCTGCCTTTGATGTTTATCTCGAGCTTCAACGATGGATCACTGCTCGTCTTGACAAGCACCTTGGTCGTGATACTCCCAACTGGCGCATGCTAAATTCATGCCCAGCATGCCAGTACATACTTCAACAGGAACCGCCTTTATGATATTCTATCATCTGTGCCTGTGATGGCAACAATTCAGCCAAACTTGTCGATCCAGCAGTTCGTCATGGAGTGGAGCGCCTGGACCCCCGATCAGGAACATCCTCCATTTAGCTTAGTGGGCCTTATGTTGACATGTTTGCCGATGAGGTTGGCAATGCGCGCAACCAGCAGTCGAGGTCTCGCTCTGCCGCAACAGCAGCAACCATCCGTGATCCTGACAATCCTTGGATTGAGGAGCCTGAATCAGGTGATTCATCTGAACCAGTGAGCATATGTGTTGATCGATGGCGTAATGCGGCGCCAGAATCATGCAAGAAGATGTTCGCAATCTTCAAGAAATCAGGAATATTCATCACTGTCTGCCGTCATGGCTTTCTTCTGACCATATGTGACATGGTTCGGAGTGGCGAACTGTTAGTATTGTTTCTAGAATAATTATGGCAGAACACTAGCTCTCAGCACAGTATGAAATACCCAATTGCGAGCCTCAACAAACTAATGGAAGTTTTCGGGAAGAATATTCTTTATGGCTACAACATCAAATGTGCGCTTGAGAAGATCTTGCTCCGCAGCTCCTTGGCAAATCGCATCAAAGAACTCAACCTTCATGGTGTGGTTCCTGCCTTTCATGGTCATGCTCACAATTGCCTTTGCCAGGTCCAACACCATTCCAAGTACAAGGTTGGCACTGGTAAAGAAGATTTCGAGACTTGTGAACATGTATTTTCAGAGTCTAATGCTCTAGCACCTGAAACTCGGAACACTACCGAATTTCATCGCCACCAAGCTCTCGATGAACATTTTTGCTTTGCTGATATGGATAAATATGCTAACCTGTGTATGTCCTAAGTTTAATTAATTTACAATGCTGACAACAAATTTAGCTAATTTTATCTACAACAACTACATTCAAGCACTCGAAGCTATTGCTGCTACTTCTACATTCCTTGCCGAGTCTCCGGTGGGACCTGATGTGCCTTTTGAGGCTGATTTGGATGATGAGAGGATATTGTTGGAGAAAATGAGCAGCAAGAAAGACGCTGCACCTGTTGAAGTTGACTATGTGAAGGCGTTGGTTGAATATGAGGATGCGCTGTAGGTTTTTCTCAAGCAACCTTACGACAAACATTAATGGTCATTATTGCAGACTCGCTTATGATGCGGCTCGTACAGAATTTGGCAGACTCAACCGTAGGCCAAACTACTCCTCGAAGGACATCGGCAATGTTCGGCGTCGACACACACATGCTGCTGCTAAGCGCGACCAGAAGCAGGAAGTAGTCGAGGACTTTGAGCACCAGATGGGGATTGATGAACGTTGGGGTCCTAATCACCCAGAGCGTATCCAGGCACAGTCACATATTACGCACCGCCTCTTTTTCAAGGCTGTCGATGATGTTGAGAGATTGGTTGTCATGCGACTATTGGAACTTACAAAGTTGCAGATGAACGGTCTTGGTAAGTTCTAGTTCACGTCATGACATGATACTAATGTGAAGTTTTTTATCTAGGTTACAAACTTTGTACTCAAATTTCCAAAGCCCTCAAAAGCCGCGCAACTGCTATCCAAAATGCCCTTCAACGCTACAATAAGTACGCTGCTGAAATGATGCCACCCCGCCCTTCGCTCGATTGGAACCAAATAGTCGAGTATTTTTTTTTAGCTGAGTTCAACTTGCTATGTGATAGCAATGGGCAGATCCAGACTAAACGGTGGGCGAACCCTCTTTATTGGCAGGCATCAGCACAATACTTTGATCGTGTGCGTGCCCAGGAAGAGCTGGAGAGGCTAAATGTTGAAGTTGGTCGTTTGATGATGAAGATTCGTGATGACACTATCTACTATCCAAACACAATTGCTATCCTTTCCACTGAAGACCCGCCACTTGCCTCTGAGCTGAGTCGGCAATGGGAACAGCTTCAGTCGGTGAACTCATGGCATCAGCGACACATTCATCAAATTCAGACTCTTCATGGATATTCTGGACCACGATGGCCAGGTACACGACTTGGAGCAGTTGGTGGTAATAGTTTGGCTCATGATGTTTTGGCTGATGGTAGCGCTCCTACTGACAAAGACATTATCAATGAGGAGCCTTATGATGGAGAACACATGCAACAGGTTGAGGGTTACATTGATGGACTCGAGCATCACGCTGCTGATGATATGTAGTTAAAATATTGTAGCTCTTCAATGATATCTATTTGCCATACTCGTACAATCTTAACAGTGTTCAACTTCGTTAGTGACACTGTTGCTGGTCCCAAGGTCAAGGGTTTCATCATGCAGTGTATTAGTAAGAAGAAGCAGTTAGCTGTGGAGATCATCGATGACGCATATCATGACCGGCTGAAGGCGCTACCTGGCATGACTATCTGAGAATCATTTGAGAGCAAGGTAGAGCGTGAACTAAATCACGCTCATGATGACTCCAGTCAGTATGCGCAGAAGAACCTGAAGAACAACAACAATGTGAAGCAGATGGTCACAGCTGGTTCCAAGGGTTCATACATTAACATCTCGCAAATGTCAGTTTGTGTCAGGCAGCAGAGTGTTGAAGGTTGTCATATCCCATTCAGGTTCCGTCATCGTACTCTTCCAGAAGAATGGGCATCCAGATGGTCGTGAATTTTTGGCTATTCCACAATGGATTTAGTATTAGCATCAGTGACACTGTTGCTGGTCCCAAGGTCATGGGTTTCATCACACAGCGTATTAGCGAGAAGAAGCAGTTGGTTTCAGAAATCATCGATGACACATATCACGACTGGCTGAAGGTGCTACCCAGCATGACTTTCTGAGAGTTGTTCGAGAATCGAGAGCAAGTGACCGGTCGTATCTGAAGAATATTGAATGCCCAAACACAACCAAAATACATTGCAACTTGCAATTGTCTACTTTTGGATGGTCTGAGTACTTGCACAAAGTTTCGTCTTACATCTTTGTATCCTACATCATGCCTGTATGGAATCAGAGTCATTACAGCCGTGATCCAACAGTAGATGGGCTGAAAGAAGCCCTTGCCATAATTCCTCCCCCCGAACTCTTAGCCAACATCAACGGCATTCAAGAACGGTGGAAAGTCGCTGTCCTTGCCTTACTTGTTCATCAACTACACAACGATGGCGATCACATCAATCTTACTCACGGATTTCACTCTCTTACTTCAACTCACTACTGTACAGGATCATCACGGCCTGGTCCCACTCAGCAAACCAACCAACAGCAGCGGATGACTCTTTGGCAGATGCGCACTGATCACACGAAGACTATCCTGGCTCTTATCTTTGATCTGGTACGTCGACAAACAAAATATTGATTTACACTCATACATACTGTGCTTTAGTGTACCGCACTTGATCGGCTTACTGGTGGCTCAACATTGTTTTTCCATCACCCTGGTGCTACTGTTCCAGGTGGTGATATCACCCCAGAGTCGCTGAAAGCCGATGTCTACGTTAACCCAAGGGTGCTTGCAGAGAATGAGGAATTACATCAAATTGTCGCAGAGCTATCTCAGTTTTTCATTGAGCATTTTGCTACGCCTCTCGCACATCGCTTTGCTACTTGTCATACCCTCAACAATTGGCCAGCATCCAGTGGATCTAGCACGACACCATCACATTCCTCTACAGCGAATTACAACCGTGTCCCCCTCGTCCCTGCACCACTCATCAACTCATCATGCCATTTCCATGTTCGAGGCCGTCCTTCCAGCAGCCTTGCCCAGCTTATTGGTCTCAACACCACCCTTCTATCAGTTGTTCCACAGGGGTCGCCCCTTACCTGGAATACGAAAGCTGTCCCTATTTTTTTGGCACCAGCAGATCCGAACACGTCAAACATTCAGGCAATTGATTTGGTAGGTCAATATATATGTAATAGAAGCAGGAAGCTGACGTTGTATTGTACTTAGCGGAAATCTACTAAACGTCCTGTGGTCGTCTATGAGTCTGAAGATGAAGATGATGGTTACCCTGATACCAGCCCTATTACTCCCATTAGGAACAAGAGCGCTGTTATCCCGTCAGCTATGAAAGTCAGCAAACAGAGAGCTCTGCAGTTGCCATCTCCACAAGCTGTTCAACCTTCCTCCTCACTTCAGCGCACAATCCCTCTGTTGCGGGTCCAGCACGAGGTCTTAAGATCATTCGGTCCTGAAACGGAGGAAGTCATCGATACACTCGGGCTCCCCGACACATTACATACAATATGCGCTAATATTGAGAAGGCATCTCTACCGAAACGGTGGGTTGCAAAGCTAATGGAGGAGGCCGGTCTTAGTATGGAACAAGCTGAAGCAATTTCAGAGGCTATGCTGCAGGATGCTGGTTTCTTTTCATGTGTGTAATCATCTGATAATGTTGTTGCCCTCGCACTATATAAGTATGATGTATGTTTGTATTAGCAAAATCCATTGCGTCTTTGCTTGCTCTCATTATGAATCCTCGCACTCATCACCCATGACGACTAATGACGCGTACTCGTGGGCCTTATGTGAAGGTCTCCAAGGAGTTCCGTGCCTTACTCACTCACAGACGGCATGAAAAACACATGAATGAAGAAGGTTAAGTACAAGCTGTCCTTTGCTATCTAGAGGACAAAGCCATAGAGCTCGCACGAATTTTCAAGAAGCCTTGACGCCACTACCTGGAGCGGTTTTGCTTGGGCTCAAAATTTCAACGTGCAAAGCGAGGGAAAACGAGTGCGTGGTCTGCCTGGGTTCACTTCAAGGGTGTTAGGTCCAACACTGGTAAGTACAGTTCGTAATTTTGTGGACACTGCTGATGAATGATTTTCAGGCAATAGTGCACAAGTTGGGCGCACAAAGATGTCAGACATCATCAAGGACAAGGCCGAATACGATGAGCTTACGGAAGATGAAAAGAAGGCTCTCGTTGCAGAGTTTGACGAATTCAAAAGCCATGCTGCCAAACATCCACCTAATATTACAGCTTGCACTAAGTCAACTGAGTGTGCGAAAAGCTTTCAGGCTGTCAGGGACGAGGCATGTTTTTATTTTCCCTCTAGTACTTACTTGTTTAATATTCTCCTAGCTCGAGGCACTTTCACAATGCGCTGGCATAGAGGCCTTTGTGTTTATGGTTTGCAGCACATCTGACTTTCAGATGACACCGAAGGCATTCTTTACCAGTGCTGCCTGTGAGCACTTCATGCGCATCTACCTGCGGCGTGATGCTGCACGTACTGCCACTGACTTCAAAAGTGCAATGCTTTCGAAGGGGATCTTTACTTGTTCGTTTTTTTTGTCTAACATTACTTATTTAATGTTTCTTCAATACAGCTGCAGCGACCAACCATAAGAATCGTGTCATAGAAGCGAAGCGAAACATTCGTGCCGGTTTGCGAGCATCTCTTTGTAAGTTTTCTCTAGCCCTTCACAATCTCTCCCAATTTTAATGAGTGTGCTAGGTGAAGTTACCAAGGACGCATCAGCAACTGTAGAGTTCACTCGCTATGAAGTTGCAATTGTCCGCAAATATCACATCAAACTCGTAGGTTGGAACCACCCCCAATGGGCCAATCCGTCTGATCTGAAGGGTGGGATTGAGGCACTCGAGAATGTTGTTGCTGCCATTGCTAACAATACCTGCCGCTTTGTTGAGATTACAGCAGATGAAGTAGAAGAACACCGACAAAAAATTGCAGATGGGGCAGTTCTCACACCTGAAACCAAGCCCCGCCTTCCACCACCACCTACTAGTACCCTTATCTTGTCACCACCCTCTCAGCCTACACCTTTGTTGTCCGCAGAGCCCTGCCTTCCACCACCACCTACTACCCTTATCTCGTCACCGCCCTCTCAGCCTACACCTGTATCGTCCGCAGAGCCCCACCTTCCACCACCACCTACTACCCTTATCTCGTCACCGCCCTCTCAGCCTACACCTTTGTCGTCCGCATTAGGTGATTTCGGTGATTCTATTTCAGCTTCCAGTGCTTCCTCGGCATCAGATTTTTTGATTGACACACACAATTCATTTGATACCTTACCAGATGTATCACAGTCGGAGTCTCGGCCATCATTACCTATTAGCTCAATCACCGATGATCTGGTAGACCCAAGTCTTCTCGCACTCAGTAGAGGTATGTCAAAGCATTATTCATTCATATCGCTTTATTTATGTGACATTAAATAGATACTCAAAATACTGCCTACAATGATAGCGCGCCCCCAACAACGAGTCAGCTCCCTCTCCACCGCAACAAAAGGCTGTCAGATGCTGTGGCACCACAGCCACACACAAAACATGTGAGAAAATTGACAGAGAAACAAGCAGCGCTTGAGGATGCTAGGATAGATTCTGAGTGGCAGAGGAAGAGTAAGAAAAAAGGGACTTGAATTACATGTCCATTGGTAGACAACAAGGGTCCAGATTGTTGGCCATAAGTACGTCATATTGATTGTTCCATGTAGCACGTTGTTGGGCAATATATAGGCTGTGGTCGCATGTATCAATGGGTCTGGGAATAGAATTTAATGTAGAAAGTATGAGTGCACAGTAACATACTTGATATGTGCATTGGTGACCTGCTCAAGCTCTGAATAGACATACAAGTGTCCGTATTGGCATGTGAGGGTGCTTGAGATGTAGCAAGAGACTCAGAAGCTAGAAGTTGCTCTCGCTCATGCAGAGGCAACTCTACGTGATGATCAGCTGCGTTAAACAAAAGAAATATTGAAGCGTACTTTTGAGTAGTTCAGCACGAAATAACTTTGCTTGGTCTTCACGCTGCCGAATGCTGCCTGCTTGCAGGGTCTTGGCCTTACTACCACCGACTTGCACGATGCACTGACGGGATATACCACCCAATGAATTCCGTGAGGACCTGACCATGAGATGTGGTTGGAGGTGGCAGTGGCGACTAGAAGGGAAGTATGAGCGCTGCCAGTTCGCCAAGCCAAATGAATGCTAATAGAGTGATCGAAGGGATGGTACTGATGATTAATGGGCTCCTGGCACTATAGAATTGTTAGAAATACGTTAGAAAGACAACAGACAGGAAGAATGAGAATAACAGACAGGAAATAACAGAGTCTAAGTGTCACAGAGGGTGTTCAAATAATAACGGCGGATAGGATGGACCAGAGGGTAGACAGAGCACTGTGATGGGCTACAGGGTATGCAGCAAGCAATGCACAAAAATATGCAGAAGTGACGACTACTGAAGGAGCTGTTGAGCTCGCTGTCATGGACAGTGAGGGCAGGTGAAACAGGAGCGCAGGAATGTTGATTAGCACCAACAAACAATAAACAAACATAGCGTGCGAGAATAGTAAATAGCCTGAGCAGTAAAGTCATGGTTTTTGGCTGGTATCAACCGCCGGTGCTCAGTGCGAACGAGATTTTAGCTTACTAAAGGGGACGTATATGTCCCGTTTGGCCTCTTTACTAAGAAGGAAATATGGGAACTTGTATAGGTGAATTTTGGGGCGACATGATATAATTTTGGGGCGACACATGTTGCAGTTTTCGGGGCGACACACAATAGTTTTCGGGGCGACACAATTTCCTTTTTCGGGGTGTCACACAAATTCAATTTTCGGGGGGGCACACTTTTTATTTCGGGGGGGCACAAATAATATTTGTGCAGATTCAGCAGCATATGGGTTACTGTAGGTTACTGTCGAAAAAAATTGATGCCCCGGAGAAACGTGCTGTGAGCGCTGTGCCTCTGTGGGTTACTGTGGGAAACTGTCAAAAATGTTGATGTCTGTGGGGAAGTTTGTAGTTTACTGATGTATGCTACAGAGTCCGGAATGCCATACTTAGTACGAAAAAGGAAATGATGACGAAGTAGAGAAGCGATGACGAAGTTGATTCGCTCTGTCAATATGCTGGTAGCCAAAATTTGTTATAGTTCCAGCGTCAAAATTCAACGTGTAAATTGATCATTTGTGAATTACATTTTGATTCAAGTCTTGCCTGTCGAAAAACTCTGAAACCGCCGCTGTGTGACCAATCGGCAAGCTGCATCACTGCATTCGTAACACATCAGACTTCTTCCACCACTAAGCGAGAACTGGGGTGTTTTACAGATGGCCGGCCGCATCACTCGCATCCAACTTCTTAGAACTATCAGCATTGAGCGAACAAACCCCGAGTTGGAATAGGTAAGTAACATCAACGCACGTCTAGATCGGGTGTGGGTTTGATACCCGGTACCGCTGAATGACGTTTGGGCATGTTCCGATTATCAATTCCACTCCCATCTGCTTCACGAATCACGATCATCCAGGAACGATGTGGGTCCATGATGGAGTACTTGATGATGATGGGCATAGCCTCTTGTTACTGGTGGCATCTCTTCGTTTCCATCAATGTCCAGAATAGTTTTAGGCGCTGTGTGTCTGAATGAGTAAACAAGGAAGATGTAACGACATACAGCAACGGGGATCAGGAATTGAGCGCTGAGCTCGAGCGTGGAGCCCCTTGTTTCAGCAATGAAGGCAATTCGCGCCGAGTGGTTAAAGATGCTGGCATCTCTGTACACACCATTCAGTTTCTCGCCAGATCTTCAGAACCATTATTCCTCCAACTCGAGTCAATATGGCCTCCTTGAAGTATACCCCGAAGCAACAACTCACAGAGGTTTTCATCCGTCATATGGCGCTTATGATCAATGCTGATATTCCCTGTAGATTCACAGTAGGTTGTCGCAGACCTTCCGTGAGGGCCGCACCCTCCCGTTGGGATACCGCCGCAAGCAACTTCTGCAGGTCGCCCGCCTTGTTCAGGAAAATTCAGATGCTATCATGGCTTCCCTGAAAGCCGACATTGGGAGGCATCCTTTTGAGGCCACCCTCCCTGAACTACGTCCAATAGTTTCAAGTGCCCTTCATGCTGTCGAGAATCTTGATAAGTGGAGTTCTCCCGAGAAACCGCAAGTCGAGGCTTGGCGCAGTGGGTGGGACACAACCATCTTCAAGGTGCCCAAGGGCACAGTGGTTAGCATCAGGTAAGCCGCTACCATCTAGCCAAGTTGTCTTGGTGGCACGTTAACAATCCTCCCTTAGTCCCTGGAACTTTCCGTGGGTGCTCACGATTTTGCCGCTTATTGGCGCAATTGCTGCGGGTTGCACATGCTTGATCAAACCTTCAGAGCATGCCCAAGCCTCTGCGGCCCTCATGGCGAAACTAATCCCGCAATACCTTGACCCGGATGCCTATGCTGTCTGCCTCGGAGCCGTTGAAGAGACCACGCATGTCCTTAGTTTGAAATGGGACCACATTTTTTACACGGGCAGTACGAGTGTCGGACGGATCATCGCAGAGGCAGCAGCAAAGCAGCTCACGCCGGTGACTCTCGAGCTCGGTGGACAATCACCCGTCTTCGTCGACGGGGACAGCACGAACATTGAGATCGCTGCGAAGAGGATTCTGTGGGGAAAACAACAGAATGCAGGACAGGTAAAACCTACACTGTTGCTCTAAAGATTAGCAAAATAACTGTACTGTCATGGCAGGTTTGTGTCGCACCGAATCATGTTTTTGTGCAGGAACAACACCAAAGCGCACTTGTGGAGGCGTTCAGAAAAGCATATGACTCGTTCTGGCCAATGGGTCCGCTTGACTCCTCTTCTGAGATGGCTCGCATGGTGAACGCTCGGCACTACGAACGCAACAAGAGTCTCTTGTCCCGAACCAAAGGAAAGGTCGTGATCGGAGGACAAACTGGGCAGGATCTTCGCATTGAGCCAGCAATTGTTACCGGTGTAAAATTGGACGACCCATTGATGGAAGAGTCAGTTGGAGCTCATGCCCTTCCTAACGCTATCTAACTGACTGCTCAAACCGTGATTGTAGAGAGATATTTGGTCCTATTTTGCCAATCATCCCAGTTGCAAATGTTGACGCCGCCATTTCACACATACAATCTGGGTGAGTTTTTTGAAGATAGCCTATCAGGAAAAACCCTCATGCCCTATAGGTCTACTCCCCTTGTCATTTACGTCTTCACGGAAAATGAGGAGACAAAAAACAAATGTAGGGATCACCCTTCCACATATGAGATGCATGTTGATCAGCTGTGTTTCAAAGTCGTAGAGCGCACCCAGAGCGGGCAGCTGATTCTCAATGAAACTTTCGCTCAGGTTGCTGTCTATGAAATCCCTTTCGGTGGTCAAGGGCAATCTGGCTGTGTGTTCCGTTCCGCGTGTCATTGAGAGAGGTGCTCAGCGTTCATTCATTGCAGATGGATCATACCTTGGGAAGTACTCTTTCGACGCCTTCACCCATCAAAGAGGCTATATCAATGTCCCCGCAGACGCAAGGTGGGTGTGAGGCTCCCCATGTCGAACTTACTTGATTAACGCCGGACATATCTAAGGACGGAAGGCTTCATGCAGGGAAGGTACCCTCCTTACTCAGCGCCTGCACTTGCGTTCTTCTCCCAAGCACTCAAAGCGAAAATTCCCGACGCTTAATCCCTCTTTCATGTTTGGAAAATGTTAACATCATCATGTCGACGTTAAAGTTATCATCTTTAGGGTGATGCGAAGAAGGAAGTATACCAAACCAAGCAAGCTGCAGTTATACAATGTTCAATCGGTCTTGGGCCTCAATACTCATTATTGTAGTTACAAGAAACATGTGCATTAACAAGTGTAACTACCAGGCGCAAGTAGATGCATTAATCAAGTGTAACCTTATCTTAGAATGAGTCGTGTCTTGTGGCATCACATGATTCACATCACTCATGTCCCTTCATATCATTGAAGAGTGAGCCTATACCGGTGAATATTAGTCATTCATTTCAACGCTATACATTAGATTTATATGTATTTCTGACGTAGTGATGTACTTACTGTTTAGTTGATGTAAGTATTCTACACCACCATACATACTATTTTGTTGTTTCGCTGCACTGTCTCACAGTTTTGAGCTAGTTTTTCGATTATATAAGCGTCATGCAGTGTTTGCGGGCATTTCCCACCTCCAATGCAAAGGACTTGCCAGTGTATTCTACATACTCCGCTCGAATGAGCCGCAACCCCCAGACTTTGCCAAAGGCCCCAGACTCTGGCCGCCACAGACTTTGGCCCCAGAGTGGCTAAATCTCTGACATTCACGGGTCCCTAATGTAAGTCTTTACAAAGTTCTGACAATGGACATATCTGACGCTGCGACTGACAAATCCTTTCGGACTCGACAAATTCCCGTTTACCGTTACTATGCACTCGTCCATCATCTCGATCCTAACATGCATCACCTAGCACCAAGATGCGGGGTACCTGGCAAGTGTTATGCATTGGTGAGAAACGGGTAAAGGGCAGTACGGTTGCAATAATGATGCATCACAGGTGCGCTACTAATACCTCCAACTTATGCCACAAACCTGTGTGTAGGCATCTTGCATGCAATTCAGTATACATCAACATCCTCTTATCTCTCCACATTGATCAACGACCTGACTCCCCTGTGATCAGCAGATAAGCTAGTGACAGTACTTCTTGTTTCCCATGTAGCACCGTTTGAAATCGGTGTATCATCACCGGACGGACTCTATAATCTGGATGTTGCGAAGTTGAAAGGGATGATGGCCGCCTGGCAGATGAAACTAGGTACTGAGCTAATGTCGCCCCACCTATTTTCTCTACAGATTTGAGATTGATGGATACTCTCTATTCGCTACTGGAAGGGTAATCACTGCATAGAAATGTGTCAGAGTCGATTCAGCGGCATTGGTAGGAAACATGATAGCGGCAAGATCTCCCTCCGTCTGCTACTGATTACTGATTAACGGGGATATCGGGAATGCGCGGCAGATGGCACTTAATATATCGACTTGCATAGCAAATGGCATCAAACACACGCTTTAAGGTTGACGTTGAACGTTGAGGACTCTTGCGCACACCTCATGGCAAAATTTGCGTGATGGGCGGTTGTAGTATCCAATAGTATCGGTGACTGATCACTGCAGTTTCAAATATAACATAGTCACTGGGTGCATGCTAGTACATAACAGCCACATACTACTACTTCCGCGATCAAATTGGAAAGAATGTACTGTCTACATCGGGCGTTGCCCCAAGAAGACAATAAATAAGATTAAAAAAATTAAAAAAATTGAAAAGAATGAATAGTTTGCTACTGTGATGTCGAATCATAGCCGTTAGTACGTTTCAAGTCCAGCTAGAAGAATTGTTCATCAAATTTGCTGCACAGACTCGGAAAAGATACAGATGTAATTCGTTATGGCATATGAACTATAATGATTGGTAGATGGCCTGCTGGTATTTAAAGGGCCTTAGCTGAACATGAGGCTGGACAAGATACTCGCACCCTGATCCTCGATACTTAGTACACCCCCAAGACTCCACTTGCTATGGCTTCGAGAGGCATGCCACTGGATACTGCTGCTATATTTTCAACCGTGATGGAAGGAATCTTATATGGTGCGTACCATCACAATGGATCTGTCCGTCCCATTCCCACCAAGCTAGGGTTATTCAGGCTTTTCGGTCCTCATGTTTATGGGTACCATGTGGGCATTGACACGCAAACGTCGTATGAAGGAGATTAATCGCACAAATACTGCGGTGGCATTCATGCTGCTGATCCTGAGTACCGCAGTAAGTTTCTCGCCTCTTGCATCTGGTATCACCCAGTACTCAAATATCTCGAGCACATGATAGTAGACATCATTCGTATCGAAGAGGGTTTAGTCACATATCGCGACACATTTACAGGGGGACCAGCGGCATTCTTTGCAGATGTTACCCAAATCACATTTGTAGTCAAGAATATAATATATACCATGCAAACAATGCTTGGCGATGGGATGGTGGTGGGTTCAATTTCTATCCGCCAGATTGAAGTTGCAACCCTTTTGGCTTATGAAATGTCTTTTTCGGCCAAAGATTTATCGCTGCTACATTGTTTGGCAATCTGTGTGGGTCATTATTGTACCGAGTTGCTTGTGGCTCGGTATCACAGGTCAGGTCACAATCATGCTCAGAAAGTCGTACCTCTGATGTCCCTGCAAAGTGTGTGGCATTTGTGCAGTCTACAGTGTCTCAAAAGCGACTAACGAGGCTGGAAACATCTTCGCCAAAGCAACTGGTCAATGGATTACGGCCTTCTACGCCATGACACTTGCAAGTAATTTATTGGCTTCAGGTGAGTACATTTTATACCTGGATACTCGAGGCCTGAGACCAATTTATTCAGGATTTCTGGCATATCGGATCTGGAAGATGGAACGTAATATATCTGCAGTCCGCACTTCAAATAACTCCATGATGCCGATAGTGCGCGTACTTGCGGATGCCGCTATTCTGTACTCTGTGACGCTCCTATCGGCATTGCTGTGTTTCGTCGAAGGTAATAACGGACAATATGTTGTACTAGACATGGTAATTTCCACTATCAACTCCTTTTTATCGAAAATAACCAAACTTTGGCTACCTAGATTATGCCGATTATCTCTATTGCATTTTACATGGTTATTATCCGGATGGCAATGAAAACAACAAGTTACAGTCACATCTCGGCTGCCGGGATGGGTAGTAACGAGACGGCACGAGAGATTCCACAACAATATCATATGAAGCGTATGCCAGTGGAGGTGCACATATCCCAGATCACGCACCAGGATGAAACCTCCAAATCGACATACTGAAAATTTAGTTTTGATTATCAGCGTTTGGTATCGTACTGCTTCTGGACGCTATTTGTATTTAACTTGTTGGATATGACTATATGTTTCACTCGCTGGCAGTTAGTTGAACCTCTCGGTCATTTTTGCTCTCAATGCAAGTAAAATGTGTGTCATGTATCGATTTACAAAAGATCGAGTAGTTAGCATTCAGACAAGATCCCTATGTGAAGCATAGACCTAGATGCACCATTGACTCTCTTCTGACCAGCACTGCCTGCTTAGCTCCTGTGGCTTGGACCTGTCAATCAACTCAGACCCCCGATCAACTTGACACGCCTCAGGCCTGCACGCGGATTGCCAGATGGATTTCATTAACAGAGCTGCATGTCTTCTCGGTATAAAACTCCGAGTATAGTTTCACCACTAATGAGGACAAGTGGAAAATCAGCGTGGTCCAGTTAAAAAGGCCTCAGAGACGAACGTCTACTGTTACGGTAAGTAACCCTCTTACGCCACACTATGCGCATTTCATTGAAGCGTCATACAACAACTCGGCTAAGACTTTCTCATCGTAACTTTGCGCACATTTGCACAATCAGACTTTTGTCAGTGTGGTTTCCTCACACGTTCACATCATAGCCCAACGAGTCGAATTCCAAATGGTCTGACAACCTCAGGGAACCATAAATCAAATAAATCTCCTGTGCTGGGAGGGGTGAAACGCGTGTTCAATGCTATATCGTGTCGTAAAACCAAGACGCGGACCTAGAGAGCTAGTGAAGAGAAATCTTACGATCTACTCGAAATGCGGTGTCGCCACCTGGGAAGATCCCTTGGACGGCTTCCAGCTGCTGTTCACAGGTGATGACAATGCAACTCCGATCAACTGCCGATATTAGGTGCTGCCGAAATGAGCTGTGTCATTGGTGACACCAATATTGGGGGTACCGCGTGGGTCGGTGACGAGTACAAGTGGACAGATCATGATGCTTGTTTGGCTGTGGTGGGTGTTGGTGAGAAGGTAAGGGATTATCAAAGATACGTGGTCATTACGTGTATTGCCATCTAACCAAGGTAAGGCACGAACCTAGATCCTAGAGAGTGCTAGTGAATGCGATCAGCTCTTGTTCGAAACACAACGCCGCCACCTGATTGAGCCCTCGCAAGACATAGAGGCGTACAAATCTGGCAGTGATGCTACGATTCCGATTTCAGGTATTGTTGAAGGGAAATGAATAGGAATATCTGATGCTTCTGCGAGAATGTTAACAACGAGCATCCAACTAATCAAAGATACAAACCCAGTGTGAAGTTTTGAAAAACGACCCTGCGAAATGTAGCGTCACCACCTGCTGTTTTTCCTGTCATTTGCGAAGCAAAAATGACATCAGGTGATGGTACTGCGAAGGAAAATAATATCAATGTTTCTGGGAGAACATTGAAATCAACGACGAGCATCGAATTAGAATTAAAGCAGGATGCGAACCTGCAAAGAGAAGTTTTGAAGAGTGAACCTCGAAGGGCAGCAGTGCCAACTACAAGGATGACATCAAATAATGACGCTGCGATCTCGATTAATGCCAGACATCATGGACTGCCAAAAGCTGTGATAGACATGGGGGTACAGCGCTGGGAGAGTAAAGTTTGGAAGTGGGAGTTTAGAAGACAACGAGGTGATCTGCAGGAATCTAGAATATATATCTGGTTGGTTATTTCTTTGTTCGAGGGTGAAAACTTGTCGAGATGAAAGTACTCGTAACGACGATAAATCAGATGATCCGGTATCGTATATATATGGACAAAGGCCTTTGTGATGGCTTTCATGGTTATTGAATATGAATCGAGAATGTTGATGGGTGGATCCCTTTGTTTGTGGGGTAGCGACTCTGTCCTGCAGGTGGTACTAAACGCAAATAATTGAGGTGTTTAATAGCAGATCCGGTTACGAGTGCTGAACCGGTTCACAAGGGAGCGCCTCGGTAAAAAATTGAATGGATGTTGTAAGGTATTCATGTGTGGTAGGGGAGCTATGCTGATTAGGTCGATGTTAGGATGGCTGTTAGCTAACTTGTGTCGTTTGAAGCGCCTTGTTGATAGTTGAGTTCATTTTAAAAGCGATGCAAAGTGTGAAGTACTCAAGCTTATCGTTACTCGCAACGAGCAGAAACTTCATCTTGACAATATCACGATGAGTAAATGTCGTTTACAGCCATACGGGCATGCCCCTAGATATAGAGCGGGTTTGAAATCTTCAGCTGTAGATAGATGGACACGCAAGAAATCACGCGCTTAACCGCGGCGAGCACTCCGACCAACAGCAAATGACCGCGAATGACCGCGCGCCAAGTCATTGAAATGAGTACGAGTCATCATAGGAAATTGACAATCAAATGATGGATCCGGGACTCGGAGTAGACATTACTTCAGCTGGATACTGCTGAGAACGCCCTCAATGCTCCACGATACTCAAGCAACCTCCGAAGCAGACCGGAGATGACAGCGCATTACAACAAGTGAGACAGGATAAACCAAGGCAATCAGAGAACTGCGGCAGAGCAGATGATGAAGCTGAAGACGGCGTCAGTCATGTCACAAAAATGAAAGATAAGCGAGAATTAATTGGGTTTTAATTGGTTTAAACGAATTGAATCAACGCTCGCACTCGGCTCTGGCCGAGTCTCAGCTCTACGCACATACTTGTCACTGATTGTGACATGTTGCCGTGACTGAGTCTCCTAAACGCTGGTGACGCAGACTTCGGTCTTTAGTTCTTTCGTCTCGACCGTCATCAGCGTTGAGCACGTTCTGCTTGCGCACATCCTGCGCCACAATTTAAAGCTACTTATTGAATTCTACGTGTAAAACTTCAAATTCGGTCGTACCTCCATGTCCAGTAGCCAAAATGTCTCATCCGGCACCCAAGCATCACTTACAGGACCAGAACAAGCGAGGACTTCGTCTCAAGCCAACACTGGAAGATCGGCTCTTTCGCAACAAGACTTGGTTGAGAAGTGCCTCAACATCGTCGAAGACTACAAACAATCACTCATCTCAAAGCAAGAAGCATATGTCACTATTACGAAGGTTGTCGCAGCCAGTTCCAACGAAGCCTCTGACCAAGCCGAATCTTTTATCGCGGCTCCGTACTTCGACATGGTCGAACAATGGTCCAGAGACATTGATAGGACCAGAACATTTCGGGAACCTGACGCTGCACGACAATCTGAAGAAAGGGACTTCGTCCCTCCTAGAGAGGATGAGCATGAGAGAGAGCCCAGTATTGAGGAAGGTGAACCTGTCAAAAAACGGTCTAAACTGGACCTCTCCTGTCTCGGACGAGCCGAGCAATCATTTAAGGGAGGTCAACTCTCAGCGAATCTCACTTGCACCAACGAAATCCTTCTCAACTGGTCGCAAGACCCAAAAGAAGTTCGACGAAGACTCATGTACCATCGCTGCTGCCCGGAATTCCACGAAGCTGGATGGGCAGAAATCGTCGCAGGAAAGTGCATCAATCTTGACGCCGTCCATTCCATTATCTCCTCCTCGCGCACTATTGACAAATGCACCGAAACTATTGGAGACATTGAGATCAAGTTCTCCACCGCTACTGAAGCAGTCTCGAAAAAGATCACTACCTCTGCACAATGGTCCGCAGCTTGGAATAGAGCCGCAAGGGCCATTAAATTCGCATTCCCTCATTGAGAGGATGAGCTCGCCTCCTACGGAGAGTACATCAACGATAAGTTTGACCGCAGCGTCGAACGAGCTCACGAGAGAATTATTAGATTTGACAAAGCCGTTAGGAACCGAGCAGCAAACTCTCGTAGAGTTGAACTCTCCGACTTCGCGGCCTTTGCAGACATTTACGAGTCCCACTTCTTATCAGACGGCAGGCATCACGATGAGGACAAGCAGTCGAAGCCCGGTGCAACGGCACGGGATAAGACCTCCTTCAATCGGCGAGAGCCTTGCCGAAAATGGAACTCGGGAGAATGCTCTCGCAGTGCTCAAACCTGCCGCTATGCGCATGTCTGCTCACACGAGCAGGATGGGAGATTGTGCGCGCGACGTCACACAGAAGCAAGGCATTTCGAAGAGTCCAAGCCCAAACCTACCTGAACGTCCAATTAAGCGCCCGCGACATAGACAGGGCCTTATTTGGTCTCCAATGGATGTTTCATTCAGTCCAACAGCACGTTCAACTGAATATTCGGAACCCGTACCTACACCTCCTTCTCACGAAGTCCTTCATAGTGATGCGGCTCAGACCATCGCTCGAAGGCCAGACCTTTTTCGTATCGTTACACCTATCAATGTTGACCGTTTCGAGGAACTTCTCTTGGACCATCCGAACCAGCCGTTTGTTAGATCGGTTTGTCACGCTTTGCGTGAAGGCTTCTGGCCTTGGGCTGACACCTCTGATGACACGTACCCGTCTATCAATGACAACTCCTCGCATACGTGTTCCAAGACTGACGTACAACTCCAATTCATTGAAAATCAGATGCAGGAAGAAATTCGTTTGGGTCGAGTGTCCGAAAGTTTTGGAACAGAGCTTTATCCAGGAATGTATAGTGTGCCAATGCACACCGTTCCTAAACCCAATTCGGACAAACTTCGCTTGGTTGTGGACCACACTGCGGGCGAGTACTCATTGAACTCTATGATTGATCGGGATGCGATCAAGGGTACCAAGCTTGATGGTCTACACTCATTAGGTGCCTCGCTGCTCAAATTTCAAGAGCAGCATCCGAACATTGAGCTAATTATGTTCAAATCTGACGTTTCACAAGCTTTCCGTCGGTTACCGATGCACCCTCTATGGCAGGTCAAACAGATCTTGACTGTGCATGGTCAACGACACGTAGATCGTAACAACAACTTCGGTGGTCGAGGATCTCCGAAGATTTGGATATCCTTTATGTCACTTGTCGCGTGGATCGCCATTCACAAAATCTTAATTGATGCGCTTAAAACCTACATGGACGACTCTTTCTCTTTCGAAGTGGCCGGACGTGTTCTCTATTATCCTCCTTATGATTGCTACTTTCCCGCAAAACAGACTCGACTCTTACAACTTTGGGATGACCTTCATCTGCCGCATGAACGACCAAAGCAAGTATTTGGCGCGCCATTGACTATCATTGGATTTGAAGTCGACCCGAATGCTATGCAGGTCACGTTACCCCATCATAAAAAGGCTGAGCTGGTTATAGAGTTACGTCGTTTCGCGCAGAAAAATCACCGTTGGTCCCTGCGCGAATTCCAGCGTCTGGCTGGTTGGTGTTACGGACTAGGATAGTTCGAGCTCTCCCTAGGCGGATTGCCTAATCTGATAGCGGGCTCGCTATTGGAGAAACGGGGATCTTCTCTCGAATGAGAGGTTCGGGGGTTCCACTTAAGGTAGCGTCGGCTTTCCTTAAGGTGCGGCTTAGACTGAAGGACTGGGACTGTCTTTCAGAGGAAGTTCTGGTTAAAACCTAGTAGAATCAAGTAGGGAATATACATGATTCTGTCTGCTCTATATACTGTCGTCCGTGTGCACAGACCAATACTACGTTCGGTAGGTAGGTATAAGTGTGTCTATACAAGGGCATCTTATCTGATGCCATGCGGGCGATTATCTATGCATGAGGCTTACCATGCCTCTTCTATCTGTCCTCAAGGCGTAGCATGCCTTTGAGTCTAACTGCGCATGCTGCGGCATGCGGCTTCTCTTCTGACCATGAAGCAGAGCTTCTCCATGATCCGGGTCGAGGACCATCTAGGTCCGATCAGATGTAGCCTAGGCTGGTCTAGGTCATCTAACGGCGTCCAGGCCGTTCTAGGCATCTCTACGAGTCTCCGTTGAGTCGGTAAGTCTTTCAAGACGGTGCATATGGTGGGATAGGGGCTAAGGTCATGATGACCTCCATAGGAGGGGTTCTCGGTTACATGTTATTGTAACAGTTGGTGCGAATGGAGCTTTAACGTGTTTCCTCTGTTGAAGCCAGGTTTGTCGGTGCTTTACGACAAAATCCGAGGAAAGAAGAATGCATTCGCTCAAATTCACGTCAATAACGCGCTACTGCGCGAGTTACGTTGGCTTGCAGACCACGTCGAACGTTTGGATGGCTTACACCTATTCCGGTGTCTAGACTTTGAGCCATCAAGAGATGATGTTGTGGTTATCTACACTGACGTGTCAGCAGCAGGAATGGGTCTCTGGTTCCCGGACGATAACTTCGCGTGCCAGTCACCATTACCTGGAGATGCTCCCCACGACTCTATCTTCTTCTTCAAAGCGTTGGCTGTATGTTCCGCTATTCACGCTGTCACAAACATGGATGAGACCCCGGCAAAGTTACTCATCTACACAGACAATTCGAATACTGTGGCAATGTTCGACTCACTTCGAGCAAGACCCGTCTATAATTCACTGTTACTTTCGGCCGTGGATATCTTAATCAGCTATAGCGTTGACCTGCGGGTGGAGCATATTCCAGGTCAGCAGAACGTCATCGCTGACGCACTCTCACGGTTTCACAATGAGCTCGTGAAAGATCTCATGCCTTCGGCGCAGATTTTTGACTTTGAACCCCCTCGGGATGCGCTGGGGGTGGCAGAAAAATGATCCGAGGTACCACACAGTCCAAGCAACCCGTGCGGGAAGCTTGGACTCTCGAACGCTTACAGCTAGAGCGTTCACTTGCCCTTGGCTGCGCTATTGAATCCACCACAGCTTCAGCTTACGACTCGCATCTAAATTCCTATCTCAACTTTTGTCGACTTCATCACCGGGAGGTAGAGCCAACTGCGGACACGCTGTCCTTCTTCGTGGTGTGGCTATCACATCATATCGAGCCACGATCCGTGGACTCATATCTTTCGGGAATTGTCAATCGTCTGTAGACACACTTCCCGCACGTTCGTGAAATACGGACATCTTTGCTCGTCACGCGAACTCTGAAGGGTTGCAAACGTCGCTTATCTAAGCCTGTTCAACGCAAACAACCACTCACTTTGGATGATCTCACTCTTGTGGTCAACACATTCGCATCATCTACAGAGTACGACGATACGCTATTCGTGGCAATGCTGGTTACAGGTTTCAAGAGTTTGCAACGTCTCGCAGAGCTCTGCTGGCCTAATGCAAAATGACACCAATCCTATCGTAAAGTGGCGCTACGCCACTCTCTCATGCTGTCTGCAACATCGGCAAGCTACACATTACCTCACCATAAGACGAGCACTTTGGGAGTAGGATGTGAGATCTTGGTGATGGCAGAGCCTGAATCTAGAGCGAATCCTCTAGCTCTCCTACAACGGTATGTACGTGCTCGCGACAGTCGCTTTCCACACCATCCACACCTCTGGCTGACTACGAGTGGCACTATCCCGACGCACGCATGGTTCATGCGTTACCTTCGGCGTTTCTTTCCCCCAACTATTTCTGGACATTCGATGCGAGCCGGGGGTGCCACTGCCCTAGCTGCGACTGGTGTCGCGCCTGCGCTGATTCAGGCAGCGGGACGCTGGTCTTCGGATGAGTTTCAGAAATACATTCGAAAGCACCCTTATCTGCTTCACTTGCTTATACACGGTTCTCAAAATCCGTAACTCACTGGATTTGACAGCTTAACGCTCGAATTGCTTGGTTGAATTCTCGTTTGCATCAACTTCTTGTAACAGTCTGGGGATTCTAAGTACGTCATCAGCATTATTTATAATAAAAAAAAAAAAAATAGCCCTCTAGCGCTTGGTCGAGAGTCAAACTTGACTTTCTCGATTTTTCAGTCACCAGTCGTTTGGAGGGGGCTCAGTCACCAGTCATTTGGTGACTTGTACATTACTGATTCTTTCTATTTACTATACGTACTTCTCTGTTTTCAAACGAGCTGTCACTTCCCAGTATTAAAATTGATTGCGGGTCCTCCGAGCATTGAAAGCCAATGCAATGAAAGCGCGGGAAATTACAAACATATAAGGCAATCAAAGGGTCCAAATCTAATGAGGCGACATTTCAGTGACTCAGAACTTTTGTACTACTACTCTCTTGAACCTTGCCTGTATCTCTCCGAGTCGTAGGATGCCTCAGCCCCAGGGGCCAGGTGGCACAACGTTAATGGTACACTGGCTCCACTTGGGCTGGTAACGGGTATCAGCATCAGTACCGCATTCCAGGACGCGGGCTGACATAGTGAAGCTAAGTACATCATGATAACACCTTCCTGAACCGTCCACCGTTCTTTCCGACTGATGGGACAGCCGGAAACCGTGAAAATTGATCCTCATTCGTCTTACCCCTCCCTGTATCGACAAGTGGGGTCCGAGCCTGGAATCGTATGTCGGTATAGCAACGTTCAATGATTGACCCATTTACTGACCAGTAGGGATCCCCAGGTGGGCCGCGCAAATGCGACGGTTAGACCATCAATTAATGTGATTCGATGGCAGCCATGGGACCCTGCGGGATCACCTTCGAAACATCGCTGTTGACAGACCTGAGACATCCCAAAATTTGGACTTCTGTGTGGAGTCGGATGTAAAATTCTGGTTTTCGAATTTCAATACGTTTAGGCAATTGACTTCCTCTCGTGCCGTGTATTTCATTGATGGTGACGTGGTGATAGTCCCCCAAAGGCACAACTAATCATCCTGAAGTGCGTCCGTGGAGCTGACTCTTGCATCATCACGAGCTAATCTGTCTATCGCAGGGACAGCAGACATCGTGTATCTGAATACGGTCGATGTGTCATAGCATGCCCCCGTCCCTGTCGACATGGGTTTCAGACAAGGGGGCATAAATATAGTCGAACAGGTATCAGTACCGTAATGCCGGCTAATCAAGGTTCATGATTAAAAAATCAAACCCGCCATGAACGTTTTAAAGCCCCAGTCACACATTTATCAAGAGAGATTAAGAACTTCCCTCCATATTCTCGCTATTTTACCATAACTTACATTGTGAACACTATTCCTGCGGATCACATGAATTCTATCAGCTCTGAACACAACCAGTGTGACGAGGAGCGGCCGGAGGACTCGGTTTTGGATCTCAAAAATGTCCCAGTGCTAACACCAGAGCAGGAGAAGAAACTGTGGAGAAAGATTGACCTGCGGATAATGCCTATCCTCAGTTTGATGTATCTTCTGGCTTTCCTTGACAGAGGTGCGTAGTTATCAGGACAGTTGACGTCGAATACTCCCCTCACTCTTCAACAGGTAACATAGGTAACGCGGCGTTGGAGGGGATTATCACTCAACTGGATCTCACGGGAGACAAATTCAACATTGTATTGGTATGTAATGTGTGGTTGTTTGTTCACAACATCACCAATCTTACAGCTGAATACAGATAATGTTTATCATAGTAAGTAACGTTATTCTGACAGGTATCGGATTTTGTTGAACTTGTAAACCGTAAAGACATACTGCCTGTTTGAATGTCCCTCTAAGTTCGTTTGGGACCCAATTTGTTGGTTATCTGCGCGCTGACTGCAACCTCAAGCCTGGTTCTTAAAGCGATCAGACCATCCAGGCAAGTGTTCGTATTAACCCTTAAGTACTATCTAACCGACCCTGTGTATTTTAGATGGCTTCCAGGGATCAATGTAAGTTTTGCATGATGGCAGCTGAATTTATCTCACGATCAATAGTTTGCATGGGGGGTAGTTATGTGCGTCATTCACTCTTAATACATTCTAAAGTTACTGAGGAAGCCTATTTCCAGGACACTCAATGCTTTCGTGAAGACGTGAGATTGAGCAGTTTTTTTGCCAATTTTTTGACTTGATATTGACCTTACATTTCAGGTACCCTCAGCTTGTTGGAGTGCGAATCTGTCTTGGTATCACTGAGGCAGGTTTGTTCCCTGGTGTGGTTTATTAGTGAGGATAAGTAAAGAACTTTTGCGGGATATTGCTGATGGATCTGCAGCCTTACTTTGTGGTACCCGAGACACATGCTACAATATCGAAGTAAGTGTCCTGTATTTGGTTGTCCGCTTAGGATGTTGAAGTGCTCCGGTAGTTGGCTTGTTTTTTGGTGCTGCAACGGTTGCAGGTTTGTTGTCTCGCTCCATCATTGGGATTTTAATAGTGAAACAAATTCCAGGTGCTTTCTCTGGCTTACTAGCATTTGGGATTGGTTACATGGGTGGCATGGAAGGACTCGAAGCATGGTCCTGGATCTTCGTGAGTTCGTTCATGGCCGATTTCAGAATTAATGCTCAAAATTCATATGCAGCTGATTGAAGGCCTTGCAACGATAGTTGTAGCCATCATTTCTTTCTTTGGCGAGTGCAGCACGCGTTCGATTACACAAAAAGCTGATATGTATATGATCGTTTAGTGCTTGTCGACTTTCCGGAAACAGCTAAGTTCTTGACCCCGGAAGAGCGTGCTTTTGTTGTCTGGAGGAAAAGTAAGTGGAGCAAATCTTGAGAGGGCAGATACGACAGACTTCTTTCAGAATATGACAATTCATCGGTCGGCGAGGAAAAGAAGTTTGCTGTTAAGCACGTCTGGGCGGCATTCACAGACTGGCAGGTAAGATGCTAATTGTTTCTTTGTTATGTTCGTGCCTCAACCAACTCGTCAGATCTGGTTGCATATCCCCATTTATGTGTCAATCGTTGGGCCTCGTAAGTGACACACCTTGGCTGCTCAGCGACGTCAGACGCTGATTTGATCACTCTTAGTGTATGGCATCACCCTGTTTCTCCCGTAAGTCGATTTTTAGATCTTTGAAAATGGTGTTTAACCTATTTGTGCCAGAACGATCATCAAGAGGTCTGTCATGACAAGCTGATTGTGATTCACTTATTCAAGTGCATTCAGCTTTGGATATAACACGCCAGTCAGCCAGTTGCTCACCGTACCACCATATATTGCCGGAAGTCAGTTTTTCTTACCTATCTGCAATCTCACGCGGTAACCTGTTCCATTTAGCTATCACATTGCTCGTTTTTGCACACTACTCGGACAAGCTGAAAATGCGATCACCTTTCATTCTTGCCGGCCTTACAATGTGTCTCATCGGCTTTTCGATAAACATATCTACCGCACCCGATAGTGTCAAGTATTTTGGGACTTACGTCATTGTTATGGGAAGCTATGCATCATTGCCTGGTATCATTTCTTGGTATATCATTATCAGTCGCGTCATGACCAAGGCTAATATATGGTAATCAAGGCTTGGAAACAATCTTTCCGGCCAGTACAAGAGAGGCGTTGGCATGGCCCTCGAAATGAGCATCGGAAATCTCAGTGGTGTGGTTGCAGCCACCGTCTATAGGTCGCGAGACGCACCTCGGTTCATCTTTGGGTGTAAGTTCAAATTCGTTAACATAAGGCTCGCGTCGGCTAACTCTTCGTTTCCAGATGCATTCGAACTCATGTTCGTCGGGATTGGATTCATCTTTTTGCCGCTTGTGGTGTTTATCTACAAGAGGATCAACGCCAAACGCGATGCTGCCGAACGGCTCGCAAGAGAACGGGGGGAGAAAGTGCAATATTCGTACCAGGAATTGCGGGACTTGGGAGACCGTGCGCCTGACTTCAGATACACGTTATGAGCAGGAACAAGGTTATGCCTTGTGCTTGATGACTTGGTATCGAGGATACAAGTCTTCGCAGAGAGACATTATGTTTATCGTCTCTTTAGAACCGAATACATATGTCTCAGTGTTGTAATTGTCGCTGTAATGCCATTCAACTGTACAAAGTGTCAGAGGTGACTTTGTCGCGGGGTCCTCATCGCTGTCGTGCATTGCTGTCAAGTACTGGTAACATACTGGCGCTTAGATGATCGGACTCCACGGCCGGTTGACCTTGCTCTTCGGAATTGGGACAACTCCGAGTTCAGCGAGACTTTTCATTTATTTTCACGCCTGCGAAACTAAAGAGCATCCTTTAGATTATCCCAAACTCACTCTTTAGAAATCCAAGGTTATGCTACTATTACAATATTAAATATTTGGGACAACAGATAAAGGTGAGTCCTACGATTGAACGGTGTATAACTACAACTTGCTGTGCTTGGAATTCTTCACTCCTTGCCTCACCCTGATTCAGAAGATGGCAACTTAATCACTGGTCGACATTAATTTCTAACTACCAACGACTAACATATGCCAGTGTAAGCTCAACGTCGCAGATTATCTACACGCACAAACAACGGCAACTTCCGAACTACAGTTCCCTTTCACTCTGCTTTCCTTCATTCACTTTGTTTATGAACGGTGCTCGCAGCTCTACCCTCCTCACCTAGTAACTGCCTTTGGTGTAGCCGGGTGGCGAACGGTGTAAATAGGCGGAGCTCGCACTGCCCAAATCATGCTTTATATTTTTCAAATGTTCGCACATCTCAACAGTCTTCATATCTCGGTAACAGTACATGTTGCAAAGTCACAACCATGTTCTGCAAGGGCCTCTACATTCCGACCAAATACTTCGAACGAACGCATACGCAGTCCGTGTGTCTCGTGGATGCGACGAGCTTTACTCTTTGCATCCGAGACACGGATACAACTCTTCATTACGCTTTGACGTCGCATTGCTTTATGCCACATGATCACCTCGTGCAGGATATCAAATCACTTGTTCTTTCATTTCCTTTTGACTTCAACGTTATTTCCTTCGAACGCGCACCTTATTCTTTCAGTCACTCACTTGGATGCTCGTACTTCTTTGTGTTTCATTCCCATCATTCCCCTTCGAACTTGTATAAATCTTTTTGTACAACCACAACAAGTGTACATTCTCATACCACCTCTATTTTGACCGCATCTCTATGCGGTGCATCTGCGTCTATTACCTTGCAGTTTCGGCTCGATTGACAAGCCTGCCTCAATTTCTCATTCCTAGCTAATCCTTAGAATTGTCGCCTGTCTTTACTCCCCATCGTTTTTTTATATCTATGACGTAACCTTAACCCTACCCTGCAGTTAACAAATAAATAATTCAAATTCCAAAAGATCCGGGGTCATCGCATCCAGGTCAGTTCAACTTGAACTTCTATGGGCACGATGCCGTAGAATGACTACAATAGCATTTGTAGTACTCGCATCAGATTTGCCCATTTCTTCCCATCGGCATGCTGCGCATCATAGCCATATATTTTGAGGTTAGGTGACCGGCAGGTGTGATGAAACCTACTGAACTTCCACTACTCTTATTCCAGGAATTTCCGACCCATAATGCTAGGAGCCCTCATCACGGCCGACTATGCTGCTGGTGTTGTCGCATTCGCAGCGGTGCTCGCCGTGCTGTATAAGAAATCTTCATTGACGAATGGCAAGAACGCCTTGCCATTTCCACCTGGACCCCCCGCCCGTTGGTTCTGGAGCAACGCTTTGCCTTCTGTCAAGTGGGTTTTGGAAACGTCATCCTTAACATGTAACATTGATGTAAACTGCCCACTCAGCATTGCTCGTGAGCTGACCAACCTTGTTCGGGAGTATGGGCCTGTGGTATCGCTCCGACAAGGCAGTCAAGTGATCATTGTCATCGGCAGCGTCGAGGTAAGATCTGTATATACTCGGATTTCCTCGAACATTGACCAGTCTGACAGGCAGCCACAACCATCATGGAGATAGAAGGTAGATCCCTTGTAGATCGTCCTCCGTCTATCGCTGCGGGAGAGATGCTCTCAAATGGGATGCGTATCCTCATGGCTCGCTCCGGAGAACGCTTTCGGCGTCTCCGCAAAGCAGTTCATACCCATCTCCAGCCCAAGGCAGCAGAAGCATACAAAGATATGCAGCACGATAATGCAAGGAAATTTATATTAGACATTCTGAATGACCCTCGGAATCACCAGAAGCATGCAGCAGGGTATGTCCTTACCAAGTCCTCTTGTGATCCTTGTACAGACGTTACCTCAAGGTATTCAACATCGGTCATTCTTCGCGTCACTTATGGGAAGTCTACACCTACGGCCTACACTGATCCCGAAGTTGTCCGTATCTACAAAGTCCTCCATCATTTTGATCTTGTGATGCGCCCGGGAGCTTATCTTGTCGACCGTGTACCTCTTTTGCGCTACTTGCCTGGTTACGGAAGGCAACTGGCTGAGTGGCATGACGAAGAACTAAGTCTATACAGACATCAGTTACTGCGCGTCCAGAACGAAATAGTAAGGACTTTTTTTCTTTCTATGAACATGCTTCATTCGTGTTGTATTCAGGAACAAAACAAAGCGGGGCCCTCTTTCACCAAGACACTGTTGGAAAACACCGAAGATCATCAGCTTGCGATGGATGAGATGGGATATCTCGCTGGAACGCTCTTTGGTGCAGGAGCTGATACGGCAAGTGATACCATCTCATATCTGAACTTACTAATGGGCTGAGTCCAGACCTCTGCGGGAATTACCACTGCTATTATGGCTGCGGCGTGCTACCCTCTGGCTCAGGCAAAGCTGCATGAAGAGCTCGACATGGTCGTCGGATCAGACAGAGGCAAGGCTAACAAGATATTTTTCCGAAGTTTTCGGCTAATTTTTGGTGATAGCACCAATATTTGAGGACTCGAGCTCGCTTCCTCAATTGCGCGCGTTTCTGTTGGAAGCTTTGAGATGGAGACCTGTCATTCCCATAGGTAAGCCTTGAATTCGCTGCGCCCCTACACGCTGACATGTTTCTCAGGATTCCCCCACCGCGCAACTCAGGATATTATTTGGGTTGGTGTCTTGAATTAATGCCAGGTCATTATATTAACATAACTATGTGTGCGATCAGCAAGGTCATTGTATCCCTGAAGGCGCAATGGTCTACGGATGCCATTGGTAAGGTTTTACTTCCTCATGCTGTATGTCCTTCATTAACTGAACTTGTCAGGGCAATCTGTCGCGATCCAATTGCCTTCCCAGATCCCGAGAAATTCGATCCTCAGCGCTGGCTTGATTCCGAAGGCCGCCTCAAGGACGATATGAAGTCTTTCACCTTTGGCTTTGGCAGACGGTAAGTTGTTTTTGTCAGGAGTTAACGAAGCTCACTTGTCTTTGAAAAGGGTGTGTCCCGGCAGGCATCTCGCAGAGAATTCAATGTACATCGCCCTCGCACTTATCTTCTGGTCATTCCGCTTCGATCAACGACCTGACGCTCCGATCAACACGCAGGCTAGTGACAGTGTTGTTTCTCATCTAGCGCCATTTGAGATTGACGTCATTCCACGAATCGAAGTCGAGAGGTTGAGGGAGATGATGGCGGACGAAAGTATGTATTGAAGATGTACTGCTCATTAGTCCGTCCTTCTGTTTGTTCAGTCTACTAGATCTGAACGATTGGCTGCGCCCTGAACCCCTTTGTGTCCCTCCTCCACCTCCGCCTTGGTCGGCGGTTTGTCCCGATTCCCTATTCCGTATGACGAGGTATCGTCATTGTACGTGAGCCGGGATATATGCGCCTGCAAAGGCTTCATAAGATATTGCCGCGAGTTCCTTGGCGTTGTCTCACTGGTTCCTCCGAATGGTCGATCGAAGCAATAACTGACTTCTGAGTAGGCCACTCCCTCAATGGACCCAACATCTTTGATTCTGCCTTCTTGGAACGGATGCTTGTAAACGCCGAGGCTTCTGGTATTTCTGAATGAGACGAACACGTGCTTATGAAAAACATGCAAAGAAGGTTCTCCAGGAACGATCTGATGATCAACTCGCACGAGGAATTCGTTCCTAAAATATCCCTGTCATCTTTACAATTAATCTGGGGTACGACCTTGCTTATCGTGCTCCTACGTCCAGTCGGACAGGCCCACGCGTGACATTGACCTACCTTCCTACGGCCCTCCTCCCTACTTCCCCATTGCATATTGCGAATTGTCCATACCGCCCATTCATTGCATAGTAGTGGTGAACACGCCGGTTGATGTTTGCTCGTCATTCGAACACCAATTCTCAGCATGTGATAGGGTCGTTACAACTATGCAACGCTACATCAGCACTATTAGAACTTGCGAGTGTTATCTGTCCTCACTATGGTGTGATATTCAACATTTCGTGCAGCATTATTCGATATGTTCGTCTCTTCAGCGAGCGACGTGGTCAGTTCGATGAACGGCAGAACCATCTGCAGCGAGACTCAGGCTGGACTAGTACATCCTGTTGCAGCTTTGCTTTGTTGATTCAAATCATTTTTCAGCACCAACTGTTCGCCATTAAGGAACTAACGTCCAAGGTTATCCTGTCAACTGGATCATTTGATTCTTCTTAGTACAATACTTGCGCTATCTTCCTCCAACAATGTTCAGAGCTAGACGTTATAATCGAGTCCCAATTCTTCAGCAATGATCATCGCAGCCTTCTCTCCAATGAGGAGCGCCGTCGAATACGTGTTCTTGGGAGATAGTTAGACCAAAGGTCACTTAATCTGGTTGGGTACTCACCGTGCCGACATTCTTTGGCACAATAGACATATCAGCAACCTTGAGGTTTGTGACGCCGTACACGTTTAGCCGAGCATCAACGACTCCTTGTTCCGCACGCGGTTTCATGGCGCAGGTACCGAGCTGCATGCAAAAGAATCAGAAACCCCATTTCAAGTTATCTCAGCTGCACTCACCGAGTGCCAAGTCGTTTGCACTACGATTCGATCCATAAGTAACCGGAACGACGGAAATGCAAAAGCTATACATACCGCAGTCACGATGATAGCTTTCAATGGCCTCGTCATCTTCGGCAGTGTAGATGATGTCAGGTGCATTTAGGTCAACTGGCCCAGATGCTTCTCCACAGGCCGCAGCGCTTCCCTCTGGGAATTTAGGATGACCTACAGCGAGTTCGCCTCGGTAGGAAGGCAACCTTCGGTAGATTTCGCGCATCTTCTTGTATGCAAAGTTGATTGGTACGATATCGGATGGACTGATGAATAATGATCAGTCATGCAATGGCCCTATGATGAAATGTGCCGACTCACTCTTCCAAAAACCCTGTCGTGAAATCGAGCGCCTCTTTACCGTTTTCGTCCACTTTGATATGCACGCTTCCAGCAGATGCGGGGTAAAGCTGTCGAAAGGTTCAGAAAGATTCACGCGACGAGGAGTGAGAATTACTGTGAAGTAGGCAGCCATCATGTAGTTGCGGGGCGGAAGGGTACCAACAAGCGGTCCAAGGTATCTAGTCATCGTGAGCTTTCATATCAGGGCGACGAAATAAACACGCACCCTGCGATCAAGGAAAATATTGCAACACACTTGTCCGGGTGGTCTCGGAAGAACCCGTTCCATCGTTGGTGGAAGGCTGGACCCATAGCTTTCAGCTCCTCGGCATCAGGACGCCACTTGATTTTCGCATCGACACCACTGAAATATGAATCAGCACGTATCAAGCAATGATGATGAGTAATCTGACTCACTTCGAAGCAATAAGTGATGTTCCATTAGCGGTCCATTGTGCGAGGGCATCTACAGTTGGCTGTTTTGGAAGGCGCCGAGAACGTTATGAAGTCATGCTCACCTTTTGTAGCACTCTCCTCCCCGCGCCAGAGGGGGTCCATGGTGATTGCCTCGTCAGCAGCCAAGTATGGAACCAAAACAGCATCATGATCTGATACCCATAAGTCAAGACCATTGATATATTGATGATATCTTACCTGTGTAATTCTCCCCGACACCCGGCAGGTTAACAAGTGGTTTGATGTCGCATCGTTTGAGCACTGCCTCGGCGCCAATACCAGACCTCTCGAGAATAGCTGGGGAACCAAATGCTCCAGCAGATACGACGACGAGCTTTGAAGCTTTCACAGTACTCAATGACTGGTCTGCGCCTGGGCAAGACACAGGGTCATTGGTAAACTCGACACCTACAGCACGTTTGTCCCTGTGGTTTGGAGAGGGTGTCAAGAGTTGGTGACAGATGCGAGGGCACAAGCCACTCACTCGAAAATGATGCGTGTCACGCGCTTGCCAACCCATATTTGTAAGTTCGGGTTCTGAGCTTGGTTGTAGACATAGCAGTGGGCCGCGTCGGAGCGCCTTCCAGTGGTGCTATCAATGTACCTTTTTACACATGAATTCAAGCCACAATGAGCTACGAGAAATTTGCTCACTTCGCCCATGGCTGTGTGGTACAGCTTTAATCAGTAGCTGCAGGAATGGAAGTAAAATTAGAAAACTCACACTGTATGTATTACATGTTTTTAAATCATTGGTGTCTTCGGAATATGGCCTCTTGTGATAGGTCATACCAACACAAATAAACTCTTCACTGATGGCTAGTTTATGCCCACCAGGGGACACCTTGACAGGTCCTGTGTACCCATGAGTTGGACAACCAGGCTGCACCTGGTATGTCTCAAACTACGAAATGCAGTACGAGTCAGCATGACAAATATATAATAAGCTCGAGCAAAAGAGGACCTTCTTCATGAGAGGGATCAAATTCTTCGATTCCCAACCTTCAACTGCCCAATCATCATAATCTGAGACAGGTGCACGAGTGTATGCCCCAACTATCTATATATCAGCACCTGTTCATTTCGGCAAAAATTGTACACACAATTGATAGTTGATGCTCCACCTACTGAATGACCAGATGGAACAACCAAAGCACGTCCATTGAGATGTGGAGAGGGATTTCCGAAGTTGAATGTGAGTGTTGTGGTTGTTGGGGCCATATGGAATGGATACTGGTAAAGTTGAACATGAGCAGGTTTGTCCAAGGTGTGTTCACCAGCTTCGAGAATCAGAATCTTTAGTGAGGGATCACATGCAGCTAGGCGGCCTGCAACGACACAGGCTGTAGCACCACCTGCACAAAACGCGAAATTAAGATACAACGAAGATATTATGTAATACTGACCTCCAGCAAAGATGATATCGAATTCTGTTGGGGATGGAGGAGACATTTGATCTTTGCAGATTCCTCGTCAGTGTCTGCATCTTATATGCACTTGCTCATCAGATGATGGCTGCCCAACAACAAATTATACCAGTATGGTGTTTCGAAGTCATTCGGTGTTTGCCCTACATTTGTTTGGACAAAGTTTGTCACCATCATCGGCTCTGAGGACCGTGCAATGATGAATCTGCCTCATGACATCTCGTTGTATCAGAAGTGCTAGTCTCAATCTGTAATATGGTTTGATGGGCACGAGGAGAGTACCTTCAGTTACGGTCTATCGGTGATGGACTTCCATTTCGTGATTCACTTTTGTGGTACATCCCACAGCTCGAAGCAAACAGGTGTGTTTCATGTCCTAAATTGTCCACTTAGTAGGTCCGCAGTACCACCAGCATCACTCCAAGCAAGTTTACGTTGTTTTGAAATAGAAACACCCCTACATCCCACGTTGTCACAGTATCTGCACTGCATCGAAAACAGGCTATACATGCTGGTCATGTGCACCAAACAACACCTGGTCAACATTACCTCGGAGCAGTACAACTCCAGTCTGTTTTTGTATGTAATGATACATAAGAGGATATCCATGCTTTTCGAGTCGCACGTTCCCCTTGCATCTCTCAGTCTTCTCCACCATGGCATCAGGTATACCATTGGATGCAGGAGCTCTAATGTCGACAGTGCTGGAAGGTGTTTTATATGGTGAGCATTGCAATTCAGATTTCGTCTAAGCTAATATTGGTTTTACACAGGCTTTTCGATACTCTTGTTCATTGGTACCATTTGGTCTTTGACCTACAAACGTCACAAACAAGATATCAATCTCCCAATTCTCGTCGTGGCAGTTCTGCTGCTAATACTGAGTACTGCTGTTAGTAGCCTCTCGCATCTTATATTTGATGTTGTTTATTGACCTTCTCTGAAGCATATGGTTGTGAATATTGTTCGAGCCGAAGATGGACTAGTGATAAATCGCTATGAGTACCCAAACGGACCATCAGAATATTTTGCAGATGTTTCACAGGAGACCTATGTGATAAAGCATTCGTTCTACGTGCTGCAAACTCTCCTTGCTGATGGTGTGGTGGTGAGCTCGTAATTTGATTCCTAGCTTAAACCCTGCTTACAGAAGTGCTTGTGCTCGTAAAAAGATTTATCGTTGCTATGTTGTTTGGCAATCTGTTTGGATTGTCGTCCTACCAATCATTCTGTGGTGCAGTGTCGCAGGTTCGTTACAATCATACTTGCTGGCTCGTCATACTATGTTCTGACATTGCCTCAAAGTAACTGGTGTCATTGCAGTTTACAGTGTCTCGCAAGCCGGTAGTGGTGATGGGATCTTCGTCAAAGCACTCGCACAATGGGTCACAGCATTTTTTGCCTCGACAATCGCAACCAACTTGCTGAGCTCAGGTAAGTAATCTCTGCACGAGTGCGATATCGAGCCATGAATGTATGTGCAGGATTATTGGCATATCGCATCTGGATCATCCAACGTGGTGTCTCTGGGGTCAATACGTCGAGGAACACTGTGATGCCGGTAGTGCGTGTGCTCGTGGATGCCGCTATTCTGTACTCTGCAGCGCTGTTGACTGCGTTAATACTGTTTGTCTCCGGAAACAACGGACAGGATGCTGTCGTAGACATGGTGAGTCGGCCATTGACACTTTTTATTGAAATCCATTGAACTCGAGCGACTAGGCCATGCCGATCATGTCGATTGCCTTCTACATGGTGCTTATTCGCATCGCACTTAACAAAAAAGAGCACAGTTATGTCTCGACTCGGACGAGTGCCAGTATTCCTAGACGAGCGGTGACCAGCGAGGCAGAACAAGAACGCGCACAACAATATGCCATGAAGCCTTTACAGGTACATGTATCCAAATTCACACATCAGGAGCGACCATCGTCAAGCAAGGATTCTATGAGAGGAACGTCTCCACCTTACGACGTGTAATCGATCCTGATAACTTCAACCGCTTATGCCCCGAAAACGAATATGATGCTTGATTCGTTCAACTACGACACACATGAAACACTCACGCAGACAATGAACACACACGGTCGCATACCTTTGCGGAGATATACCAGGAGGCTTTTCGTACTGGTTAAGCCTCCCGTTTTGGCAACACTCGAGCAGTGACGAGGCTGATAGCGAGCTTAAATCACCCTTTCCCTTTCTTTCTTTCTTGGACATGAATTTATGATATATTGTACAATCTCCGTACGTATTATACATATCACTAATGAAGTTAGCATTTCAAAGTCGCATCCGCGACAGTTGATTCCTATTGGATTGCTGATAACTACCCGGTGGCCTCCCTGCGAACATGTCGCGATAAGTGTCTAGAGTGACTAGACCCTGTTCGATATGATGATGTCTACGACTATACGCTTGGGAGACTTGAGCATGTGAAGAAATATGTAAAAGGCGAGACTAACCACGGTATTCAATATCGATTGCCACCTTGATGTCCTTCGTGTGATGTTGTAGACCAATGCACCCCAAAATGTAAGTACCGAAAAGTCTGAACCCTAGCTCGATAAACATGAGACGGACGGATCCAAATGCGATACTTACCATATAGAACTCCTGAACGTTCTGGACTTGAACGCATGACCATCATAACGATATCATCACGGTATCGGCGCTTCATGAGAGCCGCTGAAGATCCTTTCATGCCACAGCGCTTGATCAAGTTCTTCTTGTCATTAAAGCAGTGTGATGCTATGATGATGATTATCAGCAGCTGCAGCGCTGAACCGGCATTTGTTAACGTACATACCGTGAAAGTGTCATTTTGGATGAGACATGACTATTATCGGCGTCCGCGGCTCTCCACCGAAATCACTAATGATTGGGGCATTGAACTATTTAAGGAGAGGATGCGCCACAGAAACTGCGCCCATCACATCGTAGCAGATGTAGGTGATGGCCTCTGGCTCTAGCCTTAGGAGGCTGTAAAATATGATGCATTGACCTGATCCGATCAATCGTTATCAGGGCGACACTCGACCGCTGGCTGGTACAGTGCTTTTTGCAGAGAAGCAAAATAGAAATCCATCGTGGAATTGATCTGTCGTTCGCGCCAAGTTGATAAGTTTAGTAGCGCCAAGGTCAAACCGAGACAGATCTGAACGAGGAACTTCAAAGTTAGGCTGTTCATCGATAAGCCTGAAATCTCCGCAACCCAAGATTGGAACTTACCTACTGCCCATGCTTGTGTGGGGATTCTCGCTATCTCCGAAACACAGCCAGATAGCCCCCTATGGATGATGGAAGATAGTCGTTCCTCGTCTGTTTGGCCTCCGTAATACGTATACGCCGCACTTCCGCCTGTATTCAATGTAGTCGCCGACCTCGTGATAATAGATGCACATCAGCGCCCAGAACCGCACTGTGTGGGAAAAGAATCAATCGTTTCAGCAGAGCGGTGATCATGAAATCGATGAGGTGATGAAGTGTGGAAATTGACCCCGTCTCTGATCTAGTGTCCACACAGACTTGGTATGTCCTGGATGTCCTCCGCAAACGTGTTGTTTTCAAACTCCGACTAATGTTTTGGAATTGTAAGTATCGCACGGATCTCTCAATCGCTCAACCGCGTCCTTTCTAACAGACACTATCTAATTCCATGCACCCCTCCAGTACAGCCATCATGATTAATCGCCTCAGTACGCTCCAAGTCTGATGAGGCTCCTAAGTAATCATGTGAGTGAAGCTTCAAGTTCATCTCAGTCACCGCAGCCTACCGTCGGCCGTCGACCTCTGTTGCCATTCAGGATCTTATATTACACTCTCGTTGCATCAAACCCACCCCCGACCGGCCCTGTCTCTCCACCGTAGGATACGCATTCGCGGCTCGCACATCATCTCCTTGCATGCGCGCATACACGCTATTCATATTGTTGTCCTGGTGATTCATCAACTCGAGGATTGGTAGGATATTATTGACTATCATACAGTTTTTTTCTTCATGTCGTAGCAGCTAATTTTATCTAATTTATGTGTAAACCCTGCACGGGAATCCAACATTGCGACACCTGTGTTTAAACACAACCGAATCTCTAAGCTCAGCCTGCCAGCAACAGAAGCCACTACTTCCCGGTCGCTTTTTTTCTGATTGTCTAGGATTTCGTTCTATTTTTGTATTCTGATTTATTGCTCGTTGGTGCGGAGCCCTGCAAAATGTTCGGATAGGATGAATGGGTCTATCATTTGGAACATGCGGTAGCGCGGGGAATCTCACATGGTTGGTGCTGCTTCGTTTTTTGACTAACCGTGGATTCTGGAAGTGTTACTTGGCTACCGATTTGCTGAAAGGTAGTTTTATGGGGATGTTTGTTCTTGTTCGGAGCGACTTGGGTAGCATGTTGCCTGCTGATGCCTCACCTCTAGCTGCCCTCTTTGCCTGTACGTCTGCCGCCTCATTTCCTGCTATCCCATTATGACCTGGCGTCCATCTGATGATTAGTTGCCTCCCGTCCTTGACAGGTAGCAGCTCCCTGAGGGCGTCATGGAGTATAACATTAACGACCGGGAGGTAGTGACCGGGCTGGGAGTGGAGGTCTCCTGTGCTCCTGATTGCCGCCTGATTGTCCACCCCCAACGCCATGGTGCCCCGTCCACCTGCCTCCTTCAGCAGCTGGACTGCTAAGACCATTCCTACTATTTCTGCGTCTAATGACGTGTGCTCGTCATGGCCTCCCAAGTAGAATCTTTTGTCTTTGATCATCGTCTCTCCCCTCATCAAAACTGCCGCCCCGCCCACTCCTCCGCCCACTACTGATCCATCCGAATAGACACGTAATGTCTCACTTGCAGCTTTCTCTTCCCTGATCGCATCCGTCTTTTGCAACGCTATGCTGATAGGTGTGCGGGATCCACTTGGGGTAGTGGTGGACTCGATTATTTCTGGGCTGAGTTTGGACTCATTCATTGGCTTACATAGGGCGGAGAGGTGACGTTTGCAGCCCCGGAAGGCCATCTTCTCGGAGAATCTGCATACCATCGTCAAGCCGTTGGCCAGCGGGTGTGCAGTTGGAAATGTGGTCATTATGAGCGTGACTTGAAAGCAGATTTTGCGTACTAATTGCTCGATGTTGAATGAGATCACCCTATATGCAATGTCGCGTTATCACAAGACCAATGACCGAGAAACATGTGAAAATAAGAAAAATGCTTGGCCCCCGATCGAAAATGAGAGTTAGTGCGATGCAATAAGTCGATTTAGAGGTCATGGCGGATGTGTGCGATTACATCCCTGGTCGGAACACGCCCAAATTCAGCCCGGTACGTCACGGTGTGTGTGATTCTAGACATTAGTCTGGTCTCTAAACAGTCGACAACATCTCTGTATGTTACGAGTGCCTATATAAGTGTATCTGCTGGTTAACGAAGTCACTGGATCGTTATGGATGAGTGGTAGATGTTTTCCGGCCGTTGCTGGACTTTCATCGCGAACCATGTCATTGAATGATCATATTCAACATCATCCCCATCCCCAATACTCGAGCTGAACTCGAACAGACCAACAGTGAAAAATCGGAGAGATCGTTTAATGCACTGCCATTGTGCGGTGCGATGCAAGGGGATGAAAGAGTACACACTCGAGAATTATCCAAGGCCTCCCTCCAAGACTGACGTGTATTACGGGTGACTGTGGCACAAGAGGTCTATAAAAACCAGTCTTCATCACAACACAGGCGTCCTCGGTGTTCCATCGTGCCGCAGAGGCGACCGTGACCTTTCAGGAGATGCGAATGGCGGTGAAACAGGTGTGGTGAAAAACACCGGTCGTGGCTGCGTCTCTAGGCCACTTCCAGGAGCTGGAATCCCAGAAGGATAGACGAATAACGGTTGGGCCACATACGCTGGGTATAATGGCCCGGAGTATTGTGGGTTGCTGGTACTATCTGACGATGGAGCACCATCTGAAGAAGGCGATCTGGACCGCCCACCAGATAACTGTCTAGAGAACATGAGGTTTGCGGTGCTTGGGCTCATGACATACGGTCTTGGAGCTGGAGCAGGCGAGTTCTGAACATGATGTGGAATACGGCCTGAAGATAAAGGAGTCGATGGACCTGAAAGCAAGTCCAAGGTTCCCTTGTTTCGCGGGGTATACCAACTCTTTGACGATCTGGAGTACCGCTGACGGCTGTTCCTCCTCCGATTACCCTGCCCAGGAACATATTCACTTGAGATACGAGCCGGAGAAACCCATGGAAGGCCGCCAAGGTCTCGCACGAATCGCCGAATACGCGCCATTTGGGAGGCAATGGATTCCTCTGGTGGGGGGCGAATGGGAGACTCCATCTTTGCAAAATCCTCTGCAGGCCGAGGCTCCACAAGGACGGGAGTCGCAGTGGCTTGGGTCGAAAGATGAATGGTATGAGGGATGGAAATCGCTTCGACGGAGCGGTTGAAGGGATGGGAAGTGGAAATTGCGTCGGTAGAGTGGTGGAATGGATGGGAAGTATCGCGATGGAAATGAGCAGGAAAGATATCATCATGACTGTGCGAGCGACTAGGTTCGTACAGCTCGTTTACAGCCGACAGTGTCCGGTCACGCCTTGTATCCGCAATGGATGTGCGTGTATCAGTATCAAGCAAAATGTTTGGTCTTGTAGGAGATAACATGTCGGACGGAGGGGTGTCAACCCTCTCGACCTGGGGCACATTATTTGCTAGCACTTGTCGGTGTACGAGCGAGATCCCTGGAGCTCGAGGATTCTGATGGTACGAGGATGTGCTCCCCTGCTTCGCCGGCTTAGCATGGTCCTTTGAGTTCAAACGTCCTCTCGACATGACTCTCGGTATACTTTTCAACCCGTTCATGATTCCACCGTAAAACGTCTTCTTCCCCTGAGGCTTCCTTTCATGTCCCTCTGAAGACCCATACCCATTCTCCTCATCGGCACCTGTGACTTCGATGCCAACAGTCATATACTCCTCAGTGTCTGATAGAGTGGCGTGCGCCGTATGAGGCGCTGGACGCATAACAGGAGTGGAATGCCAGTTAGGGGTTTGAGGGGTTTGGGTTGCAGGGTACTGGGATGGCTGAGAAGCCGAAATCCAAGTAACATCTCGCACACGCGATGCATGGCTTGCCCTGGAATATCGATCCCTGGACATTGGCTCCCCAAGGAAATCCCGAGTAGTACTGGGGGAACGTGAGAAGCTTGTGTCAATACGCATGTCTCCCAGTCGAGGTTGCCCATAGTCGAGGTCAGACATTGCAATAGACAGCCGGAGTGAATGGCGCAACTAGCGGAAGTGGAATATGAAGAGGCGCATAGAAGGCGACATGAGTCCTTATATAAGTGTGGTCGGCGTAGAACTGTACTAGGAGTGAACGTCACGTTGTGACACGAGGCTCCTGCGAGATCTGAGATTAAACAGACCGTGCCACTCAGAGCACTGAAATGCATGCTCAGTCTTGCCTTCCATCACAGCCCGAGCACGCATTTCTCGCATGGTATAGACTGACGGCAAGACGAATGACTGTGACAAAGGTAGTTAGAAGACAGCAAAAATCCACTTTTTAGCATTTGGATTGCAGTCATGCAGGCTGGAGCTTACGGTATTCGACAGGGGCTTTTCTTGTATCATGCTGACACCACTGGGGCTGGTGGAAAGCGACGATTAACACGGCCATGATATAACCGGCGGGGGCAATGCATTGAGGTGCGTGCCAGTGCCTCTCCCCACGAATCAGTTTGACGATAGCATACCCGACAGCGGTGCAGGACAGCCGTAATAATCAGAGTCTTCTTCTCATTAAATCCGGGATGGAGAAAATGTATGCCGCAAATAGCTGTGGGCGTGACTGACCCGGAGTCTGAGGACAAAGCCTGCACAAGTCCCGTTAACTTGCGGCTTCAGCACAAAAATTGCCAAGCAGGAGCTGGCGGATCGCCGACCTCGTGTATCCCCAGTGCACTAGGTGGAACCTTAGCACAAGTTTATGAGTAACTGTGATGCGCTTGAACTTTGAAGCGCTTCAGCCTTCAAAGCTTCAAGCTCAAGAGTCTTGTCAACGGTACTACGGTAGGGAATGTGATCACGTGCACACTTGACGGAGCTTGAACGTTCTTGAAAGCTTGAACACTCAGCCCGAAACTTATGAGAAGAGGCCCGCCGGGAGTAAAGAGACTCTAGAGCTCGAGACGCTATGTTTCTAGAGACCATCCCAAATTCTGACACTCTCGCAGATAAAATGACAGACTCGTGCATTCTCATCTTCTGAACACCGGTCAGGCAAGAGCCTGAGTGCATGGTTGATTCTGGCAGGCTCTACCGTGGTCCGTTACTTATCTTGCAACCATATATCGGCCAGCTCCCCGAATGCAATACAAAATGGAGTACTACTTGCTGTAGTGCGCCTCCTAACGAAAGCTCCTACTACCCAAAGACAGCCTGAAAGCTTCCTGGCTCTGTTGCAGATGAACGACGTGGCCGAGCGACTCAAGGTCAGTCAAGTGGCAGTCGATGGCAGCAGGCTTGTTACTGACGCTCGAGGAAAACGCGGTTCTGACAGATCTAGATGAACTAGACGTCAAGCATCCAGAAATCCTGGGACAGGCATTTCAAGAGCGAATCCGTCCACTGCACTTCAAGCAGTCATCAGGCGAAAAATCGCGTCAAGAGTTTTTTCTGGTATCTTACAGTACTTCTTTCAGATTTATTCTTGTGCCTTTGGCGCGCTCCTTTTCACCGTGCGTTCGTGCTTTATTCTGTCCCGGATTCCCCTTCGCCTCACGCTTCGTCAGTGTCACTGATACGCCGCTTGGACTGTCATACTTATCATAGTTTGACATGCTTGTAATCTAGTCGTCTGGTTCCAATGCAGTGACTTGGCAGGACTGCTAGTGCCCGGTTGCTTCACGCCCGGGCTAGTTGTGATCTCCACCATATTTTTACACCTACTCCATGGAGCCCACTATGTTTATTTTCATCTAGATGCACCCTGTGGCTAAGTTAAGAACACCCTTGTTTCATGACTCTTATCCGAGCATTTGCTGATTGAACTCAGAGTACGCGCTGCATAACTATGATAGAGCACATGCACCCGATACGTCCGATTGTGTGTATGCCCCCCATGTGTATAGCCACATTTGACTCTTAAAACCGTAAGGACGATCAATCTGAAGAAACAATTCCGAGCTAAATTCTAGTGTCTCTATTTCAGCACTAACTTATACCTCGACTTGTCTAGGTCTCGAACAGCCTTGACTAGTTGCGAAGTTGGCGGAACTCTAACCTACTAGACGCGGCAGCCGTGCGCTCGCCGAAAACCTCATCCTTAATTCCAATACGTTTCAAAACCAAGTAATATGACGAGTTACATATTTTCGTGCAGGTCCTGTTACCTTCCCACTCAGGCTAACAATACCAATACTCATCTCCGAAGAATTCGGATTCTGCTAGCACAGATACGAACACGGAGTCCCGGTGGACTACTTTGAGGGTTAACTCGTACTAAGTACTGAGTAATCAGTACTAGTAATGAGTGTGCTTACAAAGCGAATGTTTTGGTTGTATAATTGCTTTGCCTCTACTTTGATTCTCGCGTATCACGGATCTAAGACTCAACAGGTCCCCACCCCACTCGGTTCTCGAGCCTTAATTAACTTTGCTAGTGATATACTCCACTCCGGTCGGCATGTAAGAAAGTGCCGAATGTGATAGACCAATAAATAAAAACACACGCGGCTGCACACAGCAACCCCGGTCATAGTAATGACCGCGACATAGTTGCATAATTCTGCGCGCATCAATATCCATTGCACAATGGTTGCTTTGATCTCAAAGGGGATTACTTGAGTGCCCTTCAGGGCCGCTAATAAATTAGAGTTTGCAACTTTGCACGCTTATGTAATAATACGTAAACTGAACGCCACCTCGTCGTTCGAAGTTTCTTATTACTTAACTTGATTCGTACAAGTAGCTGTTCGTTCCATCGTTACATTGTACAGCAACATTTTGCATCATGCCGTACATGGAGTACCGTAACACTGACCGGCATCAGTACGTACATTCATCAATTCTGATCGAATGATTTTTGACAGAACACCCGCGCGCGGTGGCTAAGTTACTCCGAGGTCTATGTAGTTGACTTTCTCGGTCTCAGTCGAGATCTAACGGCTTCATCGGGTGCAAGAATATTACTACGTTGCATTATTCAAGACACAGTTTCCGAAGGAAATCCCGTATATAAAGGTATGGCGACTTTCCCTTTCCTACAATCCCCTTCACAAAAATGGCCACTCGAACACTTGTAAGTGGCTGATATCCATTCTTCTGCTACAGTGAATTTGGCTGACATACTAGCTAGCCAACTTCAACTCAAATACTCGTTGTCGGCGGCGGACCCGCCGGAAGCTACGCTGCTGCTGCTTTAGCTCGAGAAGGCTTTGAAGTCACTCTTCTCGAAGCTGCCAAGTTCCCTCGGTCAGCGCATATTATACATGACATCGGTATACAGAGTCACTAATACATAGTTGTACCAGTTATCATATTGGCGAGAGCTTGCTCCCGTCGATCCGCCCCTTCTTGGCATTTATTGATGCGGAAGAAACCATCAAGAATTACGGATTCACAGTCAAGGTTTGGATGATCTTCAATGGGTCTGTACACTATTTTGACACGTTTACCCTCTTATAGCCTGGTGCCGCAGTCAAGCTGAACCAGTTCAAACGAGAAGGATGTGAGCCACAGTCACTGTCGTACATCGTCATACTAATATTGATCGTCCATTCCAGATACAGATTTTATTGCGCTGAACCCAGACAATGGGTCTTGGAACGTGGTATGTGATATATTGGGGATATGCTCACCGTCTCATCGTTTTGCAGATTCGGTCGGAGTTTGACGATTTGCTATTCCGTCATGCTTCGAAGAGTGGCGCAAATGTGTTCGACAACATAAGAGTCACTGAATTTCAGTTCGAGGGCGAAAGACCTGTTTCAGCCAATTGGAAGGATGCCAGCACTGGAACCGAGGGCCATATCTCTTTCAGCTACCTAGTCGATGCATCAGGAAAGAACGGGGTCATGTCCACAAAGTATCTCAAGAACAGACGCTATAATCAGGCTCTCAACAATGTCGCATGCTGGGGATACTGGGATGGAACCGGGTCTTACATGCCGGGTACCACTCGCCAGAATGCTATCTTTGTTGAAGCACTTGAAGGTATGAAAACAACTCAAAGGGTTTCAGTAATCTCACTGTTTGCAGACGAGTCTGGATGGGCTTGGTTCATTCCCCTTCACGATGGATCCACATCTGTGGGAGTTGTGATGGATCAAGAGTCAAGCAATCGCAAGAAGAAGGCTTGTCGTGCGGCCTCAGGATCCGGCTCAAACCTTCTGGCTCATTACAAGCAAGAGCTTTTAAGTAATGCTCCTGGAGTCCTTAAGTTGATGGGAGATGCCACCCTTCGAAACGATGGTACACCGATGGCTGTGAAATCTGCAGGCGATTTTAGCTACTCGGCCCCCTCTTATGCTGGGGATCATTACCGACTGGCGGGGGATGCTGGAGGTAATTTTCTTGACATGTTGTGGCACTCGCGACTGACAATTAATAAGCGTTCATCGATCCATTCTTCTCCTCTGGCGTCCATTTGGCTTTCACAGGTGGACTTTCGGCTGCTCTCACGATCTCTGCGTCGATCCGAGGACTCTGCAGCGAAGATGATGCCCAGCGTTGGCACACCTCAAAAATCGCCACCTCTTACACGAGGCATGTAAATTCGGTTATTGGAGTGATAGTAACTAAGATCTAATGCAATGTATGGCACAGGTTCCTTCTTGTCGTCCTGGGCACCTACAAACAAATCAGAAATCAATCTATGCCGGTGATGAGTGATGTGGATGAGGACAACTTTGACAGAGCCTTTGATCTCATCAGGCCGGGTGAGGATCGATGTCTTTTCTATCGCTACAAAATCTGATACTCGAGTGCAGTGATACAAGGAACAGCAGATGTCGGTAAGGCCTTGACAGAAGACGAACTCCAGGTGCGTGTGTTCTGCTTCTATCTTCCGTGATATCCTCATTCCCATTAACAGAAAACTATGGACTTCTGTAGTCATCTATTCGCACCAACCGATCCCGAGATGCATTCTTCAGTCAAAGCTAGGTGGGGATCTATCGTTTGCTCAATTAAATTATCTCATACTAAACTTTGAATAG